CTCAATCACTGTTGTAGGGAAAAAGATATTGTGCCATAAGATATTGTGTTTTATAATAAAGTTCGGATATAACGTGCGCTTTCGCTGGTTGAAAGAGCGTGCTCTATGAGAGTATAGAGCATAGAGCTGAGCTAAAGCTGTCACGCCATCTGCCAAATTGTACTATGGTCGACCTTTTCCGAGACTTCTTTTTAGCTTTTTTCCGATAATTGAAAGTGAAATTTCGGAACAAGCGAGCCGGCAAGTAGCAACAGAAAAATCAAACAAAGGTTTGTAAACATACTAGGCGCCGTAATTTACGCTATTAAAACGTGAGCAGATACGAAAATCCTCAAAGGAAAAACAAAATAGACATTCCGAATTTAAAGATTTTCACGCTCAGTTAGATTGCAAGCTTACGTACGGTAATAAAAATCAAACACAGCTAACACTCGTATAGTATACAAGGTTCAGTGTTCAAAACAAAACAGAACAAAACAGAAATGGTGACCAAAATATAACCAAACTGGCATAACTGTTAAAATTCATACTCGTGGCGATCTCCAGTCATCGCATTAAAGCAAGCCTCAGAAACTACATCGGCCGCCCTTCGAGTGAAAAAATAAGAGCTTGCTCTGATATCCTTTCCGATGCATTGGGTGGAAAGTCACATCAGTCACTGCAGCAGAGTATTGCAGCGCTATCATCCCGAGTTATCTTCATGTTCCGGTGAATTCGGACTACGTCTCGTGTTTCCCCCCACATTTCTTTCGTGCTCTAGCCGCTACCTGCTTGCTTTACAACAGAACAGAGCACAGTCAAGGCTTCTCTATTTGTTAAACAAAAGGCAATGTTTTCTTCAGTGCGCTATTTTCTTTGCTCTTGAGTGACCTTTCTCTCCCAGTAAAATTAACTTCAGAGATACATTTGTCCAAAATTTCATGTGGGTATCCCCTATTCTTAAAGTGCATTTTGAATATCTGTACGATTTTATTAAACGTGGGGCGTGAGAAAATTGGTCTTGGGAAGCTTATCACTCCTCCTCTTACGAATCCTATCTTTACGCTCGGAGGATGACGCGAATAAAATTTCGTGTCTTGGAAGGTCTCCGTCTCTTTGTAATGATCAGTCGTGAATTTTTCATCTGTCAGTTGTTCATTTGAAACGTTCCTGATGTGCTACTTGTGTGTTGTAAGTCTCTAAACGCCTCTATGGCTCCCGCGAGGTCAAGCTCTGCGCCCAGTTGTTCGAAGGCCGATTAGCGCTAACCCGGGGTTAAATCTTAATCTGGGTTTCTTTAAACCCTTCTTCAAAAATAAATATACTGAATATGTCTCTAAAGTTTTCAGATCTGAGGTCAGATTTCATGCTAACCCTGGGTAATCTTGACCTAGCTTTGAACAACTTGGTCCTGATTTCTTACTAATCAAGCTGAGGCATCTAATTTAAAATCTTCATCGATGGCGTTGTTCGCTCTAACGATGTATCTCAGGCTTTTTGGGCATGTTCGAGACGAGCCCGTAAAAGTCCGATAGAGTTCTTTCTCAGAAGTGTCAGGAATTTCTTAACTCCATGTCGACGAAGTTTCGCTTTCGGCGCACAATCGATTTTCTCCATCTCTGCGTCATAGATTAGAAGCTTTGTATGCTTCAGAGTCATACAGTCACTGTCCGAGTCTGAATCTCTCTTATATGGCTTTCTTTAGGTACTATATGTAATGCCCTCGATGTTTAAAGTGAGGGAAATTTCCAAAAGCATTTTCTGTTTCGGCAACGCGTCTGAAAGGGTTTTACTGCAGCCTTGTAGCGTGGTTCCCGTGATGACGTAACAACCTTCCACAACCCAGGTCTTAAGATGCGCGGTCGTGAACATAAAAAAAATTGAGTATTAACTGCTTGTAGAATTGCGAGGTTTTCTTCGACTGAAATCATTCTTTCACAGTGATCATAGGTAAAACGAGAAAAGTTCCTTGTCGAAAAACTCTTTTTGGGGTTGGAGACTCTTTAAAATATTTAATCATTTGAAGTAGAAATATTCAAAAGCCTGAAAGTCGAGATAAAATGGAAAACGGAAATCCCTTACCATTTATTTATCCATTGCAATAGACCAATAAGAAAACAAGATATTTTATCAACTGAGCACATATCTGAACTTTTATTTGGAAAATTCTTAAAATCTCAACTCCTTTAAGAATTTAACTCTCATTCCAGAACACTGTCTGACAATCCGATAGAAAAAATTGAGCCAAAGGCATTTGGTCTCTCTTATCATGAAATAAAAATGTAAGTTATCACGTGATTCTTTTATATTATGAAAGTTGAAATGCACCTAAGGTAGCTAGACTTCGTACATTTTCGCGAAATATCATAACAATAATAATTATAATTATTTAATTAATTAATAGTTAATAATTAATAAGTTAATCTCGCATATCAGTCATTTGCCTTAGCCTCCAGTTTCTATAAATAATCTATTCTCACATCTGGCAAATAAAGATGTTTCACGCCCAACCTGGTCCAATAATTATCCATCATTCTTCACGCCACCGATAATGTCACAAAGTGAGGGTCTGTTTGCTGAATAGTATGTATTTATTCATTCAGTCACTTTCTTTTTACAACAGATTTCTTCTACGAACTTCATTGAAATCGATTGCCTCTGACATCTTTTCAAGCAATCACCCTCAAGATTTTCGAATGTAAGGCATTTTTATTGATTAAGTTATGATCTTTAGAAATGAGGAACAGGCCAGTCAGCGAGTATGACACAATTTGATAATTTTAAAAATTATTTCTTGTCGTTGCAGAACTTTGACAGAGAGAATCACCAGGGTGATAGACTACGATTACCCATCTGGCACCGGGAAGCACTCCTTGTATCTGTCAGTATGATTAGTTGTAGGACACTTTATGGGCCAGGATGCAGAAATCAGACAATACAAAAGTAAATTTCGTATATCTCGTGGAAATTGCGTTTAATGACGGGATCGATCTACTATTGGCCTTTGAATATTACTCTTTAACCTTATTTTTGCTCAATTACGAATCACACATTGACATAGGTAATTTACGTAATTGGGTGACGTGAGAATCAAGGCGGCTCCTCCTTAAAGGAACTGCCAGATCCTAAGGTAAATTGAATTGAATATACAGTTTTCTCATTGAAAATCCTAACTGAGTACCGCTGGAAGCTTTGCTTGAAGGCTTGACCCCCATAATGAAGATTATGAAATGACTGCGTGGCTTACAATACGACCGACTTTTAAAGTGCTATACAATTTAGCATGCCCACGACGACATTTCATTCTGTTCTTGTAACAGAGTTGTCGACATTGAAATTACTATTTTGGAAAATAGCCTGAGCATGTTGGAGTTTTCAAACACTATTTATAATTTATCCCTAGCAATCCTCTAGAAACACACGACGAAGCCATCACAGTTCCTTCAACAGTTTCCCCGTCTGTTATTTCTTTTCTACATAAAGTGGGATTCAGAAAGACGGCGTCTGAAAATAACTACTTCATATTTCTACCCTGTCCGTTGGGTACATTTTCACATCACACCTTGTTTACCTCGGAGCTAGATTCGGATATCTGCAAAGATTGTCCACCAGGTATGCTATGTTTGATTACAGAGAGCACTCAAAGAAAATGTGTAAATTCAACTAGAGTTGTGTCTGCTTCACTATTGTTAACACCACGACAAAAGAAAATACAGTAGGTTGCATGAATGCCTTTATGCATATATGCCCTTACGCATTTCATACACATGCGTATATCTTTGAACAACATGGTGTCTGCATGGGTGCAGTTTCTAAAAGCTACACCAGCCACGATGTTTGCCTCCAATTTCATGTCTCTGACGTTGAAACTTTCTTCAAAGAGGACCAAATGCCTCGCAATGCAGCAGTGTGAAATTCTTGGCTTAGAATTTAACCAGCTGGTCAACAGTTGAGATTCTTATTAACGTTTAGAGCATGAAGCAACATGATTAACTGACATTGCAGAGTGACCCTTTTACAAAGAATCAAAGAAAGTCATCCTTAAAAGCATTTCAAACGGTTAAATCTTGTATGCGTTGGTCCAGCTACGACATATCTCTTCAGGCTAACACGAAATTAGTCTCAAGGAAATTTCCTTTTGTTGTGAAAGAATATGTACTTGTCAGACTGAGTGGCTGGGCGGGACGTGAAATTATTTGACTCGAGATCATGACGTGCGGACCTAACGCAGTAGCGAAACAAAAACGACCGCGAAAGCAAAATGAAAAACAAACCAAAAAACAAAGTCAACTTGTCAACTAGGAGTGGTAGTCATTGATTTTCTTTTTTCAGGTGGATTTTACTCGGATAATCTTGCCTTCGTGGCGAAAGGCTGTAAGAAATGTCCGAACGGGTCTTACGTTGCATATGACAAGAAACCTGGAAAATCAGTGTTAGATTGCAAGACTTGTCCTCTGGGTAAGCAAGCACTCACTATTACGTACCTTTACATAGAAGAGATGCCCAATGGTAGAATTAATTCAAGGCATATACCCAACCAGGAGATTTAAAATCTCTTGACCCAACATATAAGGTTGCAAACAACATTCCACTAGCTCTCCAGTCGAAAGAGAGACAGTTTCTAAACTGAAATAGCCGTGCATGGGAAAAGATGGGAAAAGAACTCTTTTCCGTTCAAAAGGCCGCCTTTGCTGAGCATCCGTTAGCCGTTCGTTAGAGATTTTCCTCTCAAACGTTAAAGGCATTAGCCTTTCCTTCGAAAGCTTAGACACGTCCGTGAGAACCGTTAGCGTAGTTGTTATAGAAAATGTTGTTGTTCATTGTACTTAATTGGTAAATAAACTTTTCATCGTTTGTTTCACGATATAAGAATCGGTTTCAAACGTTGAGCTTAAGCTGTGCATAACGTAGCAAGTGACATGGGTATGCAGTCTGGGTTAATCTCTTAATTTAGTTCTATGCCGAGGTTTTAAGATATCATAACCGGTTTGAATAAAAACTTTAAAACTATTAAACGATCCATTCCTCTATTAGGAACCGAAACTGACTTTTTCGCTGGACATCGAGCTTGTCCATGCTTAGAAGGTCATTATCGAACCCACCTATTTGAGGGATGTCGCGAATGTGGTAAAGATGGACTTATTTGCCAGAAAGAATATGCCTCCTTAAGACCTGGTTATTGGTGGCAATGGCGTAACGATTCTTACAAACGTCGTTATCAAGATTTTATAAAAAATCTCGTGGAATCTAAACCAGCATTAGATGAGCATTCTGTGCAGTATCCTTATGCACTCCCAACGCCGTATAGGTGCCAAGTACCAGAGTCCAGTAAGGGTGGATTGGACTCACCATGTGCAGATGGATATGAGGGACCTATTTGCTCCGTATGCAGCTCGGGATACTACAAGCAATTCCACAGATGCAAAAAATGCCCATCAAAATCATGGATCGTGGGACAGTTATCTCTTGTTGCTGTCACTTTCTTAATAACATTTTCTCTGTTGGCATGGAAGAGGAAAACGAAGCTTAAAACAGAGCGTGCTCTCGATCTTATGGACAAATCCTTATCCAAATTTAAAATCTTGATAGGATTTTACCAAGTCACTCATGGCTTACTAGACGTTTTCTCTTATATCAGCTGGCCAGACTCGTTAGAAGTTGTTGCAAGGTATTCAGGAATACTGCAGATGAATTTGCTTCAGGTGGCACCCATTCACTGCCTTTTTCCAGGATTACACATGAACGCATTTGGAGACTTGTTTCTAATCTTGTCATTGAATGCAATTGTCATCATCGCTTCGGGTTTGATCTTTGACATTCGCAAGATGATTATCTTTGGCAATAAAAGCTTACTTGACGAAGAAAAGTTAGCCAAAACTTCACAACTGAAAGAAATCGTGTTCAAAAATCTATTTTTCATCCTTTATGTGACTTATTTGACTTCGTTTTCAAAGACAGCCAGTGTTCTGCCACTTGCTTGCCGTAAACTGTGCAAGGACAAAAAAGAACAGCTGTGCAACGAGTACCTCAAAGCAGACTACAGCGTGAAATGCCAAGGCCAAACATATGACCAATTGCTGATTGTAGCCTACATTTCCATTGCGTACATCTTTGCCCAACCTGCTGCGTCTTTTGTCGCCCTTTGGAGGCATCGGCGAGCAATATCAACCACAGTAAACTGTGATGGGTCACACGTTGACAAGGAAACCGTTGGAGGTCTGCGGTTTCTTTTCGAAAACTACAAACCGTGCTCATGGTATTGGGAGCTGGTTGAAATGTCTCGGAGAGTAATTCTTACTTCTGGCCTTATTCTCGTAGGTCATGAAAGCAGGTCCTACATTGGTCTGGCATGGGTCGTGGCTGGTGTGTATGGAATTCATTTCTCTTGGATGAGACCCATACAGGACCCGTTCGAAAACAGATTAATGACGACTTCCCTCGCCGTTACAGTTGTCAACTTAGGTATCGGTGCTGTCAGCAAAATTCCAGCAGAAAATATATCGAACGCAGAGGATAAACACATGGATGCCATTTCAATGAAGATACTGATTCTTGGAGCAAATACTCTCGTGATTGGGCTTCTCGTTGGTAAGAAGTAGTAATAAGTACTCTTATTTTATGCACTAAATATTTGAATCGTAATATCTCTTTTTGCTCGCCAATTTGCACATAACTAAGTTGATAAAGCAGTATTAAAGTTTTTGTTTTATGACAGTTTTTTGAGCAGAAATAACCCTTATATAACCCTTATATTAATTTTACCTTTGCTGTTGGTTGAAATAATCCGTGCGCGTTTGGAATATTAGTCAAAGGACAGTCCAATATTTAACTTATCTAACTGAACAGCCATGTGATATGGAGAACGAATCTGAAAAGATACAATCATTTGAATTCTATTTATTTTATCTGCAGTTCAATACCTGGTGTACGTATATCAGTACTTCAAAGAGTGGCGTAAGAACCCGCAATGGTCCATCTCGTGCTGCTTGGCCGTGCTCCTTCCTCTTAATGATTTGCATGGCGAAATTCGCGGTATGGTTGGAAAGAACATGCTTAAAGCACAGCTTCAGACAAGTATGATTAGAAAACCTTCCATTGAAAAAGACCGTGGAGCTCTGAGTTTCACTCTGTCTCGAGGAGAACGTAGAGGTAATGACGAGAATACAACAAATTCACTTGAGCAAAACTTGATGGTAAAGAAACATCGCAAGTACCGCCGAATAATGAAGAATGACCATGGGACACAAACAGAGGCCACTTCGCCACCGATTCTTACTTCACGCGGGTTATTGGAACCAGCATACATCTCTGTGAGTACTGAATGTTGTTTCTTTACCAAAATGGTCTATGTTGTAATCAGGTAATTTAGTGTTAACAACTGAGTAGAAAACGTAAATTGGCCACTGTAAAGAATTAAACGGCTGACGTTTCGAGCGTTAGCCCTTCGCAATCGCTCTGACGAAGGGCTAACACTCGAAACGTCAGCCTTTTAACTCTTTACGGTGACCAATTTACGTTTTCTACTCAGTTGTTAACACGGTATCTGCTATACGCTCCCACCGACGCAGCACCACAGTTTCTTTAGAAACTTACCCCCTTTATTTATATGTTGTAATCAATTGTACATAGTAGGTTGACATGCGCGGCATTCATTAGGAACTTCGTTTTCATTTACGCTGTGACAAAATACATTTTAATATCGATTAGAAAACAAAATTTTTTACGAAGAGTTACTCAAAAAGGGGAACAAGAAAGGCGAAACTAGCGAAGTCATACTCACCAAGTGTGCCCCACGAAATGCTTGCGGGAAATGTTTGGTCTGACGTCAACAATCCATATTTTGTTTATGTCGAGACACCCTAAAAAGGACAAAGGATGCACTTTATCTTTGCAAATGCAGAGCCAAGCATACAATTCTAATAACAGCGATGTTGGCCTCTTATATTTATCAATCGCGCATGATATTTCAGTAAGATATATATTGTCCTTTTTCTAGCTCATTTTACGCTACTGAGTGCATTTTGACGAAGGTTATTTTACTCATACTAAGATCCTAGATCCTTTTGTTTGCGATTCTTCAGCAAAAAATAAAAAAAATAAATAATAAATTGGTCAACATTTGTGACGCAGGACGGTCCTTCCTTCCATTCCTCCGTCAGTTCATTTATTTATTCATTCATTCATTTATCGGGGATCCATTTCACCGCGGTGCAGTAGCTGCTGAGTGATTTATTTTTATTTTCTTAGACGTCATTCCTAATATTCTATGATTTTAAACTTCTCCCCTTTCAGTTCGACACAGCCCTCTAAACATCAGCTCGTCACCGGCTGAACCCAAGAGTGTTCCATCAGCAATATGGAATGAAACGAAATTTACATAGGAATGCAGTACAGTCTCGATTAATGGTCGAGTTTCAAGGTTGAAGTTTAACTCTGAGGTCTCTTAAACATTACGTAGCAGCCATGACTAGTTAAACTAACTTTGTATGCAGCTAGGTAACTGAAATCTTAAACAAAAACGCCTCAACCTTGCTTTAACTATCATCTAAGCCCTTTGAACAGGGACAAATATTAATTTAGGTCCTCTTTCTCTTTTAAATCCGACAGCATAACGTCGACAAAGGGACGTGCGCTACTCTTGAACAATTTTGATTGCTAAATAGGAGCTACACTTTTATTCACACTCGTTCATAAGCTATTTCATCACTTAGCGTTATAAGCTTAGACAGTTCGAGGACAGTATGTTAAAAGTTAGCATGAGTAATTTCGATGAGAACAAACAATTAGTCAATCATTTTTGTAGATAAGGCTTTCCGAAAGGAATTGTGTGACACCACATTGGAATATTTAGAGGGAAAAGAAAAAAAAATTGGGTTAGCACTTGCGCTTATGTTTTATCTTATGTGCGCTGAAACCAAGTTTCATTGTGTATTAAGGAAACTCTTCTTTCCTTCTGTTTGTTTTGACGTTTATTTATTTATTCAGTCATTTATTTATCTATCTTAAGGCAATTAGAAAAATAAAAAACTCAAATAATAATTGACCGACGTAAGTAGAATGCTGCGTCAAATGTGTGCTTAGTCGGCGAAAGATGATTGTTTCGTAGGGTCAACCACATCATGATCCCGTTGCCCTTGGATATCCGTCAGGATGAACTTATGAAAAAAGCGTTTTCGGAGGGTGGTGGGGGTTTGAGGCGCAGAATCCTTCAATATGTGGCTCGCTTTTTCTCTATGATCGTAGAAACTGAACACAAGCTGAGTTCCAAAGAAAATTAAACTAAGAAGATTTTGGTTTTTAACCAGCTAAAAAGGAACGTAGTAACAGAAGCTAAACAATAATGACCTTGTGCACATTTCTGCAAGAGTAAGGGAATCAAGACAAAAAAAAACAGGATTTTCTTTTGAAAATGCGAAAAAGTAAAGGTTTTTAGGATCAGCAGCGTTAAAATCTATACATCAATAAAAATTATTTCGTTTTTACTAGAAGTTCTCTCCCCCTCCTCCTCCCCCGCGAGATGAGTTTGCCATTATCATGTAAACGGTTGATTGAATTTTTCAAAGAAATAAGTGAAGAATAAGCTCTTCCAGGGTAACTCAGGGGTTTGGTTATCTCGGCTATTAATACAATATCTCCGGTTTGTACAGACCGAGCAATAAATTTGGTATCACTATTCGCAAGATATTATAAAAAAAGTTCGATATCAGCTTACTATTTGTTACTCGTAGCATACAAATTATACTTTTTGCGTGGGGATGTTTAATACATTTACAGCAAGTTACCAATTTGCTGTTAGTAACAGGTGATAGTCGCCTGTATAAAATACACGTGGAAAAATGGTTAATTGTCGTCTACTGACAGCTAGACATAAAAGAGTCTGAAAAGTTGAATTTCTGCTGCGATAATGGAAACTTAAAAAAGGCTTCACACAACGCCGTTAATTAAAAACTCACGTCAAAAGCTTATTTTCGTCCAATCGTGTAAAACTAGCTTTTGTTGCGGAAACACTTTCACGGTCATCAATAACATTCATTCACGGGCTTGAATCACCAAGCTGGTGATATTAAGTGCAGGGTCATTCTTTTGAAGACCTTTTTTTTAACTCGTCAAGATGTTGTTTCATTTTACCAGCAAAAGGCCTTTCTTTTAAGATTAGTTGAAACGGAATTTAATTGCGCCCGGTAACGTGGTTTAAAAAGATATCTTTCAAACAGGGTTACATAAAGAATGATAAAGAACTGAATATATAACTCTCCCTGAATGGATTGAGCACTAGTTACGCAATATAATGACGGGTTAGCGCATCTCTTTGCATTATCATAGGAGTCCATTTTTCTCGCAGGGCATTTAAGGCATCTTTTATTATTGCCGAAGATTAAATTTCTATCCCAAGGATTAAGCCTTTCTCTCTAAGGCTCTCAAATTAAGATTAGTAATAGACACAAGATAAAAGACGTAATGAATGCCTCCATTTCGATTCATTTCATCTCAAAATAATTCTTAGGGCAATTTTCATATTTGAGTGCCTCGCGTTTTTCTTAGGTTTTCGTTCTGAAGCTTTCTCGGAAGTAATTTGCGTCAAAATTTGATTACAGTAATGAAAGTTTTCATGCAACATACACATGTTATGCTTTCTTCTCCTTTTTTTATGGTTATTGATCCAACGATGAATAGATGTCGCGACAAATTTTAAGGAATTTCTAACAATCGTGACCGATGATAAGTTTCTCTTCTTTCTCAACCATTCGTGCCATTCTTTACCTAAAGGTGAAAATTCCGTCGACTTTTGTCGAAACCGTCCTTCGCAGACAAATTCAAATGTTGCCCAACCTAATTTTGCTCGGAGCTTAATTACAAGGAAATTAAACAAAGGTACAATTATTTGTTTAAGCGAAGAAGAGAAAGTTTCATCACCAATGTGACTGCACGAAATTTTTCCCGAAGGTTAAGTCAGGTGAACACGGAAAGTGACTCCCATCAAGTTTTAACCAAAAAAAAATTTTTTCTTAGTAGACGGCTTGCTTGGAGTTAAGTTTCCACCAGACACTCATGTATATTCAGCAGTCTCGTTCTATTATCGAGTAACGTAATATGTCGGTAGCTAGGATTGAAGAATAATGGGAGGCAGTTACGCATTATGCGACAGATCAACGACCCATCGACAGTTATTTCTTAACTTCTATCTTTAAAATTTTCCGACGAAAGTTGTCTCGTGTAATCACTCCTTGTCATCCGTGGATTACTATCCGACATTTAGCAATGCTAAAACGTATTTGCGTTTCGTGCACGAATGACAGTGCTTTCATTCTATTCACAATGCTCTGAGCCTTGAATTCCATAGAGAAATGACAAATTCAATTCCGCCATTGTATCCGCAGACAATTAGATACTCGGTATCCAGTTTCTGGGGCATTCATGAAACCACTGAATAATTCATTGTTTGGCAATTAGAAGGGAAAACAATGCACAAACTATGTGGTCTTATTGTGTGTTCATTTCGGGTTGGGCAATAACACAAATGTAACACTGTAGCCAAATTACATCACTCGACGACCTTTCAGAATTATATATACACTCGCTCGTTTCACCTTGAAAGGTTCGTGGCGCTGAGTTGCCAGGATACGCTGCAGAGCGTGTTTAGGGGGAGGGATTTTTTACAAAGCTCTTATTGACTAAAGGTCTGAAACACTCAAACGCTCCATTTATTGCGTAGATATGTGAAACTGGGTTGCCATATTAACTCATAACAAATTCCTCTGAGAGTTTTCAACTAATTCGACTGTCTTGTGTAAGTGGACGGCCGCTGTTGTTTACACGACTTAGTAAGATCTGACAGGACACACAGAAACTATTTTGACACCGGACCAATCATGACGCTCGTATACAAAGGCTCTTGAAATTCTCGAATGTAAAAAAATAACTTGAACAAAAGCTTGCCGTCAGTCAACTTTGTCGCGTCAAGAGGTACCACACTCAGAGTCGAGTGCACATCGCGACAACCGCTTATCGATTTCAAGAGATTTTCAAGTGTGTCTGGAAAAGATATGGCAGACACCTCCCTCGCGATCCAACAGTCCATGTCTGAGAGGAAGCCCCCTCGCATGCCTAAGTGCGCCCGTTGTCGCATCCACGGTATGGTGTCATGGTTAAAAGGGCACAAGCGATATTGTAGGTGGCGAGATTGCAACTGTGCTCAATGCACACTGATCGCAGAGAGGCAGCGTGTCATGGCGGCGCAAGTGGCGCTTAGAAGACAGCAGACACAGGAGGAGACCATGCGGGTACAGATAGCTAAGAAAGCACAGGCGTACGTACCTCCCCTTGTCAGCCCTGAACCGCAGTTTAACCACGGTGTCGCAAGAATTCACTCAGAAGAGGCACAGCCCGTGTTCTCGTACCACCGCGCGGACGGTCAAGGTAAGTGAACCATAACACCGTATTTCAAACGTCTTACTTCATCATTGTTCATTATTTTTTCCTCAAGAAAATGCAATTTCGATTCGCGCGACTTTAAATATCTGTAATTTACAAGCGACTTTCCGGTCGTTTGTAAGAATCCTTCGCCGACGGGTACAATTTATAACATGTAGCAAATTGATGTATGTTTGTAGTTCCTTAACTTGTCAATTACACGCCTCCATCGCAAACAGTAAAGCGTTTCATCTCGGGAAACTTAAGCGTTCAGTTTAGATAAGGTTTATCGCGCCTTTTATCAAATTGTGACAAGGTTCTCTTTTTTGATATCGCGCCAAGTGGAACTGACGCGAAAAGCTACGCTCAATTTCCTTGGACTGCCCTTGCATTTTAATGTTGATGGCGGAGCTTAAATATGCGAGATATGGTCAACAGAGCATCTAATTAGCTCTTGTTCCTCTCTTTTGTAAATCAGTGCACTTTGTTCGCTATTGTGTCTCACAACTGATGAAACACAGCAAAAGTTCTATCCGGAACATGTCTGAGGATCGAAATGAAGTTTCATCTGTCGATCGGCGCTTCTTTTGCGAACTGTCTAAAGAAAAAACCAAAACCACCAGAATTTAAAGTCTGTCAGGTTTTATACCTGCCATTGTGTCTGTCCCAAACTGGAACAAAACAGTTTTCTTGTGGCGATAAAAGCCGATTACAAAGGGTTCGCATCAATAAAATTTTTTAGCATTTTCAAGCATAGGTTTCTTGCGCAAAACCTTCGCGCATGAAGTTTTTAGTCTTCCTTGATCGCTGGCGAAAAATCTTTTTATTAGTCTCTATTTTCTTTTACGTCTACGAAAATTGTTTGTTCACTTGATACGTGCTATTAGTTAAGCGTTCCTTTCAAATTGACGAGCTGGAAATTGTACCCTTTAAAAGCTTTTGCTATAAAATTAAATAACTATATAAATGTATAGCCAGATAAAAGCGTAGCCGAAATGATAGAAAAGAAATCGTGTACGCCTGTCATACCGAATACTGACTTACATAAGTACTACATAACTTACATTAATAATTCGCGACATTTTCGCGCAGAAACACTTCGTAATTGCTAAGCTCTTATCTAGAAACAAATGAACAGTGAGATCGATATTAGAAAGTTGTTTTTTCTCTCGTCAAAGCCAGATTCTACAAAGAAATGTTTCCGTCGCCTAGCTACCAAGCCATTGGACAATTTGTGCTTTTTCGAAGTTCTTGTGAACATGCGTTCAGGCGCTTCAATACATTACGTGGGATAGATATTGTTTTCTTCGTTAGAGACAGTCGATTTATAATTGTCAAGCTCTTCAGAAAATGGGTAGACATATCATAAAAAATGACCGTATTTGCATTCAGGAGAAAAAGCGAAGCCTGGAATACGATTTCCTTACTTAGTACCCCCTAGTCAAAAGAATATTCATTAGAAAAAAATTGCGTCAATTGGTTGAAATTTTCCTTTTTATGTAACAAGTGTAAATAATATTGTCTCTCTTTCTTTCGTGCTTTTACGGGATTGCAATCCTCGTTCACTGATGCCATTAAAATATTATAAATTACACATCTTCCTGTTAGATATTCTCAGTTTATCGACTTTGATATTTAAGTTGCTTCGCTAAAACTAACACTTGTTTAGTCAATAACAAGGCACGTAACCGCACAAGAGGCAACGAGGCCGCTTCCCTCGGTCGGTTTCCCTCGCTGATCTAACAATGCCAAGATCTCTTAAATTTGTGCTAAGATTTGAATAGAAAGTACATCGTCAAAACATTTCGTACTGGAAATACTAATTTAATAAAAGTCATGTTCTGGGAGAGAAGATAATCTGAAATGGCCACAACCTTTTAGATGAATGATACATATTTGCACCTTTAGAATTCATCATCAATTTTCGGCTGAATCACCACTGGCGCACTTTGAAACTTTACAAGATCACCACATAAATGATGGCTGTATGGGTGCTGATATAAATGACTTCTTTACCTTAGAATCAGGTGGTTTTACTCTTAAGCCATCTTTAGGAAAGTGTCCATTGAAGTAAATTAGACAAAGAAGTTCGTTCAAACTCGGCTATATTTTACATCACTGTTCGCCAGCGATCTGATGATTTTCTCGATTCCCGGCAAACGTAAAGCCTTAGCATATAGATTCTTTTACTCTCGATTTTCTGTTTGCTTTATTTGGCTAACAAGACAAAGAACAAGAATGCTTGAATAATATTGAATCAAAAATGTATTTGATTTGATAAGTAACCCTCAAGTGAACGAGCGAATAATCATTTTATGCTCTGACATGGTTATTTTTTAATCCACAACGAACCATCATCTCATCTGTTTAAGAGGCTTCCAGACGAAAATTTATAAAGAATATACAAAAAAAAAATTCCTTGCTTTTACATTTTGGGATGGATTTGATTTTAAGTAAAATAGATCTATCTCCGGAACAGCTTTAACTTACCACAGAAACTCAAGGAGCAACCTAAGAGAAATTCTAATGGAACACTCGAAATGGTATTCATTTTCAAATCGAAAAAATAAAATTAAAGTCTCATACGAATTACAGAAATAATTTAAAAAAGCTCTTAATGGTCTGCAGTTTTTCCAAAGATCGGTAGTAACCTTCACGACTAGCAAAATCTGACGAATGTTATGAAAGTTTCAAGAGACAGAATGTTTGACGAGTGTACTGACAGCTTTCACTTCCCAGCAAGTAATTCAACGTATTTGAAGTGTTGTTTAAAATATTTCTGAAATACATATACAGTATAACTATAAGTTGTTTATCCTCTTTTGTGGCATTCATCAAATTTAACATAAATGCTGCGTGCATTTGCCTTACAAAAGAAATTTCTGTAATTTCTGGTCGTAATTCAAGACTCGTTGCGAACTGAGTAGAAATTTATGATGAATTTATCAGATAATAATTGAATTGCCAGGCTAAGAAAGCTGGATATGTTATAGAGTACGTTGTTGATGGAGAGCCTTTACGTAGGACTTACGTCAGGGAGTTCATTTTTTTTTTCGGCCAACCTCCCACAGAAAGCACCATATGTTTAAGCAATAGACTCCAATTTCTTTCGGTTTACCGACGTAATAACCCACTTGTGATGCTGAGAGAACACGAGAAAACTTTGTAAATAGATCGCGAGCTAGAGGCGAGTGTTTTTTTCCTATTTTGCCGCGAGTTATATATTTTTTGCCCTTTTTTGTTCTCCACGTGGAATTTCAGACCCTTAGCGCTTTATGGTTACGTTATTAAATTTACGAAGCCCGTACTTGTTAAACTACCAATTTAAGCGTGTGTGTCTTCGTTCCTTTGTCTAGAGCTGGAAAAGGAAGAGATTATAAAAACCCCGATAACCTCTCAATCAAAATCTGTTGAGTCCTATGAGGTTAAAATCAAGGAGGAACCAGTGAGTCCGGAAGATTTTGAGAAAGATCACGGCTCAGATGCTGAAGAGAACCACAAGAGATCTTCCATTGATGAAGATAAAGAACCTGATTTCGAGCGACGAAAAGTACCCCGCCTCTCCCCCCACAGGAAAGAAACGGAAGCATTTAAATTTTCTTTAGAACTTCTCCAGCGGATTTTTCCTGATCAAAGTAGAGCCATTCTAGAGCTCATCCTTGGGGCTTGTGAAGAAGACCTGGTCAAAGCTATAGAGTCTCTTCTACCGGAGAACAATCAAAGACCATTTAGCCTGCCTCTTCCTCTTAGAAGCTACGGTTCTGCTTCCTTTATCCCCTGCGACGGCAATCAGGCTAAGTCAGCGTTCTCTCCCATCGCCAAGTCTCCATCGTATATGTTTCCAGGAGCTCTTGCTGCGCAAGCGCAGTCGTTGAAGAGTCCGAACGACAAAAGCCCCAATACACCTAGCGCATTTCAGCCCGTTCATTCCACGTGCAGCCCACCTGAACGTAGCCCGTCAATGGCAGATAGGTTCCAGTTTCCCGTCGTTGCGGGGTATTTTTTTAACAGGCCTGGCACGTCGGCTCTTCTCTCGCTTAACCCCGCACAGCAGAGGAATGGGGCATCTCAGCCGGGAACAAGATTCTGTAGGCATTGTGGGCACCCGAGCAAAATTGGAGACAAGTTTTGCAGTGACTGCGGCAAGTCGTTGGAGTGAACTTAATAACGATTGTTAGCCTAAATAATTTGAACTGCTGAACAGAATTTTACATTACCTTTTCTTATCTAGAACACTGGAAAATTAATCTAGGTGGTTCAGGAGTGCAATGTACTGATGGCCGCTAAAGAAATGTGTGTGTCGTGAAGAAAGAAGTGGAGTTAGAATTTACTGTGTGTATTTAGTAAATCGTGATCGATTCGCTACCCCTTGGTAAAGGGGTAACTGGGCATGCGCTTGCTTGTGCATCATTCGACCTCGACCCCAGGGTTCCTCTCTCTCTCTCTCTCATCAGGAAGGAGAAGAATCCTAGACACGATGATGGGTATAATAAGGAATTTTTTAATGTATTCGATAAAATTTGCATGAGAGAATGCCCTAAGATTAACTTGTTTATTTCATCTACAATATGATTTTAAGGGCAGCCGTTACTGTGAAGCATTTTGGAATGGAAAGAGATGGTTTTCTTGCCATCTCTGCAAAAATATAAATGTCGGTTTTTATGGTACATTTATTGGACTCCTGAGTTATTTATAGTGCGTTTGTTTGCTTGTGCAAATATCTGAGGTTTGAAAATTACAGTTATTTTTAGTAAAATAATATCATCTCAACTGAGGCAACACAAAGCTATTGTTTTGGGAACGTAGTAACTTTTATTTCCAACTTAGATTTTACGGACTAACTGCGCACAAAATCTAGCCAAAATAACAACTGATGCATTCGAAACGTGCGAACTTTTAAAACGAAAAAATATCGCAACCTCTATTACAATATCAATCACAAGCTTCTCTTTTTTTTTCAATGGACATACGATAATGAACTATCACTTTCTCGACACATTCCGCATGGAGTTATTTTTTCTTTTGATCAGCTTTTTTTCTTTTCTTTTCTTTTTTTTTTTTGGTGATGCGGACATTAAAAAAATATGCCTGTGCTGCTTGGAGCGTGCAGGCCCAGTCTTCATCTTATATTCACGTCCGTTGTGCCAGCTCTTGTAATTTGCAAAAGTTCTTCAATACAGCGTCAATAAATAAATTAAAAAACAAAAATCTACGATGATAATATGAAACTGTGCGTCTAATTTTCAAATAAAAAGTCTATTGAATTTACAATTTACTGCTACTACAGCCGCCATATTGATATTGAAAAGTCATTTCGACAATGCACAGGTTATTTAACGCTGTTTTTCTCTTCCTCCTCAAGCTCTCTCCTATTTTGACTCTCAACCATTTCTGAAAATAATAATGAAATAGCAACTGTTAAATTATATATAAAAAAAGAAAACTCCTACCAGACTAAGCCTGCAAGATCAATAAAAAAAATAACTGTAGAAACAATCAATTTGGACAACGAGCAGTCGGCGAGAGCCAAAAAGAGCCAGAAAAAATAAAGTATGTGAGCACGCTACACAGAACTCTGGGGGTGGGGTGCATGAAAAGACAGTTCCGAGATGCGCGCTGACATCAATTATTTCCACTGATCTCTTTTTTCCTTATTATTTGCACGACCGACTTCACCAACCGAAAAGGACTGCTTGTAGTAATCAACGATCGTTAATCGTTGTGGTTTGTTTGTACTGTTCAATTATGAAAAGAAAAAAGGAAAAAACCATAAAAAAGACTGTTTCTAGTGATGCATGCCTGTGTTTTAACGTAATCAATCCACCCACCGTCACAGACTTTATCCCTGATTTTTCCCACCCGTTTCTTCAGCGTACTAAATGTGCTAACACTTATGACGTCTTCAGGGGTCGATGCCATTAACAGCAACTCCTCCAAGTCCACCTCGTCACCAATTCCCACCACCACCACGGTCACTTCCTGTCTTTTCAAGGCCATGGATGTACGTGCAACAGCTAAAGCGTCGTCCGATTTTCCATTACTCATCACTACGAGAATTTTCGGCACTTTGGTTCTTGATCCTCCCTTTTCTGTGAATAGGACCGTGCGCGCGAGATCCAATGCTAACTCAGTTTTCGTTTCTCCGCCAACGTATTCCATATTGTCAAGCGTTTCTTTGAGAAAGGGTACATTGCTTTTGGCACTGAATTGAAAATCAAAAATCACGTCCGCTTGTGAGGAGTAGCGAATGACAGCGACACGTGTGTCGTTGTTTGAGATGGGAAAGTTTCTGATTACGGACCACACAAAATCTTTAGCTTCCTGGAAGTTACTTTCACCGACGGATATAGATGAATCGACCATAAATGCCAAGTCTGTTTTACCAAGACACACTGTGAAATAGGAAAGAAAGTGGTTAGGCTCTATAGGCGAAACCAACCCATTCCTCTATCCTCCACTCCCGCCTCTTTTTTTGTTTCTTTTGTTTTTTTTTCACAAGTTTCTTTCCGCTGGTCAACAGTTATGTCCCTGGGTGGGGAGGAACACAAACAATGACCCAGTCAGCTTTCGAACCCAGACCTCTCGGTCCTGGTTTTTAACGCGCTCACGCAAACTCGAGGTCCCTACATCTCCTTATGGTCAAACTGCCGACAAAATTTTTCCAAACCTAATACGACTGATAACACTATAGCGTCTTTTATACGAACTGAGATAAAAACTTATAAGACTAATACTGTGTTTAAGTTGAGTGGTAAAGTTCCCAGAAGAAAAGTCGTGAAACAAACTTCTCGTCTTTTGCAACTCACGTTCGTACGGAGCCTCATCGAGCGACAGCAAATTTCTTAAAATAAGAACGGCTTTTTTTTTAAAAGAAATGAGAAACTTTGGCGGTCTGGCCAAAACTTGAAAGAAAACTTTGTTCGTTTGTTATTGTAAGCGATAAGTTTACGAGTGAGCCTCGACTTGATGTACTAGCCCCAGTTTCTCTGGGACCAGGAAATCAAACCGAGGCTCAAATGAGGACCATTCACCACCACTTACGTCTTGTTTTGCATATGAAGGGATGTTCCATCACACAGCTCTCGTCACTCCATTTTCCCCAATCAGGATGGGAACGAATAGCTATACAGTCCTCTCTGTGATGTTTAGAGAAATGAGAAGGCTCGCCATGAGCCCATCTACACAAGAAGCAAAAACAAAGTAAGAATTGATGCTAAAAAGATGACTGAATAGGGTGACGGTTAGCTTCGAAATGTTCTTCATGGGAACGGCCTAAAGTCGAGGAGTATATCAGTAAGCACAATAGCCAGGATACCGGCTAATTGCCGCTATATTACAAAAAAATTTCAAATCGAAAGGACAAAAAAGAACAATTTATTTTCCTCATCCTTTCCCCCTTTTTGTTAGCACCCTACCCTCTCCCCTGTTCGATTTCCTTCCCCATTCAGGTTTCAGTTATTTCTCTTCTGTTCGTGTTACAACTTCTCTTCCCTTCCCGCATTTTAATCTGTCCTTTATGTCCTTTCCTTTGCCTTCTTCCACCCTTTTCAACCTTCAACTTTCGTACCCCCAATCTTTCTCGATCCCTCCTATCCTTTCCATTTTTTTTTTTGTCCTTTGTTGGGTGACTTTTGATTGAATCATTATAATCATGAATTCCCATTTTTTTCCTTCTTCGATTTTAATACATCTGTCCCTTTTCTTACCGCTGGAAAGTAACAGGTAGGTTTTTGGCGGACCATTCGTACTCTCCTTCATGTCCAAAATCCGATGCTCCAATCCATAACTTTCGGAAGCCGATTACCTGACGAATTTGTCGGATTCTGTCGGTGACCCATCGGCTCTCTTTCCGGGATCGGATACTTAGCAGATGGCCTTTCTCCATTACCGAGCAGTACTCCTCCGCCTCTGTCCAACTGAGACCGGTCCATGGTAGAGGGAAAAATTTGTAAATGTGATTTCCCCATTCCCAACCTGAAATTCACAAGGCTCTCGTTAATGAGAATTGGTCGGCGTAAAGATAAGATATCTAGAACTATTTATGTCTAAACAAAGGACAAAGAATGATCTTGCAAAATAGTGGAAATATCATCCCCGCCACTCATCCTCTTCCCTTAGAAAACAGGATACCAGTGTGGCCGGCTAAGGCTCGAGGACAGCAGGAAGACAATTAGATATGATCGAAACCTTAAATTAAACGCAAATCAAATTCAACAAAATGTTTTTAAAACACCATATGTTGTTTCCTGTTAATTTTGTTGTATTTGAATTTCAAGGCCCTTACTGTATCCGAATCTCTTTTTCTCCGTGATTCTTGAAGACGGCTCTGCAAAAAGAGAGGGAATTTCCCATTAACAGAAAGCAAAAAAAAAGTCATGTACTAAAATTGCAAGATTTTGAAGGATCCAATTCTCCAATTCTTCTTTTTTAAATCGCCGTTTGCTACTTAAAAGGTATTAATTGGCCTCGATTAATATTTTGACAACATTTGGTATTTCATGGGTAGCTTATTTTTGCGATGATAATGATAAACTGACCACTCCCCCCGTGGGGCTGGTAGCCGGGTGGGGTGAGGGGCTTGAACCCGAGACACCAGATTACAAGTCCAGCGCCTTAACCACTCACCACATTGCGATGACATCTTTATGAATCTAGGTTATGGCTCTGAATGCCAGCGTTGTAGAATTTCTTTAACAGCGTGGAACCGAGACCTTACGTGGCCTGATACGAAACCCTCTGACCACTGAAAATTGCGTTACACGACCCCACCCAAGGCCCCTTGGTTTTTTCGCTTCGCAACTACTGTCACCAAACCCATCCCACATCGTATGTCAAAGAGCTATCACCACTGTAACTTACGCTTTGACTTGCAGATATAACCGTGCGCCTTAAAGCAGTCCTCAACGTACCATCTTGAGCTTTCACCTTCAAACTCAAGAGAGACACAGTAGGCGTAATGTACATCCAGGGGTCTCCATGGCTGTCCGGGCGCCCAGGGAACAACATTATACCGTAGAGGTTCCCCGTCGAGGAAATCCCATACATCATTAATTCTCTGGTCGTTCCCTCCGATCCAAAGCCTGACTTTGGTCTGCGAATCTCGTACGGCGTTTTTTATCACACTATTTACCCATTCTATCTCTCTGTTAGATACAAGGCTTGTCAAATGGCCGTTTTCACGCGTCTTACAAAGCGTTTCCGCTTCGTACCAAGTTCGAGTGTCATCCTCAGGAAATACAAACTTGTAAAAGTAGTTGTTGTGTTCGAAGACTATTCAGAGAAACAAAACACGCTTTGATTAGAAAAGGGGCAATTACAATCTAGTCCTATCCAAATTAGGCCAGATGAATTTAAACACGGCACATGTACCCCAACAACGCGGCAAAATTTGCCACCACTGTAATAAACGGGTAAAATGTTTATCCCCCCCTATTCAACGAACAAAAGTGGGTGCTGGTCGTTGCTCAGCAACAAACGGGTATTTTAAAACAGCGACTCCCGGTGAAAAAAACAAGTGTCTGTGTTTTTTCCGAAAAAAAAAAAAATTGGGGGCTTAACTTCCGATTTTTTTCCGATTCGTATTCTAATTGAGATAACAATTTTTTCATTTGCTTGAAAGCGCATCGATATTTCTGGTTATCACACGATAGGCCCCGCCTCGTTGTCCACCCATCTCTCCAGTGCCATTGCGTGACTCAGAGCCACAGCTTACCCAAGCTTCACATGATATGGGAAGGGTTTGAGTTACAAAGGTGCCACAAACAGGGGTTTGCTTGAGAACTAAACCAGAAAGTTCACTGATAGAACCTTTAGATGGGAGGGAATAAAAAAGAGTGAAAAAGGAAGGAAGGTAATCGAATTTCATTCTCAAAGTATTGCATTTTGAAGTATTTTAGAAAAAAAAAACCCTTTGAGGTTGTATGCAAGCATCTTCGCAACACAACACCGCGCCTTGGCATAGGTCAAGGTCACGTTTGTTTTGTGTTAAGAGCTTATTAAAAGCCTTTTTTTTTAGGAAAGGTCAAGTTAAGAAACATTAAACCACCGATAATTCTCAAAAAACACCAGGAAACTTTTGTCAGGTTGGTGTCAAGAAGCATTTACGTGAAACGCATGCTGTTAATAGTCTAACCTTAAGTGGTGTTCCCGATGTTCCTGTTTTCAATTACTTGAGACGAAATTTGTCATCACTCTTTCATTGAGCGTTACTAGGACTCTGATAGCTCTATTTATTGTTCCGTAGAATCTAATCCGACGGCGCTAATCGCCCGTAATCAGAGAAAATCTGTGGTAACATGATCTAACATCAAGATCACGCGTGTAGATCAGAGCAGAAGTAATGACGAAAATTGAATCGAAATAAAATCCCAGCTTTTAACTCTCCTACTGGGCTATTGCGAAACTTGTCCGAAGTCGGGTCTTTCCATGCAACTTTTGCTTTATCCCACATTGATAGAGGAGGGGATTATATTGTGGTGCGAGCTTTGTAGACCCACCCACTGCGTCAGAATACTGAACGAAAGGCAGGAGGAAATTCGTCAAAAGTTTGGACAGGCTGTGTCAAAATCATCACTCTGTTGAAGATATACCTTTCCATTTTGTTATTGTGTTCAAGACATAATATTTTAACAAACTCACAAACTCTCAGTCTAGGCTGTTTAAATGCGGCACAGTCTCGTAGACGACAAAGGAATGGACTGTTAAAATCATAGCATATTTAAAGCTAACATACTGCGCGAATCCGTAACGAGGGTATATGAGGTTCTTATCATCAGCACGAGTGTAACTGAGCGAATCGGTGACACATCTGTAGTCTCTTAATTCACACTCTTACTTTAAACAAATCGATCATCACTCTTGTTCTAGGTTTTGTAGGGATAGTGGCACGCAAAAGATCACTTGACGATGTTAAGGAAAACCACGAATTGCGATTTTCGTGCGCGACCGCGAAGGAGGTGGAACATGACGACACTGCTTCTCTGGTAGACGAGCCAGGCAGAATATAAATCTTGGCGAAAGGTTGAATACGTTTTTTTTTCCAGAATTTATACGCGGCTATGTTTCTGTTTAATGTACATGGTGACCGGGAAAACAAAAAATACTAATTTGGGGTTTGTTAAATCCATTAGCCTGCATTTTTGTCGCTGTTTATGATAAAATACTTCGCAGTTAACCAGATTCTTGATAGAGTATCTGTAAATGATACTACTGTAATTGACATACTTGTGTTTTATGGCAACTTCCAGATTTTTCTCCTAATGGAAGAATTACTTCATCGTAGCTTTATGCTCTCTGCTAGAGGTATTTAAAGACAAGTATTCGTGGTGTTTTGATAATAAATTCCTGAGCTCTAAGCTTCAACTTCGGAGTCTTGTTACAACTCTAATGATTAAACCTAAATGCTATCATTTCGCCATGATTTTACGAGGAATCTTGGATTGAATGCACGGTATAAACACCTTTTATGACGGAATTAGAAACGTTTGCCGTAAATGAGTGATTGATAGACAACTGATTATCCTAGATCATACAAACAGCAGCCATGAAAAGAATTCACAATTGAATCCAATGGAAGACAAAAACAGTTATCGTTATCTTGACAGGATCGCAAAAGTAGAATGAAAGATGAACACGGTCACTCCGAGTACCTCGCATAAGAAAACAATGAAATATTTAAAGCATAAACATACCGTATCCGGGGGAACTTCGAATTGAACCAAGGAACAGCGAAAATAGACACAAAATCACCACTACAGCGCTGCGATGAGGACACGACATTTTGCCGGTGTATCTCCCTTGTTCAGCATTCACTTGGTGTGTCAAACTGTGGGAAGTCATTCATAATCGTGACAGGGACGAGGGTCAGCCGCCACCCCCTGTGGTTAGGTTGTCAGATTTCATTCAATAGTTCCGACACAAATTTTTCATTGATTTACCATGACGCTTTGTGTTGGAACTCAGCTTCGGTTGTGATTGCGGATCAGGGAAGATGGGAAGAAGGGGTTTAGGGAGGTTGAGGAAAGGAACTCTCGTATAAGGACTGAGACATGTCAGTGTAACATGGAAATTTACGGAGCTAATATGGGTCACGCTTTGAAGACAGACGGTTTTCCCCCCTCGGGGGAGGGGAAGGCCAGGGCGGTTGAAAGATGGAGATAGGTCTGATGTGAGGCAGGCGGACAGAGGGGGAGTTTAAATCCCATGTGAAATGTACCGGGCTCGATCGCTATTTCGCGCAAAATAGTAACATTTATTTTAAAATATTGCATGTGATAGATTAAGGGTAGGGTTAAGGATTTCCGGCTTATTAGAAAAATAAGCACGGAAGGCTTACCCAAGCCGGCATCGTAAGTGAACAGAATAAGAAGCAAAAACACGCCGTCCAGTCGAACGTGGAGCTTTTTTTTACTGAGAGTTTCACTATACTGTAGAGTACTGGGTCTGGAATTTCATGGTACACGATGACTTTTGCGGTAAAAAGAAAAAAAAATAGTTGTCTCATTTACTAATTCCTTTCTTCATCGCGGTTTTGAATCTATCAAAGTTTAAGATGAGAAAAGGAAATAAAAGAATCCTATTCACAGAAAAAGCAGACATACTTCTTTTAGGGCATGTGCCGTTTAAGTGGGCTGTTGAAAGTTTCATTACTTTGAATGAACACCGCTTCACAGTTAAACACTTAAATCAGAGGTATAAATTTTGACTGATATTGCTAGTAACAGCACGGCCAGAATTTTATGATGATGGCGTTCAGATTTGTGTTAAAAAAATCACGAGTAATATCCATATAACAGTAGCCATGTCGCAGACACTCATTGAAGTGGGAGAGATTTTTTTTATCCAGAGCACGCCAGCCAGGCACGCAGGGAAAATTGAACAGGTAGCGCTTTGTTGTCTAGTATATTTGCCATCGTGAATATCTCTAGAGCAAATCTACAGCTCGCTGGCTGCAGGTGTGCGCGCTAGGCAATGCAGGTTTGTAATAGCAAGCACTGCGGTAGTACAATCGAGATGATTCCCTTCTTCAACGCACACACCTTATGCCGTCCCAATTGCTATTCCTGGAAAACCAGCAAACCCTCTAGTTTTTAACATAAACAAGGGAATGACTTTGTGACCTTTTGATGGTTTTCCTGACGGCCCAACGAAGAAAAAAAAAGTTTACATTCACTGCTGATGACAAATTTTTCACCAGTGTAATCCAGCTCCGAACCGATTTCAGTACAAACGGTGTTTACACATCATGTTTCAACCACAACTGGTGCAAACTCCTCCGGCTCGCTCTCAAAATCCCAGTTGAATCGTTTGGTTAGATGAAGCCGAAATCGCCGCGCCTTGTCCACTAACTTTTTATCCGCAGTCGTCGAACTCTCCATGTTGGAGAAAAACACCTAGACGATAAATAAAGCACAGAGTGAGCAAAAGGCGAATGGAGAATAAAATAAGGTAAAGCGGGGAAATGTTGACCAGGCGATAAACAATAGCATAAACGACTAAAGATAACAATTATACAAACAAAGAAATACAGAACAAAAAAATTAAGTAGCTAACACGACTATAGGATTAGCAAGATTTTTGGCTAAGCTCAAAGATGCCCAATACGATCTAATACAAGATAATTTCAGGGATAATAAGTGTTGTTTTACATCTTAATTTCGGAAATCTAAATCTCCATAGAGCGTTTCATAAAAGTATAAAAAAATTGACCTAAACAGAAACACCCTGTGGAAGCGTTTTAAAGGGTCAAGCGTGAAAATGAAGCTGCGGGAGGCTCGGGACGGAAACAGTTTCTCGAGGCCTCAGCCTCATCGATTTTTAAGTTCCGCTGGGTGTCTAGTTTTGGTAATGACTTCTCTTCATAAATTTCTTTAAATGAACATCACCTCTCCACCATCTCGATTATCCTTTTATGATGTTAGGGGTGAGAAAGTATCTAAAACTTATGTACCTTAATGTAATTAACTATTAGATATACTTTTAGTGGGGTAATAACGTCCAGTTACCGGTTAAATTTTTTTCATTATTAAAACCTTTAAAATTCTTGTTGTGACGCGTTATTCAATTGAATTGGAAGGGTTAGGTTCTAAAGCTAGCTGAATGTTCTTTTTGTTCCATTTCAAGATTACAACACTAATTTCATCCTGCAGTTTACTAAAGCTGTATTCAGCTGACACTGGTGATAGTGCCAAGGCTATCTGTTTCAAACAGGTTCTCCTGTTAGCAATTACGTCTCTTTCCAAAGGAAATAATATTTATCCTCACTGGCCATTACCTGCAATGTTGTGGTAAGGAAATTGTTGGTTGACACAATGTCCACAAAGAAATCTTTTGGAATTTCTTGCACTTGAAAATGCAACACACCTAAGCGAAACAAGGCAGAGTAGTAACTTAATAAAGAACAAAAGAAAAAAATTAAAAACTTGTATACAAAGAAAAGAAAGAATAAAAAAACCAACATTACTGCACTTGTGTGATGTGGCTATAATGTTCAACTGATGGGTTGTAGGGAATAAAACTCTCAGTGGCTTTTTATGCAACATCAACTTCTCCTTTAGTTTCACAAGGGAATACAGGATTGTTTGAAAGGAGAATTCACTAATCGATCAGGAGTCGTATTAGGCTTTGTAACAAGTACCCCTCATACAAAGCAGTCTGATGCATCAATACAGTAGCAATGACAGAGGGTCTTTTCTATTCCCAGTCCTGCATATCTCCACCTTCTCCCCAAATAGGAAAAAAGTCTTAAGTTACAAAAATTAGCAGGAGACTGTTTTGGATTAACATCATCTTGTCAACATGCAGTAGTTGACAAGATGGTTGGTATAGCTAATAAAAAATACTCTTTTCCTTTTGCCCACACTCTTTACCCCACACTCCAGATGAGACAAAGAAAAATCTTTTCTGTTTCATTACCAAGCTGAAATTTATGACCTTTCCATTGTGATATGATGTATTCAACATGGCTGATCCTAATGGTACACAGGATGCATGTCACAATTGAACCTTGTATTGGCCCACCTCACCAAAGAGTCTCTGTGATTCAGTTGTAGAGCATAGGAGCTGGGAATCCCTGGATATCAGGTTTTATTCCCAAAAGGGATTTAGGATTTTTCCTTGTCAACCATCTTTTAACAGACAAAAACTCTTGAATATTTTTTTCTCATAGAAGATATCCTTTGCCAGTATCTTATCACTTTAACCCTTTAACTCCCATGAGCGACCGAGACAGAATGACTTTCCTTACAATATCAATACAAGATCAACCAGATAAGTGAAGAGAATAAAGAAAAATATCGGAGCAACTTCAGAATACCCCGCAACTCATTTACATGTCATTGAATAAGAATAGTGTCTTTTGTGTTATGCCTCGATCTTCAAAGCCTCCCGACACATGTAAGTGAGGCGGACCAAAGTGGCGGGTATTCTGAAGTTTAGCCAAAATATCGATTTGGGGATGATTGGCTGATCCAATACTATATTCTCTGAACTAACATTATAAGAATTGTATGGTTGACAGTAAGGAGAATTACAAATTTGAACTGGGAGTTAAAAGATTAAGTCTCTTTTAAACCCTTCAACTCCCATGAGTGACCAAGAAAGAATTTCTCCTTACAGTATAAAGCAGACAATGGATGAGAATAGAGAAAAAAATATCAACTAGGGATTAATAACCGATTTAATTTAACAAATTTGCCAAAATAACTTCCTAAAGACCTATTTACACAGTATGACTTTGTCGCATGCGACAAGCTTACGACAGGCCTACGACATGACTTAGGACAATTCACACACGTAGGACATTTTCACCTATGACATGCCAAAATCGCATGCAATTCCACTCGTTTCGGCCACGGTCATTGTTTCAATAATTTGCAAGAGAAGGAAAAGAACCTCTTCCTCGCTCCACAGTGATATCATATTCTCTGTTTCCTCATCTGAGAATGTATTTTTCGCTTTGGAAGCAGTCTTTGACTTTCCGGAGGTGACTTCCTCCGCCATTTTGATGCAAGAAAATTTCACCTTCCTTCCCTACTCAGTAGAAATTTGTCACAAAATATGTCATTTTCTATCAATTTGGGCTATGATTGTCACAGCGTTTTAAAACATGTTTTAAAATCCTACGACATTTTTCGTGACGTGCACGACAGTCGTAAGTGAGTGGTAGGTTTGATTTACACGATACAAAGCGTGTCGTAGGCCTGTCGTAAGCTTGTCGCATGCGACAAAGTCGTACCGTGTAAATAGGCCTTAAGAAGTGTCTGGCAGACAGTAAGGAGAATAACTAATGAGATCTTAGAAGTAGAAGGATGAAATCCACCAATTTTACCATTTAACACCATCATACACAATTTAGTCACTCTTTCCCAAATTATAAATAGATTTCAAATTGATTGGTATGTGCTTTGAAAAACTCAGTGATAAAACAGACTACTTACCTATCAGGGCATCAAATATCTCACTGCTAGTTGACAAAGCTTCATCACAACTACACAGCAGATTGAGAAGTCTTTTCCAGTGTTCAAATGCATCATAAACTGCCAAAAATGCAAAATTTTAGTTAATTATCCATTGCCGTGAGGTACCGCTTGTTTTTTTTCTCCAAAACAAAGTCTAACTCACAGCTATGTTTTATCTCTCTCTGGTTTATATTCACTGCTGTTTTTATACTTTATTGAGACTTAATATTCAGGAGTTTGAAAGTCAGATTTAACAACTCAAAATATCAAGAAATAGCTCCCTTAAAATGAGATTTATTTGTGGCTGAGGTCAAACAGGTTGTCTGTTTACAGAATGTTTCATAAAAACAACAACAACTTTATCTATACCCAACAGTTACACATAAACTACAACAATTATAAACTACATAGAGAGTATAGTTGCCCTTAATAACCATGCAGGAAGTGACAAAGGTAGGGCAACCGCACTCTTGAAAAAACAGCTTTTAACTGCACTATAATATTTACATTAATGAACATAAATAAATAAACGCAAAATATCTACCTTGGCCAACAAGGAAACACACAAAGGCAAACTGAAGTTCACCAACAATTTCCTTTCTGTCTTGGATGATAAAGAAAAGAAAAAGAAGCAATGAAAAAGGAAACAAGAAAGATACAATTCAGATAAAACCATGATCAGGTCCTATCCCTTGAATCAAATGTTTAAGTCATGAGAATGAAGGAAATGATCAGTGACTAACGAATTTCTGGATGGTTTTACAAATTCTCCTTGTTAGAACCTAGGAAATGTGTAGAGAACAGTATGGAGAATATGCATTATGATGTTGGGTGTAAAGGGTTAATGTTTGATTAAGGGGTGATACTTTGTGTAGGTATCACAGTAGATGCTTATTACTTTTAGAAATCAAAATGTTGAGGCAATCTGCAAACTTTCAGATCAAAAATTGGCTGAATGAAGCTGTCATGTATCTTTTCATAGTTTGATTAAAACAAGCTCAGAAAATAAATTCAAGATTCACTTTTAATCCTTTAACTCCCATGAGTGACCAAGACAGAATTTCTCCTTACAATATCAATACAATATCAACCAGAAAAGTAATGAGAATAAAGAAAAATATCAATTTGGGGATAATTAGTTGATTCAATACTAAATTATCTGAACTAACAGTATAAGAATTGTATAGTTGACAGTAAGGAGAATTACAAATTTGACCCTGGAGTTACAGGATTAAGAGGAGGAGAGCATAATTTTTAACAGTTATAACTTCTTAAATGAGTTACAGGTCCCACAAAAATACTTACCTTTCATGCCACTGATCATGTTACCAAGAACATAACTATTGTCCATGTTGTGTTTGCTAATTTCTGCTGGAGAGGCACCCTCTGGGAACTTCTGTTTGGGAATCTCTGAAAATCTTATCACAGATTCTGGATCATGCGCAAATGAAGAAATGGTGTCCTCACACATTGAAGGCTTTGCTCTTGTATGCAATGGCTGTTGGGGAAGCTCAGTTGCTGAAGAAATCTTTTTGCATACAGGTTGAAGTCTATCTAGTAAATCTTTAGTTATATGGCTGGTCAAGGAGACCCATTTCTTCAAGTGTTCATAAGGATAGGGACCAAGAAAAGAATCCAAATCTTGTAAACCTATATATGTCAAAAAATAAAATCACAAACAGTGTTAAAAATATTGTGAGCACCATGACTGTTAGTGATTCACACAATTCTCTGTTTTAAACTTTCAGCACTCTGTAGTATCAGTCTACATGTTTGCTGTGCAGATGCATTTTATATGCTCAGACACACGGTTATCAGATGCACATATACAATTTTCATGCATGTTCAAACTCTACCAATTAGCACACTACATTCACAGTGAAAAGTAAAGTCTGTACTCAAGCCAAGCTCACTCTGGTGTCTATGGCAAGAAGCCACTAGGAATATATTTACTCTCCCCTGGATGAGATGCCAGTCCATTGCAAGGTTACCCTAAATCATTTCATTGGACTTCCCTGATAATCTGCCAGTAACCATTTATACCCCTTAGTAGACAGAGGCACTGTGAGGGTTCTTATTAAGTAATCCTCCTTACTGTCTGCTATACAATTCTTATGATGTTGGTACTGAAGGTTTGGTATCGGATCAATTAAAACAAGTATATTTTTCTTTATTCTCATTACTTGTCTGAGTGATAAATTTATCTTGTAAGAAGAAATCCTATCTTGGTCACTCATGGGTTAAAATATCAGCATGTAAATGTAAAAATACATACCTTGCCTATATCTTGTTAATTCTTCTTCATTACAAACTACTTGAATCACATCCTCACTGCTCGGATCCCATTTCATAACAAAGATATCTTGACACTTTGTGAATAGAAATAGGCCCGTTCTCGCAGCGCTTTCTCCTCCACCAGCTACTGCGCTGTAGTATATAAAATGAAGCCCGGGTGGTACCATTTTTACTCCTTTAAATCGTGGACCAACGTTCCATGAAAAGTAATCAATGCCGAATTCGGTGCCTTCGGGAACGTCCAAAACTATCAGGGTCGCGCCTTCCTTGTGGAGGCGATTCGCAACTTCAGGATCCATTTGAGCCATTTAAAATGGCCTCTCCATGTAAGCAAACATCAAGTAAGAATCTTAAATATTTCTACGGGAGTAAAAACTGAACAGTAGGCAAGTCTCCCTAAAACAAACTGTTCAGCTCCAGAACGCTATCATTACGTCCGCCATGTTGACCGAAGACAGGCATGAAAACTAGCGACCAGACTGCTGAGCGGGTGAATAAGCCTTTGGATAACCCTGTCATGTGACCCCTTAACTTTACAAAAAAACAAAAACATGTTACCTGACCTGTTATATAATACGATATTTATTAGTCTCTATGCAACCAAATTTCTTTTGGGAAAAAAATTTATCGAATGGCGAGTTTAATTTTCTGCAATTATTTGGCTTTTGTGAGTGAGGGAAAACAGGAACTAAGACATGCAATAGCTTGCACTTATCAAATGATGTTTTAAGTCAAAATTTGTTGAAATAAATGGGACAAATACGATTGAGGGTACTTAGCTTGTGGAAAAACGGAAACAGATAACTACTAGTTTGAAATTGGAATTTTTGGGCTGCTATGGACAGTTGTAGGGTTGTGTGACTCTTTGCATCTGCTCTAAAGAAACCCAGGAAGAGGGAATGCTCAGCTTGTTCATTCAAAAAATTATTTATCTTTTTTTTTTTCTACAGAAACAGGAAATGCCCATCATAACTACGAAACATAAAAGAAAATCAATGAATGCGTCTCCAAATGTAGCTTACTATGCAAAAATATTTTTAAATTTTGATATAAAAGTGATATGGATCATCAAAATTTTAAAGTAATCGACTTTCAGTATGATTTGTAGCATTTTGCTAAATTGGGTGTCAAGTAAAAAGGTAGCTTAATAACAACATACCCCTCAGAACTTTTGAATGGCAGTAGGCATAATTTCTTTAGCAAATACATCAAAAAGAAAGATATGACACATACAAGCTATTGTATAACGATTTTCTTGGCAACTCTTCAAAACATCATTTACATAGTTTGAGCTACACCACTCATACACCACTAACATTGTGATTTCTTAACAATTTTTCAAAGAAATTTGTCATAATTATATGATATAAATACACTGCATTAAATGTTCTTTTTTGGTCATTATAGATTTTCAACACTTTGAGCTTTATTTTTAGGATCCAGTCCTAGAATAACTTCTTTCTTTTAAAGTCCTTACACAACATTTCGACAAAGGATTTGCAACACCACTTGACTTCTACAGCAAGACAAAGAAGAAATGACTGGCAGAAGGGCCTGTTATGTAAATGATTTCAAGTAATGACTTAAATTTGTGAGTAAAGTGTGAGATATACAATTACCTATTGTGAATTATTCAAAACTACTGAACAAAAAAATTGTTGGTTTAAAGTATCCTTTAGAGGAATTGAAATGGCAAAGCCCTTAGCTTAAAAGAAACAGGGAAATACTCAAGTGACTTAAGATTACTCAGTGTGGCTTAACTCTCAAGTCAAATTCACCTGTGCCACTGTTGGAAACAAAGACATCATTTTAAACATATGATTAGGCCCTTCCATAACAACAGGGTTGAATACATTTCGAAAAAAAACTCCCACACAAGAAATAGTGGTGTTGCAAATCTTAACGAAGACTAGTTGGAAGAACTTAAACAATGTTGGATAAATAATGCATAGGGAATTTCTTGAGAAACTTTCCTTTCTGCTCCATCACTGCTATATTAATTCTCCTTACAACACTGCACTGTCCAGCTTGCTTGGTACACTCTCTGCTATGTTGGCATTATTTACAATGTTGAGAAAAGGGAAATCAATTTGACAATAATCCCGTTTGAGGTGAATTTTAGGCAGCAAACAGAGGGAACTAATGTAATACACCAAATTTCAGTTGCAAAACACAAAAGCTTACTGAGAAAAAAATCTTCATAAAGGTACAGACTGTCTGGTCAAAATCAATACAACTAATGACATAAATAGTTCCAAAGAATGAAAAAGTAACTAGATAGAAATGAACCAAAGTTGAATTCAACCTCGGTGAAAAAAAGGGAGATCCTTGCAGTATCTGGGCAAAGTAAAATTTCTTTTAAATTGGATGTTTTTCCCAAAGGAAATTCATTAGAATTTGAAATTTGAGATTGTTTTAAGGAATAATAAAATCCAATGCTGATATTTAAGAAGTCCATTAAGTATGGCCATCTGCTAACAAAGGAATGGCTTTAAATCGATATGATCAACTTAATCCATAAGTTGAAAATGTCTCATATCATACACTGGTGATTACTGTAATGTTGAATATTAATTTCTGATTGTGAAAATAGAATGAATATATATTTTTTTATCTGCAACATCTGGCTACTATGTACAATGAAGATTTTTAATGATTATAAAAAAGAACTACCTAAACATGCAATTTGTTGATTACTTTGCCAAGTGTGTTCTCTGGGCTTGGCAGTAGGCTCTCCATTTTGATAAGGAGTCGTTCCACAGTGATGGTTTCTCCGCTGTTACCAATGGCGACGTGCTCAATGCGGGGACTGCAGAGTTTAACTTCCCTGATGTGTTTGCATTTGTCTCTAAGTTCCTGGACCAAGTCCGCATCAGAATCATCAATCAACTTGAAATTGATTAAAGACACTGCCTCAATAAGAGGGCACATCTTGATAAGGTTGGGTACTAATGAACTTTCTGACAAGGCCTCCTTACGAAGAGGTCCAAACTCCAAAATCCTCAACTTGGAAACAAACTTAAACATCTCAGCTATCACTGAGGGGGGTATCCTTGGGGAGTGACTAACTCCTAAGTATCGTAGGGACGGGGAATGTCGCAGAACGCCCTCCAAACATTCCGCCGACAGTAGAAAGTTCCATCGCAGATCTAAAGTCTCTAAACATTTGTAGGCCAACGTTGGTCGAACTTCTTGGTAAATTCTCAAATGAAGAATGTGCCGAAATCCGCATTGATTCATTTTGAAATAGCGAATATCCGGCAACCTAGAAATCACGTTTGAAAGGCCAGTGGTTGTCACGAAATAGCAACCGGTCAAATCGAGTTCTTTCACCACGGTCTTTTCCCAACTGACTGCCATCAGTGCCTCATCGGTGATCTTTGTGAAACGAATAAGCAGTGTTGAAACAGATTTACAGTTATTTAGGACTCGATAAAGGTGTTTTCCCCGATAATTCTTGCATTCGTTCAAGCATATCGATTCTAAGTGCGGACAATTCATCGAGACCTTGAGAAGTGCGTCATCAGTCAGTGTCTCGCAATCCGTGCAATCAAGAATGCGCAAGTTCCTCATTTTCGCAAAAACATCAGGCACGAGACTCTCAGATGAGTCCATCCCTAATCCAACGTATCTCATTTGAGTAAAATGCCTCGGTAATCTTCTCATAAACTTGAAATTTCCCCACGAGTAGCGTAAATCCATGAGTTCTAAGCCCGTTGGAAAGTCGCGTATACCTTCGTGTCCCGTTTCGCTTTCAACCTCCGCTCCGTAAAAGACCAGACTGCGGAGTTGATGGCATCTTTTAGCGAGTTCTTTAGCCACCTTGGCTGTGAGGGTACAGCCGCCCAAATTAAGAGCTTTTATCGAAGATAAACGCGTCCTGATCAACATCAACAACGTCTCTTCATCAACCGCAGGCCAAAAATCATTCATGTCAACAACACACCAAAGCGAACGATCGTACGCAATTCTTCTCCAGCGCGGGCAAACTTGAGCCAAAACCCCAAGTTCTCTTTTCGTAAAGTACCTGAACACTTCAAGAATTACTGAGTCGGGTATTTGTTTCTCCATTTCCAGGAGACACCGCTACTGACGATTGTACTCTCGCAGCTGGCGTTGTTCACCACGCGCAAGTGAAGCTTGCGTGCTTTCCTCAAGCACGGCTCAGCCAAGCGCTTTCCTCTATCGCGAGCGATACATTTTCGTGAGAAACTGACGCCATATTTAACCGAAACTTTCGATCCTTAAGAGTAAAGTTAAACAGAGAGAGTCATTTTCTAAGCGCAAAAGATCTCCACGTTTTGACCATACAATCACCAAACACTGTAAACCTCATTATGAAAAACTCAGAGCATTGTTTCGCCGGATGAGGGGCCAATGCCCACTGGCTTCCGGGCTCTGATTGGAGCTGCGCCATGACGTCACACACTAGACACAAAAGAAACCATTTCAGCTCCTTTCAACACAATAAGCGCCTTTGGACTTCGCGTCACGCGCGCGATGTTTAACGCGGATTTAGGCGAAAAAAAAAACGCGTCCCTCCTGAGCGTCGCGTCACTCAAAACTTGTGTATTACTTTTGAAATCCATCTAGATTCACGCGAGAGATTCACTCGATAAACGATTCTTTCATTTGTAGATGACTAAACGGCATTAGTGCCAGAAAAGTCAAAGCTCAAAACAATTATTAGCAACAGGAAGCGACCCAACACAAAGCTTATGCTTCTTACCTAATATTCACTTGAAAACCAACACTTACACATTTGTTTGCGAAAACATCTGTTTACCAACGCTTTAATCGTCAAAATTTTCTTCTGTTTACAATCTTTGATTCTCTTCAATGATATGCTTTTCACTAGCCAAGATTTAAACCCTGTAAAAAAGATTCTAGATCTTTTAACTATTCCCCCGTGAAGGATATTTTCAGTATCAGAGTGATCTATATTGATTGTTAACTTGATAATAGTGACTAAGATACATAATTTATGCTCTCTCTCTCTCAAATATTTGCCCAAGCATATCTGTCTAGTTGGCCAACAATTACCACAATTTGCGTCGTTATTGGCCCTTCTTGCATCCGTTTGTTATTTTTTAGGGAAAAAAATTAGACACTAAACAAAGATAAGCAGTGTACGTAAATGTTAAGGGCTCCCGAGAGACGCTGAAGCGTATATAGATACATTGTTGAGGATCTGGCGGGGAGGCTTTTTAAAGCAAGATTGTTGTCAATATAGATCAAAGTAAACATCAAGTACGATTCATCTTTGTAAAAAGGTGGTTTCATCCCTTCTTTTGAAGTGAATGATGAAAAGACACGTTTCCTCTGTTTAATGAGCATGTGATGTCGCAAGAGGCGTTTTTGGTTTGGCCTTTATCCTCCACCAATGTGACCCCTACATCCTAAATTAATTAGCAACGCATCACTGCCCGTTCTCGGAATGCAAAATCGTTGCCGAGAAAAATCTGTTGATATTTAAACAGGCGCAAAAGTTTCCAGAAAGTAACAGTCATCCAGTCATTTCATTAGATATGAGATCTTCGTTCATATGCTTCCATCTCTAATGAAGATAGCTTTACAGTGAAATATCACTTTGTCGGGAGCCTATCACGGGGCTTCTGACTTCGCCGGTTTTTCCATTGCCTCTTAACCAGCCGATCGATCGAGGCATCCGAGAGCAAATGTGCCTGCGGGAGTCATTGCTTTATTTCAGACATGAACGAAAGTATTTATAAAAGTAATTAATATTTAGTCTACTGTCTAATTTCCGCCGATTGCTTTGCGTGGGTGACAGGGATGGGCGCTGAGTTGGGCGATAATTCGAGATTCTAGAGAGCCCTTTTAAAATTTCGCGGGAAAGAGCATACGCTGTCATGACAACAAGAAAACTGAGCCAGCGATGCAAATCGACAGACAAACTATCAAAGATGGCGTCCACTGGGATGCAGATGGATCCGTTGTTTCTAGCGATGAGTTTTTATCGTCGAAGAAAATTCGAGGAATGCTCAGAAGTTTGTACAGACTTGCTGAAGAAAAATCCTTATGACCAGGTATTTTTTTTCGGCAGAAATGGTATCAAAAGTACCTTTGATTTCCGCCACTAATTCTAAATGAATTTTTGGGCTAAACAAAAGTTAGAACTATAGCACAAGCTTGCACTGAGCTTAATAGTTTTTTTTCGTCAATTAGGCTTCCTGGTGTTTAAAAACGCGAGCACTCACGGAGCAAGTTTACGTGGATGAGGTGGATGTTGACGAGGAAGGAATCGCGGAAATGTTGATGGATGACAACGCTGTGGCTCAGTTACCTCGTTAGTATAACATATTTACTAATATTTTTGCTTTCCCAAACAAGAAAACTCGCAATTTTAACTGGTTCTCTATATTTGAGGCTCTTTATTTCTAAGGGTGGCGTTGACCAGAATGCAGATGGATCCGTTGTTTGAACAGAATTGTTTTGTTTGAAAGTTTTTTGCATCTGCTGTGTCTACATGTCTGGCAGCCGGACAGGTTTTTAAAAATACTCCATATCTGGCGGTAAAAATTTTTACAGAAGTTCCCCTGAAATTTTCTTTCAAGCTTGTTAAGATTATTAGACATTTTATTAGAAGTGTTGAGTGATTTCAAAACTTACCTTGATATTTTAGTGTGCGTACCGTAAAATTGCTAGGTTTTCGACACCTAGAAAACATTTCTGACTTGGTTTATTGAAAAACTTACCCAGCAGTCAGAAATATTCACAAAATCCAGACAAATGATACTCATAAGAAGTTTGAGAGAACCTTTCAAGGGAAATTCTGTAAAAATCTCTGACTGACCTATTACTTTCCGTGAGTATTGATCACCACACGAAGGACATGATAGCTTCAAATTAAGTTGGTGACCAAGAATATTAATGTAAAATTATATTTATTAAAATGAAAGAAATGCAGTGTAGATCAAAATTCTACAAAAAAAAATTCAAACTTGCAATGTGTTTTCAGGTTATCTGATAATGATCAACAAAACAACATTTTCTAGAGGTAGTCAAGTATTTTTTTCCTGATGTGATGTTTCACAGGAAAGATTGACATCATAAGTTTTGAAATTTGTTACAAGCTTTGTACAGGCCTATAGAGTAAACCCCTCTTAGCAACAAACCTCATAGCCAAGATATGTACAGAAAAATAAGACAACCAAATTTCATTTAGATGGATGCAAACATCACTGTAACTCTGCCAGGACTCCATGTCTTCTGCTTTTGGTCTTGCTTTAGCTGAGACTTTGAGCCCTAAAAGAGACTAGTCTTTAATTTCTTCTTACAATGTCACCCCTAAATCAAACATTAATGGCATAAGGATAATGGAAATGATCATCCACTAAAGGAGCTCTTGATTATTAAACAAATTCTCCTTGTCTGCACCCCAGGAAATGTTCAGGGAACAGTATAGAGAATATACTCACTGATGCAGGGGTTTCAAAATGTTTTAAAGTTGGCATCAGATTTGGGAAAAGTAGGTGACTGTGAAATGTTCATTAAGGGCCAGAAGTTAATTATTTTGACCAGAGTAACCAGCAATATATTATCAACTAGCCAGTAGAACTCTGGTGGTTACCAGCTCAGTGATGTCAGGGTATAAAGGGTGAACATGTTTTCTTTGGTTTAATAACCATCAGGACCTGGAACTTCACTGAAGAAACCAGGAACAAGCACGGGGCATGGAGCCCCTACTCCTGGAGTCAGGTAATACAAAGCAGCAACATGGTACCCTTTCTGATCAGGAATTGACTAGCAGCTGAATTTTTTTCTAGCTCGCTTTGCACTTTTGTGTATGTCATTATAACAAATGGAATAATTACTTCAAAGCTGCACTATGCTTGTATTCCAGACCCATGTCCCAATCAGGACGTCCAGTTAGTGGATTTGTCAGACCTGGAACACAAAGTGGAAGACCAGGAACCATGGAACAAGCCATCAGAACTCCACGTACTGCTCAAACAGCAAGGTGTAGTATACTATGTATTGGACAAAAGTTACATAATTTACATTTGAAGAAAGTTCATCAAAAGATTGGTTTTTGTTTGAGTTGTGCAACTTGAAAGTTTGTGCTTGCTGCATAGGAATATTGCTGAAATTTTTATCCCATGAGTTATACTGTTAGTGTTTATTTGGCTGTAGACTAAGCAATTCTTGCAAAAACTTAAGCTCTATGTCTCTGTAGAGTTAAGCAAATTCCGTTTTTTTTTTCTGCAAAATATTTTAGTCTTTGTGAAACATAGTTTTTATGCTTTTCACTCCCAAGATCTCAATAGTAATTCTCCTTACTGTCTGCCATACAATTATTGTAATGTTAGTTTGGAGAATTTGGTCTTAGATCAACTACATGTCTGTAACAGCCCCCAAATTGATATTTTTCTTTATTTGTATCTCCTGTCTATTTGATATTGTTGTGAGAAATTCTGTCTTGGTCAATTTTCATCACATTTTCTTCTGTGAAATTTCCTAGGTGATTGTTTAAGAGTGTCTAACTTAGTTATACCCTTCCAGAGATACATGTACATCTAGAGGCAGAAAACAAGAATGTGTAAATAAAAATGGAATAGCTTTTAACCCATCTCTTGAGAAAAATGTGAGAGAATTGATAAAAATGATAGTTGAGGGCAAAATATAGTACTACTTTTAAATGTTTAAACATATGAGGCAGCTAAACCAATAATCTGTCATTCAAATTCTTAGACCAGTGACAAGTGCATCTGGCAGACATGTTCGTCTTGGTACTGTAAGTATCTTGTATGTGGATTAAAACAGTTGGAACTTGGTTTTTTTTTTAAGGTCTGAATGCCTTATTTTTGAACTTGTTATACTTTTTACTATCCAGACAGCTTTCTGAAATGTTAGTTAACAAGGTATCCATGCATGATATACAAAATTTCAAAATACATGTGCTTGATTGGCAATTCTCTCTCTTTTTAAATTATTTTGCTGTTTTAATTTCATTTTTGCATGCAGAAGATCCAAACCTTAAGAAACAGTTCTTGTGGAGTGAACTGCACAAAAACAGAACCCTCATGGAAACTTCTTCTTTATTTTTTTTATTTTTTTTTCAGGCTTCCATGCTGTCACAACCTGATGGACCATTTATAAACATTGCAAAACTCAACTTGTCTAAATATGCACAGAGGCAAAATCTTGCAAAGGTATGGTGTGCACATCAACATATTACTTAAAAGAAAATGAATAAATAACAGGAAAAAAAAGGATTCTGGTGTAAAATTTCTTCAAAAATGAAGGAATTTTAACACATTTAAGGAGCAATTCTGCTAATCTTTTGGTTTTTTAATTTTTCAGGTTTTGTTTGAATACATTTTCCACCATGAAAATGATGTGCGAAATGTAAGTAATGAAGGAAAAAAAATAAAACTATGAAAATAAGAAAAGCACTAGATTATAATTGTAAGATAATGTCTCCCGTGTGTATATGTCAACTGTTGCTAAAAATACCAGAAGCCGTAATCATATTGAAAGTAAATTTTTCAGAATCAGGGACTGTTCCCTATGGCTCTCTCACCGTGTTCAGTTGTAACCAAATTACTGGCACTTTTAACAGTACCTTGAGCAAAACACCAGTAGGTAATTAAGTATTATCAACTGAGTTGATAACGTAAATTGGCCACCGTAAAGAGTTTTAAGCTGACGTTTCGAGCGTTAGCCCTTCGTGAGAGCGAGGTTTGCTCTACCTTGAGCAAAGTTCGCTGGAACGAAAGGTCATAGTATGTTCCCAAGTTAAGACATGTGCCTTTTCAAAGACTGTGATGTACCTGTTCTTTTCAGGCATTAGAGCTTGCGGCCAAAGCAACTGAAGAGTGTCAGTTTAAAGACTGGTGGTGGAAAGTTCAACTTGCAAAAAGTTACTACAGGTACAGTTACTCATGTTTGAGAGAGCAATTTTCAATTGAGTGCTGGAAGAAATCTGGTGTGTGTGGAATTGCTTTGGTTGTTCTTTGTTTCGCTATGTGATTGTTCCAGAAAACTTTGCCACTTTCTTGACCAGTTAGATTCGAAACGGATTTTTTTGCTTTCTGTTTTCCAGACTTGGTATGTATCGTGATGCCGAGAGGCAGCTTAAATCTGCGCTACGTGATCAAGACGTTGTGGATACTTATCTGTATCTTTGTAAAGTGTATAGGAGGCTCGACCAACCAATGACTGCTGTTGAAGTATACAAAAAGGTTTGTCTTTGCGCGTTATGTCTCCCCTCACCCTCTCCACCCCTGTCATAGTGCTGAGTTGTGTCTGTCCATCCTGAGATAAATTTTCTCTTTGGTGTCAATAGTTTTGCTTCGCTGTGCTCTCAGTGATCGGTGAAGAACTTTCGCCCCCGCAACCAATCATTAGCGTGCTTATACCGACTTGGTTACCCACGTTTTTCCCGGTTACGATTAATTCGGTATTTGTTTAACGTCACAGATCTAAAGGGCTCTGTTACAACATTCTTACTTACTTTCCTCTATTGGTTCTAATTCCATCCATTCTGCAGGCCTTAGAGAAATTTCCTGGAGAGACTACTCTTCTAACAGGAATAGCCCGTATCCACGAGGTAAGGAAATATATCTCAGATTATTAACTTTGCCAGAACGTGTTTCTAAGAATACTTGTTCCCAATTACAAGGACAAGTTTCTGTGATGTGTCCGTCTGACTTTTATAAAGGGAACCTTCCACATGACAAGATAGCAACGGCCACGATCTAACGAAGAAATATGTAGTGAGCAGAACAGTGGTCTTGTATGCGTCTTTTTTACAATTTTTCCGTTTCCCTCGATCCTTTATAAAAACATTTCAAGAGAGAGGTCTGGGGCCTTTCCTGAAGTGAAATGACACTTCAAAAATGCTTTCGTAAAAGTCTAGAGAACAATTTTAGCAGATTGTCTTTTAAATTTATGTTTTTCTGGACGTCACCGTTGAGATTTGCGTACATGACCCTCACGGAAGGTAACCCCGAGTGTATATGGGAATCAATTTCTAACGGGGGAATTCGTCGTAAAAGATTTGCGTAAGAGATTGCAGAGCACCATTAAAAGTGTCATTAATTTTTCTAGTTCACCTGAGTTTTCTCAAAACACTGATTTATTTTTATAGGAAAAAATCTTAACTTAAGGAAGGGAGCAAAAAAAATCAGTAGGCTTTCGATTAATGGCCTCCCTCTGTCATCCGGCGGTTTGACTTATATGTATTGAATTGATAGGAAAAAATGTCATTCATAGCAGACTAAGAACTGCAGCAGACCTTTATTGCTTTTCTTTGATGTATCCTCAGGAGTTAAATGACATGACGAACGCAGTCAAGCTGTATAAAGATGTTCTTCATTATGACAACACACATGTGGAGGCTATCGCTTGCATTGCAACGCATCATTTTTACACCGATCAGCCCGAAATAGCGCTCAGATTTTATCGGTAAGTGCGTAGTGTTTTTCAGAGATATTTTAGAAGCCAACCTTAAAAAAAAAGCAACCAAACAAATAAACAAACAACCCCCCCCCCCAAAAAAAAACCAAACAAAAAACAAACAACAACAAAAAAAAACAGCCAGTTAGAAGCAAAGGGCAAGAGAATCTATTTTTCCAGCGACTATACCACTTACTTTTATTCAGTGTTTTCTTTTAAGTTTTAATCAAGATCTTTGGGTATTTTCGAAAATAAAGCAGAGATTAACATATATCTCAGATTAAGAAGGTATTTCACTGTTTTGTCGGTTTTAAAGTAACCGGCGCTTCAGAAATAGGTAACCGGTGAAAACGCCGGAATGAATACCAGAATGGTGGGAAGGAAATAGTTTTTGTTAGCCGTAACAAGTGCTTTGTTGATGTGTGCGAAATTTTTAGGGAACTGACCTTCATAATGGGAAATCGCTCTTCTGCACAGATCACGTAGCTTTACTCATACACATTCTTAGCCAAATATTGTTTCTCCGTTTCCCCCAGATGGTGATTTGGTAAAAAGAGATTGGGGAAAGCTTTTTCAATTTTGTGCACTTAAAGGTGCAGGAGTCCTTAGAACGACTACCTATTCAAATTACTGCCACAGCAGACTAGCATGCTAATAAAGCTGACTTTTTCCTTTCACAGCCGTCTTCTCCAGATGGGAGTATACAATGCAGAACTGTTTACAAATCTTGGCCTGTGCTGTTTTTTCGCTCAACAGTACGACATGACATTGAACTGTTTCGAAAGAGCATTGGCTCTGGCCTCGGATGAAAACATGGCGGATGTTTGGTATAACATTGGTCACGTCGCTGTGGTAAAGATTCGCTTTTTATATTAAAATGATACAATGTGAAGAATGAAGGATTTTTGTCATATGATCCGCGCGTGCCTTTATCGAAAATCATCGCAGAAAAAATCTTATGTATGGGGTCCGTTCGCGGTGGGGCATGAGATCTTTTACTTTTTAGGGCATCTTTTTGTTTCAGTGTAAATATTATCGAACTGTGCTTTTTGGTTTCAGGGTATTGGTGACATTCAGCTTGCCTACCAATGTTTCAGGCTCGCTCTGGCATCGAACAACGATCACGCCGAAGCCTACAATAATCTGGGGGTACTTGAAATGCGGAAGGGTCACACAGAACAGGTAAAACTTTTCACTGTTCGTTAAAAATTATTTTCCGTAGAGGTCACGGTGTCCATATGTTTAGCAGGTTGGACTCCTCATTAAGAGGTCTTAGGTCGAGCCTTTGTCGAATTTTTCCTCGGGCAAGACACTTAAACACACCCCTCTTCCCGTCTCCTCCACAAAGTAATGAATAGGTAGCAGTAAATTATCTAGGGGAATTTGATTTAATTGCTGAGGCCATCATTGTGTTTCATAACTCCTTGTTCGATAAACTTGACAACTGTTGCATTTTCGAATGTGAAACCTGATTTAATGTTCTTTTCCAGGCCCGCGCGTTCCTTCAGGCGGCGGCGTCTCTCGCTCCTCATATGTATGAGCCCCACTACAATCATGGACTGCTGTCACTTAAGGTTTGTCATTTCATTCTTTTTTCGGTGTTGATTAACTGCAAAGAGAGTGCGACTGTTTTCAACTTAACACAAGCTTGCGTTCAGTGGTCAACAAACAGGGTCCGAAATTACCCTCAGCTGGTCGGCTAATCTCGTACCCAGATCTTGCGTCTACCGTGTCACTAAAATGTAGGATCTCACGATTCCTTGGCCGTGGAAGGTCTGGGTACGAGACTACTGGTTAATGATGGAACTGAGAGTTTATTTTTGGGGCAAAGAATGTTAAAAATAGTTGCCAGTCAGCAAATTCTTTCATTTTTTCGTAGATGAAAACAGACGGTGCTACTTCAGATTTTTCTTTATCACTCATCCTGAAGCAACCCCACAGTCTCGTGCCTCTCAGTATTAAACGCTTTGTTTGTTTGCTTTTTTCTCAATTTATTTTGTGTAATTTTGTAGATTGGAGACTTACAGAGCAGTCACAGCTCTATAACTAATTCCTTAGAAGGCTATCCGGATCACAGCGACAGTAAAGATGTCCTAAATCAACTCAAGGAGGATTTTGCTGCGCTGTGAAAAGTGGATAAACTTTGTAAATGATTCCACTCTGTGATATTGTACATAACAGAAACGGCTGAGCGCATGAACTTTTAGATTTCAAGGTCGTCATTGGCTGACTGGAGTTAATTTATGCACAGCCCCCCTACATTATTCGTAGGAAAAATTCCTTCCTCTGCCCGAATTGTAGTAAAAGAATAATGGGGATTTTACTCGAAGGGTGACCACAGATGTGGTTCAGTAAAAACGGCAATGAATCATGGCTTATTTATTTAGGACCACATCCATAAAGTAATAAATAATAACAAGATACTCATAAAAATGTTTTAGTGTGAATTTATTAAGCAAAATACAACTTTGTTAAATCTATGTACAATGATAAGGTGCATTAAATTAGTTGTTTAAGTTAGCGCTATAAAATAACATTCTCATTTGATATCAAATAGTAACGTGCCCTCATGACGCGCATAGACCAACCCTCCCCTGCCCAACCCAATTGAAGCTAATCTAGAATTCTCGACAGTTCACGATTGCTAGGTTTTCTAACAATTTTTTTAAAATAATACAATTGAGAGTTAAAATTTCAGAGCGTTTCTCCTTCGATTAGTGAAAATTTGATGACACGAAAATTGGGATACAACCAAATTAACGTATTCTAGTATTCCGCTGTACTAAAACGAAAAACATAAAATGTCAGCTCAATTTCTCTACGGAAGTATCAGATTCGTTCTCAGTCTCTTCAGCGAATAATTTGGCGAGAACTACTGCACCACACAATCGCTTTTACCTCTCGTCCCTCGAGGACTCCAGTCTACAAAAACTTGATGATGGGGAACGAGCATAATGCAGTGTTGAGAACGTTCGACACACAAATTTCTGAGCCATGGGTAAACAAATAAAGATTTTCTAAGAATTAAATAGTCTACGATATAAATATTAAAATATGAAATAATTACCACTAACTTCCGTGTTGAATGGCAAAAAACATTTAAGGAAAATTTCATAAATTAATAGGTGGCATCAAACGGGCGAATCTAAAATATTACCTTTTATTAATCCTATCTGCTTGTCACATTAAGAAGCTTACCCAGGCTAAAAAGATTTGTCTTTGAGTGTTCATTTTTCGTTCAATACGACCAGAAGCAAAATCCGTGAGGCATTATCTGGCCCGTGAGATGCGTAAAACGCTTCAAATAACATCCCTGAAATTTGGGCATTTCAAAGAGTTAAAAACTGTTGAAATACCTAAACCGCGAAATTACCATAATTGGGTATTCCAAAATTTTTTGAAGGGATGGCTTTGTATTCGTAGTTCTACAGAGAATACTAGCGAGGGAAAACGAGTTAACAGCTAAGCAAGCTATGGAAAAAATCTAGCAACAAAGTTGTCCTAAGAAAGAAGATTTACGCCAAACTGGAAAAAGCCATATTATTTTTGCTGACCAGCGGAGCGTACTTTGTAGCTTCTGTATTCGTAAAACAACTGAATTGACTTTTAAGAGCCATTGGTTGTCAACTGAGGCACTATAATACTAGCAGCTTTTTGAGTTAATAATTTAAAACTATATTTATTAAATTTGTATTTAATTTCTCTTACTGCCGCTCAAATAAACTCTGGCTTGTCGCTAATGGCAACCAGTGGGCGGATGAAATCCAGGCGTGATTTGGTTGGCTTGTACCGTCGCAGTCTGAAAACATTAAGGAAAAAAAAACACTTTATTCGATGGTTTAATCCTTTACACCTTAACATCAGTATGCATATTCTCCCTACTATTCCCTATACATTTCCTAAAGTGCTAAACAGGAGAATTTGTTGAACAATCAAGAGCTTCTTAGTTTGTGATCATTTCCTTTGTTCTCATGACCTTAATGTTTGATTCAGGGGTGATGTTGTAAAGAGAAATTAGATGTTAGTTACTCTTAGGGGTCAACAGGTGAAACGCATGACTCGCGCGGTTATTTTGCAAGTTGCGAAGTAGAGGTAAAAAATTTGCATATTTAAGATGTCTGTCAAAAAACAACGGGTCCGAAGGGGGGAGGGGGGGGGAAAGAAAGAGAAAAGTAGAAAACTGCATATCTAAGATGTCAGTCAAAAAACAACGGGTCCGAAGGGGGGGGTGTGTGTGTGTTGTGTAAGACTTCGGTCAAAGAATATCAGGCTGGGGTTGTGGGTGGAAGTAGATTACGACCGAGAAGGGAGACGGATTAGATTTTGTACTCTGAAACTTTGAGGAAGGGGGTAAGTTCAATGTTGAACTTGACAATGGCGGTACACATGTACTTTGTCTGTCTTTTCTTTGCTTTGAACTCACTCTTCTACTCCATCACAGGACTTTCGGAATTTCTTTCTTTCTAACAAGAAGATCCTTCCAGCTGACCTTGAACTCCTTTCACAGCGTAGCTATGAAATCCTTACATGTATCACGACATGGCAAAAGGAACTCATCTAACCTTACCTGGCTGAAATACAACCTCGTTCTGACCGTCCTGGAGGAGGCTTGGGTCTGAGCAACTCGTCACCCTGATGAGAATCTTCACTCGTCTCCAAGTCACCATGGTCCCGTGTGTCCGGGTTATCACTAGGTTCTTCTAGTGCCCAGTAATCGTCGACCACGTCGTCCGCAAAGTCTGGTTCCCCTTCATCGTTGTTAAAGAGTTCATTTAAAGTAGGTATTTTAGGCTCGGCAACATCAAGTGACTGTTCGCCTTCTTCGCGACCTATGTAAGCCTCGTTTAAACTCTCTTTGGCATTTTTCAAGTTCTCGGCAGGCTTTTCTGGCTGGCCTTCAGAGAAGAAATTATTATCAAGGTTTTCTTCTCCGGAGTACAGTGGTTCACTATACTCAGGCGTATCTTCGTTGTGATCGCCAATAAAGAAGAGTACATTCTTATCTTGTTTGCTTAACTCCTCCGAAATCTGTGGAATTTCATTTATCATTGCCTCGTCATTTTTCTCATATGTCGTTTCTTTCGTTCCTACTAACGTTTCAATGACATGTTTCTCGTTTGAAACAACCGAATCCTCGTTACCTCCATTTGATAAGGAAACAATACGTCTGTCGTTACTTTCACCTTTATCTTCTTGCGAGGGTCGCGAATGATTGCGATCTGCCTTATCTTCTTCATCCAAGGGAAACTCTGTGCCATTTTCTTCGTTAGAATTCTCGCCCTCTGAAGCGTGTGAAAATGATGAATTGCAATCTGCTGCGGGAGCAACTTCGGTGTCTCCCAAAATAAACCCAACTTCGCTGTCTCTGAAGTGCAAATCCCTGCAAGTAGTGACGGCAGCCATGGCTGATCCCGGCATGTGAAGAGCGTGGTGCGAATGAGAAGACCCGTCGTGCTTGTCTGACACGAATTCCGCCGAATCAAGTCTGTATTCGTCCACGCCAGGGGAGGGAGGAACGTTGTCTGCCGGCTCGACGGGTGGTTCGTCCATCATCTGCTCTAAAACAGAGGGAACACGGAACAGACCTCTGTTCTCTGCAACCTCCGCCGGCTCCTCCTCGACCATTTGCTCAAGTATGGACGGCACGCGGAACAAATTTCTGGAGTGTCCTTCATGAGAATCTCCCGCAGACCTATGATCCAGTTTATGACTGCTAACCTCGTCATGAGTTTTCTTGTCGTCACTGCTATGTCTGACGGGCTCAGAGTCCAGCGGTAACTCTCGCAAGTGCTTCTTCATGTCGTCATGGTGATGGTGATGGGATGACAAATGATGACTGCTCCCTACTTGTCTCTCCTTCCTGCCTACATTAGCCAGCTCCTCTAATTCCTCCACACATTCTGTTTCTACCACCGGTGGGGGCATGTATACAACTGGCTGGTCCTCGACCACCCCAGGGGACCACAGAGACGCAAATCGCCTTTCCTCCATTTCCTCGATAAGTTCCGGTTTCGCTTCAACTCCGCAAACATCAACTTCAGCTGGTTTGGAGTCTGGCAATGACAGTTCTCTAATGACAGATAGAGAAGTACCCGGCACCTGAATCCCAACAGAGGGGGAGTCTTGAGATATTAGCATCGTAGGGGAAGTTTGTTCCCTTTTGAATTCAGTTTCTAACGAAGCCACCCCTATTTTCCTCTGTGGCAGATTTGGAGAATTGATATCTTCGACTTTATCCAAGTCCATTCCACCTAATTCCACAGCCACATTCGTCTCCGTCGTTGGTTTCCCTGAGTCATCGGGATCATTCACATCCAGTTTCCTATTTTGCTGATCGTTCATTCTGACTTGAGGAACAGGTATAATTTCGATCTCCTTATAGTCTGGTTCATCGACCATGCGCTGGTTTTCTTTGCCACCAATCTTTGCCATTTGGACATCTTGAACGATTGCTGAAATCAATGTTGGCGTTTCCAGTTTTATTTCTCCATTCACTGATTTCTCCTACAAGGGAAAGGATATGAGGTAATTTTCTTGCAATTATTGAGTTTCGTGGGCTTTCGTGCTCCTCTGCTTAACCCTTTACATCCTAAGATCAGCATGCACATTCTCTATACTGTTTTCTATACATTTCCTAATGTGCTGACAAGGAGATTTTGCTTAACAATCAAGAGCTCCTGTACTTGTTGATCATTTCCATTGTTCTCATGACCTTAATGTTTGATTCAGGGGTGATACTGTAAGGAGAGATTAGATGCTATTCACTCTTAGACGTTAAAGGCTTAACAAAGGGTTTCCGTTTGATACAGATTCTGGAATTTATAGTTACAGGTATGTTAAGTCTGCATTCGTGCCAAGTGGCCCATCCACTCAGAACTTCTCCCAATTTCTGTACATGAAGCGACTAGAAGTATTATTACCCCACCCCCCCCCACCCCCACCCCCATGGGATGTTAGTCGATCGCGGGTGGAGTATACTCTATTTACAGTGCATGAAATGGTTCATAAGACTACACGAAAATCATTAGACTAATATACATCAAAACATTTATACCTGTTTGGTCGCCTTTTGAAAAACAGCCTGGGGCTTCAAGAAATTCCCATTTTCTTTTTCCACAGCGTCCAGTACTTCTCTTATCTTCTGTATCACTCCTCTGTCTGTTGTGCCAAACTTGTAGTAAGTGTTGCCATTCTTCGGAACGTTATCCTTTCTGTTCGCTTCATTGCCATGCTCGGCACTGTGATCTTCCAACATGTCCATACTGGGCGACACTCGGTCCGAGGCATGATGGTTCGGCGGACCGGGCTTGTTATCCGGAGGGGTTGTGTATATTTGCCCCACGGGAGGAGTGCTGGTGGTTGTTGTGGCCTGTGAAACATCACACGGCATTTTCTCCCAGTCAAACGGGTCGCTTTCTTTTATACTCTTCTTAGCGATCGCTTTCTCCACAATGGAAATGAGCATCTGCAAGGAAGAATGGCAATGAAATAGAGGATATCCATTTTGACTGTCAGCACTTCCTAGACTACGAGCAGTCCTTCCTTTTCGGAGAAATCCGACGCGCAAGTCCGAAAAAAAACAGCCAAAAAAAAAAAAAAAAAAAAAAGATTGTGGTTGGCGCACCGCGGTCTTCACCAAAAAGGAAGGACTACTTGTGGTTTTTAAAAGCTCTCACAAGATCTGAGACTTTTTTTTCCACCCAGCTGATTATAACTGATTTTATGGTTGGCTTGTCTGTCCTAGAGCGTTGCTGAAGGATCAAAACAATATTACTTGGTTTAAAATTTTCCCACCCTGATTTGGATATTCCAATAACCTGTCTACTTAAAAGTGTATCAGAATCACAAGGAGAAGTTGAACATCTTTTTGTTTTTTGTGAACATTCTAGAGCCTTCTGGAAAGAAATCTCTAGTTGGTTACATGAATGCGGTATTGAAACGCTTCCTGATCTAACAGATCAAATTAATATTATGTTTGGCTTATTTGATGTCGATAATCACTTTATGCTTTTAAATCACATCATGTTAATAGCGAAGTAGACCATCTTTCTCGGCAGACAGAAATCTATTACCCCAAGCTTTATTATCTTCCTCGCGCACCTTAAAAAAATTTTTAGAATAGAAGAATACCTAGCTAAAGAAAAGAAAAAAACTAAACTTGCACTTAATGAAATGGGAAAACTTATACAATCACTCCATTGAAATAACTTTACCTTGGGTAGCCTTGTATTAATATTTTTGTTTATTGATTTATTTATTTACTGACCTTATACAATTTTATTTACTTTATACTGCTGTAATTTTCTTTTTTTTTTTTTTTTTTTTTTTTTTTTTAATGTAAAACGGAAAAACACAATAAAATATAAAAAAAAAAACAAGGAGAAGTTATAACAATTTACTTAACCGGCGATTTAGACAGTAATGAGAGGTAATAAAGGCGGGAAGCTTTACCGGTCACCGCCCGGAAAGGAGAACACTTAGTACATGTATTTGGGGACAACTGTGGAATAATAATTCAAATCAAATTGATGCTTGTTCTTTCACCTTGTAATCTGGCTTGTCTTCATACTTCAGCTTGTAGATGTGATCCAGAAATTGTCTAAAGCCCAAAGGAAGCGACTTCAGAAACAACTGATGGTCGTAACTTTTCTTCATTTTTCCAACTTGTTCCTGTACAATATTTTCATCATTATTAGTATGATTGGCTGAATGACACACACATTGAAGGACAGATGCATATAGATGTCACCATTCACAACATTTTGCTTTGTTACCAACTAAAACAAAGAGATTCCATGTTGCCGTGAGTGTGTTCAGTAACAGGTCACAGAAGACATTAACATGTGATAAGAACATCGGTGTTCATCCCATTGCAGTTTCCTGACTTGATGATGACGTCCAAACAATAAAGTGAAGGTCAATGTCTGGATAGGAACGTGTAAAATATCTACATGTTATGTACCTTATCCTTCATTTTTCTCCATGGTAGATGTCCATTTGCAAACTCTGCCATCATGTAGAAGAATGACCACAAATCATCCTGTCTTCCCATTTCCTGTCAAAGAAACAGACGCTTTACCTTTAATTCAATGAGACAAAACCAAGTGACCATTCACTTCTTCAGTAATATCATGACAACACCGTTTCGTTGCTTACTGCCTTTGAGTCTGGATAAAAAAATTAACACCAACGTTTACTTGTGCATTTCTGGACATAAAAGGTGAGTATAACATACTCCATTTTTTTTAAAATGTTGTGCCTGACACAGCATTGCATTGCAGGATTATGAGGAAGTTTTCAAGCAGCTAGCTTGAGGAGGGAGATTTTATCATTAACACACCCGACTGATTGCCATAGATTTCTAAAGAAATTAAAAGGAAAACTTCTGCAGAATGGATGCAAGGGCATGTTTTGCTCACCTTATTGTCATGAGCATTGATGGATGCATACCGAACAGTCCCTCTAAACCCTGCAGAGTTCCTTGCCTTGGAAAAAAAACAAATAAGCACAAAACAATAAAAAGTCATCTTACCCAATATGGCCTTAACTTACTAAGCCATTGATAAAATAGCCTGACTTCAAGGCCCTAGCCACAACACTGTTAGAGAGTTGACCCATCACTCTCACAGGGCCTCCCATCACTCATGGGTACCAATTGGTACCAGCAAATTTGCAGGAAACCTGAGAAAGTGCTATGGGGTAACACCCTCTGTGACACATTGTCATCCCATCCAGGAGAGCCCAGCAACACTACTAGTTGCTTCAAACCACAAAAGCTGAGAAAAATTCTTCTATGATAAGCCTACCAGCTCATTCGCTGAATTTTGAGAATTCTCTCCTTCCATACTATAATAACAAGTTGGTTTTAACTGAAATAAAACAACAGTTTTCTAAATTGTTGTTGAAAACCACTCAGTGAAACTTTTCTTTTTTCTGAAAGGATTCAGAAATCTTTTCTGCCCATCCAGGGAGAAATTTTAAAGGAAATTTTAAAGATGTACTGTCTAGCAGCCTTGATGTTGCTAGCTATTGGAGATATTGGTACTTACTGGTCTCACGTCGCCATTGCTTTTGGTGTACTGCCGCGCCAGACCAAAATCCAACATGAAGCAGGAATGGCAAGTGTCTGGTGTATTGCCCATTGCAAAATTAGACTGAAAATATAACAACCTCATCAAAAAATATATAATTTTGCACTTTAATCTTGGTTTTGCTTAAAGTAGCACTATAAAAGGAACCTTGTCAATAAGAGGTCTGATTGAAATATGAGTGTCCTCTCAAACAATCCATTACCAAGCAGAGAGATAAACATGCCATGGAAAAACTTTGAAATATCCAAAAATAATTTATCCTTATAGTATCCACATTTTTTCCAAAGAGGTGATCAGAAGTTAGAGATCCATCACCCAGGGATTATAAACTAATTAATATCATATACCAAACTCTTAGATCCTTAACAGACAGTGTGGAGAACTGATAAGACAGGTGTAAATTCTTGGGAGCAAATGGGTTAAGAACTCATCTACACATCAACTAACATAGCACTAGATAGTTGCGAGATTGTAATGGATAATAAACCCAGTAAAACAAGTTAGGCAAGGCTAGCTTTGGACCTGAAGCACATTTTGTACCATTATTGTACAAACTATGTTTTAGATCCGGAGCTAGCCCTCTTTAGTCAATGATACAAAACAAATGCTTTAATGCTGAAAAAACACCAATTTTACAATAAAGCTCAAAAAATCTTAATACCATAAATATTTCTAGAACATTTTTGTGTAAGGGAGAACAAACAAATAAGTGATAAAACCGGCCTGTAATAACTACATGGCCCTCTGATCTTTCATGTAATTGGTTGTAACACAAAACAAATTCCAGATATATTTCAGGTGCTCATTGTTTTCTGAGTTTTATCCAGCCTTAACTAATTTTTAAGCCTATGTCCTTGTACACCATCTCCAGTTAAAATGTTTTCTCTAAAATAATAATAATATTATAATGGTCCATACATACAGGTTTAATGTCTCGATGTAAAAATCCAGCTTCATGGATGGCTTTTATAGACCGTAAAATCTGAAAACCAAGTCTCAGCATAGTGCTTTGAGAAAAGACTCCCTTGGGCTGGCTTCGACGTAACTCAGCAAGGTTTGAGCCTTGTAGTGACATCACAAGATAGTTGAAATTCTCATTTCTGCCACAGCTTATAAACTTGCAAACGTGGCTACAGCCTACAGCAAATAAAGTTAAATAAAGTTAAACATAGTCAAATGAGTTGCAAGTGCAAACTTTGTAAAATTAAACAATCATGCCTTTCTTAATTAACACTTCAACAAAGCACTTTCCTTTTAAAGGTCAGGCAAGAGCATGTACCCTTGCACAAGGATCTTCATAAATGGGCAACAATTAAAATTTTGGTACTCCACAGCCAATCTATTGGACCCATCTTTAGTTAATAACTGCAAATGACTTAGCAAAACCCTGCACAATGACTAGCACAGTTAACCAGCTAGCTCTTTATTAGCATAATTTTCAAGACTTTGGATTCAAGAGTGAATAGGGTTGGCATAAAAAGAAAATTTAATTATATAATAGTAAAAATTCCCTTACCCTGGAGCTTCTTCAGCACAGCCACCTCCATTTTGAGGACTTGTTTGGACTGGTTTACAGACTCCACCTTCAGGGCGACTGATTCCTTTGAAACAAAATCCAAGGAAGAGTAGATCTCCCCTAAAATTTATATAAGGTTACAAAATTAAATTTAGATGATTAATGATTCTCCCCTAGTAACAATGTATAGTCAACTCAAAACTCCAGAAAGTTCCCTTAAGTGACATTTAAAATTTTGAGGGTAAAAACCAAGGGACCAATACCAGTACATCAATAAAATAAATATATAAAGTACAATAGAGGGAAAAAAATGCCTGAAACTGCCACCCAATAGCAATCTTCTCAATGCACAATCATACTTTTTTGGATTTTACACTAAAATAGTTCACTACTAAAAGAATACAAAACTGGTCTTTCATATTCCATTCACAATCAACTGACAAACTCATTTGACTCTGACAATGACTTCTTTACTTCTCAACAAAGAGATCACATAATATGCCAATAATATCAAAATGATCCTTGCAAATGGTAATTTTTTTTACAAGAAACATGCATACACATGTACAAATTTGTGATTCTCAAAGTTTTTAATTGGCACAACTAATTTGATCAACTGAGAATTCTTTCACAAAGTTATTGACAGGATTATATTTTATGTGCAAAACTGGCTTCTCAACCATCAATATTACCTTTCCATCTAAATTTTAAAAACATCATTCTGCCACTTAAGTTTCACGTAATAAATAACACTTTATGACACAGGTAGAAATTAACATCTTTGCCAATATACAATGTATTAACAAACTAAACAACCACAGTGACGTAGTTATCCAATAAGGAAAATAGTACATTTCAAGTATGTTCATGTCGTAATAGGAAGTGATTAGTGCCCTTGAGAAGTGGCTACGTAAGGACGAGTTAATTGTTATTCATTTTAAAATAAAACTTTTTCCTTTATCTGTATTGACAAGAGTCAAAAATAACATGTGTTAGAGTCTACTGACATCTTTTATTCTGAGAGTCAAAGATGTCACATGACTATGATATCTGTAGAGTTCAAGAGAGTATGTAGCTGTAAAAAACAAAGATAGCAAAGTAAGGTGTAATTCAGTCCAAATGGGCAAGTTAAGGTCTGATTGATACACCATTACAAATAACTATTCATCATTTTCAATATTTTCAGCATTTTGTCTTCAGGTTTACCATTAATTAAAGCTAAACATGTCAAGTGTTGTTAATTTCTGATTTCAGAAGTGAATATATATTGATCCCTTTTTCAGTATTTAGTTGTTTGCCAAGTCATCCCAATTATAGCATGCAAGTAGGAACATACTAGAAGTCAGGATCTCTTAAAGCAATTCTCATGGAACAAATGCATGTGTTACAACTTGAAGTAGTCAGAACTCAGCTATAATAAATTTTTTTTTTTTTGGACAAAAAGGTCTGAATAAGGATATGCTGTAACAGGAAGACTGTTGTACAAAACTCTGTTGCTGCATTCATGAACAACAAAAACTACACCACACTCATTTCAAAATACTGTTATATTGACTAAGCTCTTAGAGTTAACCTTGAGGACCTGATGCTTCTTTTAGAAAAAAAACACTCAATACTAACTTTTCATTTACAATTTTCTCATGCAATCTCATCATCATCCAATGCTTGATAAAAAGCAGAAGCAAGTCTTTTAAAAAAATAAATTTTGGTAAACAGACTTAATTTAAAATATTGCCTCAACTACAAGTATGATTACAAAATGAAATTTATGTTGAATATTGCCATGATTTGTAGCTTTCTCATTCAAGATTAGTAAATATTTATATAAGCTGAAAAAGAAAATGGGATTAAATATTTATCTTTGAGAAAAATTTGGGAAGCAACAGTCTAAAATCCCCAAAATCATGAACACATGTGCAATAAATCTGAGTTTTAAGGTACAAATTCAACCAACCTCAGTGACAAACAACAAACCCTACCAAATTCAGAAACTGGATGGAGTCCAGTAATCAAAAATATTTTGGGTAATTCAAGCACTTTGATCAGACAGCCAATACTTTTCATAGTGCTTAAATTATATCTCAATGACACCAAATTGTCCCATTTCAAAGACAAAATTGAACTAAATAGCGGGTATTGTAAATAATTATTAATTGTTGATAAAACATCTCTGCTTGAGTGCTCTTTTAAATTACCAAGCTGTGTTCAAATAAGCTGGAGTTTGATTAGGTTCAAATACACAATGTTTGATTGTCTGTTGATAATGGTGAGAAAATTAAACCTTTGCTGAACCCTCACAACCAGTATTATATCAGATGCAATATCCTCATGCTGCTACAATATCTTCACCTCAAAACATAAAATTTCAACTTATTTAAACTTCCTGTTTACACCCAGTAAAAAACAAGTCCAACTTCAAAATTTTGAGCCCTCGTGATTTTATGTTGAGTTTCTGAATATAAAATCCATTTGACCTTTGGGTCACTAGTCAAAAAGTCGCTCTATTTAAAGAAAAACGACCATATAAAGAAAAATGTTTTGGGTGGAAGGTCTACCAGAATGGCAGTAATAAGAGGTTGTGTCGACATACACAAAATATCCTAAATAACGAAATTACTACTGCACTGGTAAAAACAGAGTGTGACCTTTAAAATTGAAGTAATTTCACTTACCAAATCCACCGCCACCGATCTTCTTGTCCTGTTGGTTAAAAGAAAAGGATGCACTTGATAAAAACGATTGTGACACTATGTAATTAAAACATGACATTCTCAATTTATGCGGACGTTCGTTATGTAACTAGCGATCAAAATCTTACAAAAGATGAGTTATTGACAAAGCTAATTTAAGGTTCACTGCAGAATAAAGTCTGCTCTCGCGATGGATGCAAACTTAAGAGAGTTCAATGCGAATTGTCACATTCAACATGCAGAAATGATAAAATGACAAACAAAAGGAGAATTATCTACAGGTAGCCTTGACATGTACACAATTATTTACATTTGCACAGCAGTATTGGCCAAAGTACAGTTTTGGAATAAAACATTGAGTGTATGTACTGTTGCCTTTCTGTATTTAAAAAATTTCGCCCTGCAGCCAGCTATTTAAAAGTACTACTGGCGATTGTAAGCTAGCGCAGATTATGGCCGAGTTTAAACATAGATTTGTGTTGCAGTCCCACTTCAGTCTCGATTACTAAATCGAGCCGGCATTTCCTTGAAATTCGCTAGGTTGCGAAATCACGGAAATTTCTGTAAGCAGTTCGACTTTATGTGTTCCGAGAATCTAGAATTAAATGTCGGCGAGTCGACCTCGTTCCTCCATTATGTACACCAGGGAAAAGCAATAATATCAACCACTAGTGCGAAAAAAGTTTCAGCTGTTCCGATTATGACTGCGCGGTTGCCTCCTTAGATTTACACTTGAGACTGAAATTAGGGAGACGAATCGAAACTCACAGGCACAAAAAATAGTCGAAAGTTATAACAAGGGAACTTTAATTAACAACATAGAAAGGTAAATATCACGAGGTTGAACGTTTTAAAAAATATTTCCCGACGGAACTAGTTTTAAAAAGTCAAGCGTTCGCTACTTACGATTTTCCATCTTTGCCTCACCACGTCGCCCGGTGTAAGAAGATCCGCCATTAGCTACCTGCCCTTTATAACGCTAAAACCGAGTAAAAACATTGGAAAATGATTATAGGAGAGGAACTCTCCCACCATCCAATTGCTGTTGCAATACTACACAACTCTAAACCACTATAGATGACTCATGTTCCCTTCTTTTTATGTAAAAATCAACGAATATCAATGAACTAGCCGCAGCGATAATAATAGTCCGTTGATTTATCTGAGACTACGACAAGAGCATGTAACCGCCAGCGGAAGTACACAAGGAAATTGGAGTGAGTCATCCCTCCACAGCGGTAAACTACTATTATAGGTTGATACGTGGTGTGATAACTTTATCCGTAATTTCACAACATGGCGGAACGCCGGCAGGGAAGGAAAAGGAAACACGAAGGCAGAATATCGTGCAATGTCCAACACATCATTTATTAGCTGTGGAAAATGAAAAATTTGCAAGAATTCTGCGCACTTGGAAATGGAACTTCATTAATCGTGTGGAATACAAATGATTTTGGCTCTTGTTTCAAACTCTTATGCCTTGTGCTCCCAGCCAATATTTTCTTGATTTGTTCGAGCATATTCTTTTCAAGGGGAAAAAGGCAGCGATTTCAACTTCCGGAAAGTCGCCTTTACTTGTTCTCAAATCTGCAAATTCTAGTTTCGTTTTCGATATTTTTAGAGTCACTGATTGAAGTTTTGTGCTCATGGTTTGTTAATCATTATCACCCCCCGGTTTATCTTGTTACGAGTTCGCTTGTGGCAATAGCATGGATTTCAAACGCTGTCTGTGTGCGGAGAAACAGGGTGGTTATCCTCGTGAAAAAATGCTACGCTACAGTTCATATCATGGTTATAATTTTGGCATTTTTTATGACAACTTTACAGTTATATTCTGTCATTTTGAGCATCAAGAGACAAAGTTTTGATTCACTACTTGTTTACGAATATGGCACTATATGCAGATTTTCTCTGCAGATTATCTTTCTGCTGCTTCTTATACCACCAATTTGTGTAAACCGAGATTGGATTGGGTTGCATGTGGAATTCTCGTCGTCAGCTGCATCCAGCGATATTCAGGGCGGCACAGAAAGAGATGCATTGCTGCGAAATGCGTCGAGAGGTACATTTTACAGTGGAACACAGTGTATCTCTGATGACCTTGGAGTTGCAGAGGAAAAAGCTAATATTTTATCTAAATTAACATTCTGGTGGGTGAGACCTATGATGAAAAAAGGTTCAAAGGGAAACCTTCAATATACAGAAGATCTGTTTTTACTACCTCAAAGTCTTTCGACCAAACGGCTAAGAATTCTTTTTTCAGCTAATTTTGATAGTTCAACTGAGGATCTTGATGCAAGGAATAAACTAGAAGACAGCTTTTCAAGTGAATCTGGTTATGGGGGTATTACATTTTCTCCAGGCACTATACAGAAGAGTGTTTCAGATCCAAATTTTAGACGATATTCCAATGTGAGAAGAATGACAAGTACTGGTAGCCATGCTAGCACAGAATTTTCTGAAAAGGAAGGTAATGGGTCAGGTCCTGAAGTAAGTAATCCACGATCTCTCTTAAGTGCTCTTCACCATTCATTTGGTCTGCAGTATTACTGCATTGGACTTCTGAAGTTAACAGGAGATGCTCTCAGCTTTGCAGGTCCGCTTTTGCTTCATGCACTGGTGTCTTTCATGGAAAATAGACAGGTTAGTCAGTGCCCTAAGCTCAATGCATTTCAAAGCTGCCATTTGATAGCCTAAAGTGATGAAATGGTTGCCAGAAAGGGAAATAGATGAGCACCTTGAATAATAACAGGCAATAATTATTACTCAAACGATAGTGGAGCAACACTTGAGCTGTAAGCGAACTATTGTAAATTATGTGCTTGTTCAGCTGCTTGCCATAATGATAATTTGGTATAATGTGACTATATCACTAACATCTGCCATTTTCTTCCAGGAACCAATGTCTCATGGCTATTATTATGCTGGTGGACTGTTCCTGACAACATTTTGTTCAGCTTTTATAAATTCACAGTTCAATTACTGGGTTAGTTGATATGTCATTGTTATTTCCGTGGTAAGAAAGAAATTCAAGAAAGCTGATTGACTTTGTAAGCCTTTAGAGATCTTCTTTTGTAAAATGAAGGCCACTTTTGAAAACTTTATCACATCGTTCCATGAATTTGTCACTTTTGTGTCTGCATTCAATCCTAGATGTAGGTGAAACCAGAGGGTTTCTATTGAAAGTTCTCCAAAATTTTATTGGAGGGGAGTCCTGGAGTGCCATGCTCTCCCCCCCTCCCCCCCTTTGTGAGAATTGTTTTTGTTGTTGTTGTTGTTAGTAAACAACCTATAATATTCTGGTGACAAAAACTGGTGAGTACCCTCGGATTGGCTCAGTGTGACCTTCCCCTTTAAAAAACCCGGTTACCCCCCTGACTTGCATAATGTATATGTGTACATAATTTTACTACATTGACCCTCTAACTCCCAAGATCTGATTTTTAATTCTCTCCTCCTGCTGCTACACAATTCCATGTAAATTAGTTGTGAGAATTTGGTGTAAGATCAAGATAAAAACTTCAATTTTTGTGATAAGTTTTATTATTCTCATTAACCGTTTGCTAGAAAACGTATAGATATCATGGGGAGAAATTACATGTTAGTCACTTCTGGGAGTTAAAGGGTTAAATGAAAAACAACACAATAGTTATACTTACTACAAGTGAAGTTGACTTGCAACTGTTCACCATGGTTCTGCACAGTATGAAGCTGTGGGCACTTATGCTATGTTCTTTTTATTTCAAAGTAATTTTTGATCAGTTTATTTGTTTGACAGATGATTATTTGTTTGTTTTTGTGGTTTCCTTAGGTAAACAGAGTTGGCCTGAAAATAAGAGCTTCTGTTATTACCACAGTGTACAACAAAGCATTATCTGTCAGCCTTACCACTTTGTCCAAGTTTACAACAGGAGAAGTATGATATTAAAATTTTGCATCCTTCCAATGGATCTCACGTAATTGGCACTTAGTTTTTCAAGGCACAGAGAGTATATAATGCATATTTTCTTCGAGATAAGTCGCAAGTTTTTTAACAATTCCATAAGAGGTAATATCAGGTGTGGATCCTCAGAGAGCTCAGAAACTCTTAATGGTGGCCAATTTACATTTTTAACTCAGTTAATAAATTTAAGCCAAATTATCTTTTAATAATGAAAAGCCAATTTTCAAAGAAAGGCTACTTTGTACTTTAAAAGTTTTGATTTTTTTCAATATTCACCAGGTAGTGAACTTTATGAGCACAGATACAGATAGGGTGGTCAATTTTGCTCCAAGTTTTCACCAATTCTGGAGTTTGCCATTTCAGATTGGGGTATCACTGTATCTTCTCCATCAGCAGGTAAAATGCATTTTGATCTTCATTTGAGAATGGAATTTTTTTCAACCTAAATCCTAGTCATGAAGCTTCCAAATAAACTTATATCATTCGGTGACTCTTTACCTTAGGTTGGTGTTTCTTTCTTGGCTGGCTTGGGCTTTGCCATTCTTTTGATACCCATCAACAGATGGTTGGCAGAGAAGATTCAGAAATTAAGCAAGGAAATGATGGCACAGAAGGACAGTAGAGTTAAGGTAAAAATCTCAAATTGACACTTTTTTAAGGGTTGAGAAATTTGCAATGGGAGGTGCAGTGGTCATACAATGAGTGTACATGTACTGGATTCTGGATCAAGAATTCTTGGTTTGAGTCTCAGCCATTGTGTTTTTGAGCAGGACGCCTGAACCTTACTTGCTTTATTAAACTATAGACTGAATAATAATTGTTGCTAATGTTGATGTAATCTGTTGACCACAGAGATGTTTGCTTTCCATTTGGGTAGGTTATGAATGAAATTCTACAAGGGATAAGAGTTATAAAATTCTATGCCTGGGAGAAAAACTTTGAAGAGAAGATAGACAATTTAAGGTTTGTATCTTTTTCTGAAAACTTTTTGTGGAGTCTCTCAAAAAATTTCACCCACCACATAATAGGAAATGAAGATTTATTCCAACCTGATTTAGTTTTGCAAATCAGTAAGACCAAATCATGAATTTTGGTGGGAGTGATTGTTACTTTCGTGTAATTTAATTAGTCAGTAACTAGAAAGTTAATTTGCACTGTGAAAGTCAGTGCATCTTCATTTTTTCCAGGGTAATTCACACATATGTGTGCCTAAGTTTCTTTTAAAAAGTTTGCAATGATCTTGGGGCATTGAATTGTTGAAATATAATGTTCTAAATGTGCTGTGTGAACAATCAGGATTTTTCATATTTTTGGGGAGGATATTCTTTCATCTTCTATGATATTATATGATCATTCTAGAATATCAACTTGTATTAAAGCTTTGCATTTTTCCTTAGAGCTGCAGAGTTGAAGAGTTTGAAAGGAAGGAAATACCTGGATGCTTGGTGTGTGTACTTTTGGGCAACAACACCAGTTATCATCTCCATACTGACTTTTACTACATATGCTCTGCTGGGAAATAAGCTCACTGCAGCTAAGGTGCATTGAAAAATTCTCCTATACAATCTGTTATCAATTTTGTGCTGAAAAATTTGTACAGGAAAATGTGAGGAACTGTTAATGTGAGCATACTGTAAAGCTGTACCCTTGTATCCTCTCTATGTTGCTGTACCCAATTAATGAAATTCCTGATGCATCATATTCTTGCCAGGTCTTTACAAGTGTGGCATTGTTCAACATGTTAATCTCTCCACTGAATGCCTTCCCTTGGGTACTCAATGGATTGATGGAAGCCTGGGTATCAGTCAAAAGGATCCAGGCTTTTCTCTCTTTAGACAACCTGGACCTGACTGGTTACTACCAGCAGCCAAACCACTCAGACAAAGAGGATAGTAAGTGTTGATTGAACAAGTATTTTTTTGGGGGGTTGAAGAAAAAAGAGAGAAATATGTTGGCTTAGTGATTTTCAGCCTCAATTAATGTGGTTTTGTCATTAACAGAGACACAAAGAAAATATAGGAGGTGGAGCTGGAAATTTTGTCATGCGGATTCCTTTCAACTCCTAAAGATCACCGAGCATTTAGGCTGACTACATGCAGTCTGTTGCTACTACATGGGGGAATGTGGGGATATTTTATGGGGGGGGGGGGGGGTCTTCAGGAGGATTCAAAGAAAGGCACTTGTGAAGCAACCTTTGCTTTGTTTGAAATCTTTTGTTTGAGGTATTTTTATCCAGTGTAACCCCAATCAATTTTCAATCCATCTTTAAAAACCGAAGTTAGCCTACTTTCAGTCAGCAGATTTAGTGGGTTGTTTTGGAACTTTTGTCTTGACGTACAAGTGTCTTTCTTATCAGAGAAGAACTACAATGTATCTAAGTTTTGTCTTTTTTGTTTTTTTTTTTTTTTTTTCATTCCAATTTTTACTAGTGCCCAAGCCTCCTGAAGTATTGATACAGAACGGTCATTTTAGCTGGAAACAACCCGAAGAGCCTGGTGAAGAGGAGCCAGCTTTCACAACCGCTGGAGACCTAACGAATGTTGATTTCTGCGTAGAAACAGTAAGCAAAACTTTAGAGCAACTTTCAACTAATTATTGAGAGTAAACCAGGATTACATTGGTTTTAGTTGTTTCGTGTATGAGGGTGCGAAGGCAACAAATTTGCCACAGTGACAAAGCGTGAGTTCTATCAGCCTGAGTAGCAGACGCTCGTGGTAAGAGCGAGGAAGCACGCGTGCCAGAAGGCAAATACGCGTGACATCTTGGGCGTGTTTGGCGTTTGTCGATCATTCGCGCCAGGCCTGATATAATTTAATCAATATTAAATCAACCTTTTAGTTTGTTGAGTTTTTCTTGATGTTTAACTAGGGCCAGCTAGTTGGGGTGATTGGTAAAGTGGGTTCAGGGAAGAGTTCTTTATTATCCGCCGTCACGGCAGAAATGGACAAAAGGCTTGGAGAGGTATGCTATCTTTTTTGTAGCTTACGAGCATGCCCTACTATCAGCGCTGCAGGACGCGCATTTCTCCGCCTCCATAGAGATTTGAGACGAGTCAGTAGGGGAGACGTATGCTGGGTGTCAAGCACTAATAATAATCTGCCAGAGCCCTTGCAGTCGTCTCGCCTGCTCGTGTTGCTCGTCACGAGGTGCCAAAAACAAGGGTCTGTTTGCTTGTCTTGAAATTACACTTGTCTTCTTAAGCTGTTTATCACTTACAGATTTCTGCTCGGCTTAGTTTCTGTTGTTTTTGTACAAAATAGGTTTTTGTCAAGAAACTTGAACGAGGCTTTGGTTTAGCTACCCAGGTAAGAGTGCCCGAAATAAAAAGCTTACATATATTTTCTTAGAACCAGTAAGAAAATTAGTTCATGAAACTAAATTGACTCCTTCACCGACGTAGCACTACTGTTTCTTCCAATAGAAACTTTCCGATCAAACTCCCTCTGAGCTTGTCAGTAATCAGTGGTATTTTTAAGTTTTTTATAAAAATTCATTCAACATTCTCATGTTTTGGCTAACTGCAGTTGATTGTGAGGAGAAATTAGATCTAGTCTCTCTCAGGGGTCAAAGGGGGGGGGCCTTTACAGCTATCGTGTGGGATTAAAAAGGCGTATTTTTGTTGCTAATATTTAAGGAACCGTGGATTCAACATGGTACAGTGAAAGAAAACATCCTGTTTGGGAAACCTTTTGATGTTGAGAAGTATAGCGCAGTGATATACGCATGCGCTTTGTCGGAGGTAAGAATTATTCAACTTTGTTTTCTCTTGGGGGCGTTAAACGAGTTGTTGTGGCTTCAGTGAGAAAAAGGAGGCCAACTTTTTCCTTCCATTCCCGTTTGAAGGTGGAAATGGGTGTTGACGATTGGTTATAGAGCCTGAAAAATTTCTGAGAAGGGGTGGGGGAATGAACAACGGACTAGCATTCCTTGTGCTCCTCCAAACGGCTTACTCTGTTGTAATTACAAGAAGGGAAATTAATCTTTCTCCTACTCTGTATGGTGGCAGGTTTTACCAAAGTGATGATTTGTGCATGTAGGGAATCGTTATTGCATTATTTCAGATGAGTCCGTTTCCCTTCTGTGTCATTCCACTGTTGTTTTGATCTTTGAAATTCATCATCAATTGAAAGTGCTTCTTATGATTTCGTGACTACTTCCTTTTATTTGCTTTGGGTTTTTACATTAATAGATCCTTTTAATTTGAAATGTTGCCTTTCTTTTGTCTTAAATCCTTCAAAGGATCTTCAAATGCTCCCCTCGGGTGACGAGACGGAGATTGGTGAGAATGGCGTAACGCTGAGCGGGGGACAGAAGGCTCGTGTGGCTTTGGCAAGAGCTGTTTATCAGGTTGAAAGTCTTTGTGAATGTATCATAGAGACTTGATTTCGAAAATCCCAACATCTCTCAATTTTTCACTCAGGACAAAGAAGTCTATCTCCTCGACGATCCCCTGGCGGCAGTGGATGCGCATGTTGCCGCTCACCTCTTCCACCATTGCATCATGGGACTCCTACAGAATAAGACCAGAATACTTTGCACGCACCACACTCATTTCCTGTCTGCCGCTGACCTGGTGGTTGTTATGGACCACGGCTCGACTGCCTACACAGGGCCGCCCGAGGGAATACTTCACACCGAGAAAATAATGAAAAGCCTCGCAGGCAACCCTGCTGAGGGGAAAAAGCCAGAAACAAACAAAAATAAAGATTCAGAGGAGGTGGAAGGCGAGAACACCGACGAAGGTTTAGTAAAAGAAGAAGAGAAAGAAGTTGGCGTAGTCAAATTACATGTGTACAAATCTTACTGGCTGGCGATTGGTCATTGCTTGGCAACGAGTATTTTACTGTCGCTGTTTTTAATGCAGGGTAATGTAACTATTATTAATGGAGGCAAGAACAATTTTCAATGGAGTGTCGAAAGAATCTAGGAATGCATTGTTGATATTTTACTTTGCTTTGTAATTAGTCTAGAAAACTCGCACCACTTTCTCAACCAATCAGATGCAGAACTAAAACCATTGGTGACTTGGTCGCCAGCGTTTTCTCGCGTTCTCCCGCGCTTTTGGCGCTTTTTTTACCTTGAGTTCTCATTGGTTCCTCGAAGTATTTTCCTTTCTTCTGATTGGACATTGTAATTACTTTGGTTTTGGTTTTACAACAATTGATCCAAACGCGTTTTACTTGTATTCCGACCTTGTTTTTGAAGGAAACTGAAATTCGCAGGAAAACTGAAGCGTAATGATATTCTTTTTTGGTAAGTTTGGCTTACCTGCTTTGCAGCGTTCAGCAACTGATAACATAGTCTATGCTTGGCAATAATTACAAGTTTTCCGCGTCGACTGTCAGTTGTTCGTTCTTTCTCGCTTGGTACTAGGAATGTGTTTTCTCGAGTTTTGAACAACTCTCTTCATTTTTATTTACTGGTTGTTCATTTTCAGCTTCTCGAAATGTAAGTGATTGGTGGTTGGCCTACTGGATTTCTCATTCCCGCGGAAACAGCACTGCAGCACATCATCACGTGAACTTTTCATCAGCCAATCCCTTGAATCACTTAATTCCACGAGTGCTGACTGCTGACCAACTGGAATTGCCTCATGTTCACATAGTTAAGGATACCATTACATTTTATCTGGTGGTATATGGAGGACTTGCTGTCGCTAACACGGTACGGGTACTTGTCTTGACGCTTCCATTGTCTGACACATCTGTGTGTATTTTGATGTACTTAATTAGTCAGCACGGTACAGCCATCTGGATCATAGAGAAAACAAGATTTCCCTAAAAAATCCTGGTGAGAACTTTAGGCAAGAGACGGAAGAGGCAGTGCTTCTTGTAGTGATCGGTATTAGGAGGCTCTACCCACCTGGTGGGGGAAGGGGGGTTACCTATTTTAAGCTTTAAGTATATGAAAGGGTATGTTGCATATCTATCAAAAATGGCCTTTGATATCCTCTTTTTACACCCTTCTTTGACGTCATCCCGAGGTTTCGTGATTAAGTTTAGGAAAAGGGGTACTGTTTCCGATGTCACGTGCAATCGATAAGCTACCATCGCGGCGGAGAGTCTGGCGAAAGGACGCCACTAACTCTAGGTGCAGGTAGGAGAAAGGAATCATAAGGTAGCTTTAAAATCTTCCATCAGTTTTCTTGTCGTGAAATTCTTTACTGATGACTTAGCGATCGAACCTGAGGGATCAAAATTAAAATTGAAGAGTCTTGTAGATTCTTGAAAATTCTCCATACAGCGCAGAAGCAAATCACGTCCTTTTTATTTGTTCATTCAGGACACATTGTAAACAACATCGCTTTGCTGCAACTTTCTTGCTTCGGCCTCAAAGATGTTCTCTTTTTTTTCGTAGATTTTCACTCTGTTCCGAGCTTTCCTGTTTGCGTATGGAGGCATCTGCGCCGCCAAGGTTCTTCATGCGCGATTGTTAAATAGCATTTTGTCTGCTCCTGTCTCATTCTTTGACGTCACTCCGGTAAGTTGTTCATAAGAGAAGATAAGTCACCGGTAGTTTATTGAAAGTCAAATACGCAGGAAGTGGTTTCCCAATCTCATGATATAAGTGTTTAACAAGCTTTACCCTTCATGTTACCAGATTGGACGTATCGTCAATCGGTTTTCCTCGGACATAGTAAGTATTCTTGGTAATTTATTTTATTTGCGTGCAGTGCTGTGTCATAGCGAGTTAAAACTTTGGTTCTAAAACGGAATCTGACGAAGAATTTTCGCGACCTTCCTAATGAGTTAATATTCCCGTAAAATGCTGTTCAGTCTCGTTACTGTGTCAGCTATTCCCTCTAGTTCCGTCGAACAAGGGGATAACCGAATAGGTCTAACACAGCTTTCCTCTGCGGAAATTTCACTTCCCAACCACGACAATACAAATACAACAGACAGGAACCAGCTGACCACAAAGTCGAAGTTTCGTTAGTTTCTCATCGCTTTCGATGTGTGTGTGTGTGAATGATTTTGTTTTTTTTTTTTTTTTTTTTTTTTTTCAGTACTCTATCGATGATAGTCTGCCTTTTATACTCAACATTTTTCTGGCCCAGGCCTTTGGCGTGGCCGGCACTGTGGTGATCACGTGTTATGGTTTACCGTGGTTTGTTCTCGTTCTGGTTCCTCTCGTCCTTGTGTACTACTTTATTCAGAATTACTACCGGAGAACATCTAGGTAATTAGAACTTCCGGTTAACGCTTTTAAAGAAAAAAAAAACATTTCTATTTGTGACCATCATCGAATCATAAGGGCTTTGTGACAACCAATCGCAACTCTTCACATAGGTCAACTGAGTCCAACTAGACTACAATCATTCGTCAGTTATACGAACTTAAATTAGTTCTTTCTTGTCCGTAGAGAGTTAAAGCGTCTTATGAGTGTAACGTTGTCGCCGATTTACGCACACTTTTCGGAGACTCTAACAGGATTGGCCACCATTCGGGCACTGAGGGATGAGGCAAGATTTAAACAAGAGAATGAATTCAGACTGGAAACCAACCAACGGGCGAACTTCTGTGGTAAGCCAAGATGCACCGTGTATCTTTAGGTCGTTGAGTTGTATTAAAAAAGAACCACGTAATTTGAAGGAACAAAATTGATTCTGGTAATAACTCATTCATTGTAAAAATAGTTAGAGAAAAAGGCAGTGGAAAAGCCTTGGGGGAGGAGGGGAGAAAGATCTTTGAAAAGTTGTAAGGGGGAGGGAGTTGATTTCCAAAAAGTTCACGAATGAAAGTTCTCTAGGCGAAATTTCTAGCATTCTTTGTGGCGGATAAAAGCATTTGGACGTTTACAAGGTCATGCATGAATTTTCGCGCGAAGTGTCCCTGCATTGTGTAGCAACAGGGAGCGCTAGTGTTCATGGGAAAATTATTATATATACATCACTAAACCTGTCTTGTAACCAACGTGAATAGAAGAATATTTCTATGTGATACAAGAGAGCATTAGGTGGACTCCTTCTAATGACATTATCTCGCATTTTTCAGCACTTGTTGCATCGCAGTGGCTCGGGCTTTTCTTGCAGTTCATTGGCGTAGCCATGGTAACCGCAGTGGCATTCATTGCCGTACTGGAGCATCATTTTAGCACCGTAGATCCGGGTATGTTAATGGATAAATTTCGATGCTTTCAATTCCGGTGCAAACTAAGAGACATCACCCTCAATTTCCGTGGTATGCAACTGTTTATTTTAAGATATTGGGTTATTAAAAGTAAGTTTTTTAAATCAGACTCAGGAGACACCAAAACCGAGTTCACTACTTGACATTATTATCTCTAAGCTACATTCAACACAAATTTGCCAACAAAACGCTACAACTTGTACTAGTAAGACCCGAATGGAAACGACAAAGTTCTGTGTTTTCCGCACAGGTCTAGTTGGCTTAGCCATCTCTTACGCACTCTCGGTGACGGACCGGCTGTCAGGTATGGTAACGTCTTTCACGGAGACAGAGAAACAGATGGTGAGCGTGGAGAGAGCTGTTCAATACATTGAGGATGTACCGCCTGAAGTTAGCAGTCAAGACACGGTACTTATTAACTTCCAGTAATAGACAGAATAAGAAAGAAGGTAAATTTTTAGTTCGGTAGTGAAGTAGAGAAAGATGTCTTTTTGTCATGTCTTGAGCCTGGAATAAGGAAAACAGTTCAGAGTCCCCATGAGATGTAAGACTTTCGGATACAGTGCTCAGATGCTCTACCACTGAGCCATAGAGATTCTATGATGAGCTTGGTCATTACGAGGTTTCTTATGTGACACGCTACCTACCTATTGCAGGATCAGCAATGTCGAAAACGTTATGTGCGTAAATAGAAAGATGGTGAATTTTAAGCTCGGTAGGTTACTAAAGAAAGATAATCTCGTCTTGTCACGAGCGTGGATCTAAGAAAAATTCCGAGTCCCCTTGAGGAATCGAACCTCAGGCCCTTGGATTCCTACGAAAAAAGAAAATTAGTAAGGGAAAACTTTGCAACCGCGCAATCTGCGTGGTATTGTTTATCTTTTGCTTGTTCAACAGTTTTATCTGAGAGAGAGGGAAAGGTGTGTGTCTAAAGACTCATTGGTTAGAAAGATGTCTTCCCGCCTTTATTATCTCGCTTGTTACAATTTTTTTTTTTTTTTGGTTCTTGACACTGAGGGGACATATAAAAGAGAAGTTGGTCTTTCATTAAGTTAGTTTAACTCAGTGCGACTACTCTTCTCGGTTTTTGCAGGTCCCCAACTCGTGGCCCTCTCGCGGTCAGCTCACTTTCCGGAATGTCAGCCTAGTGTATCGGTAAGTTAGGTTGTTTGGAGTCACGTGGTTACTGGGGAACTCATCCGTCTTGCGCGAAATGCTTGGTGTTTTACAGTGCTTGCGCTCTGGGGAACAATGCTGCAAGGACACAGCGGCAAAATGAGTGCGCATGCTTGTAACACTCGAGAAATTTTACGCGCGCAAAGGAATGAGAACGACTATTTCTTTTATAAAACTATGGCGGCACTTTTAAGATTCCCATCGCTCGTTTTAATTTTGCGGGAATAAGCTCAAACTAAAACAGATAATGTTGCCGTTTCAGGAAAGTGTCTATCGAACCTTCTTTGTCACATTTCACACATCTTGCTGGAATTACTAAACGCTCCTCCAAAGCGCTAAATCCGCCGAGCACGCGCACTCGTTTTACCACTGAGTCTGCTGCAAGTGAAGACCAATACAGTAAGTGCGGGAAAGTATATAACTCGTATAACGCATGGGAAAACGTGTCAGCGATGACAAGAGAGGGAAAGGTGTAGGAGAGCAATTTGTTTTTTTCAATTTTTTTTAAATCTTGCGCGGATGCAATTGCGCTAAATTTACCTTGAAATATGGATCAGCGCGGCCGCAAAAATCGTTGGAACAATATGTCGGATTAAGACAAAGACTTACTGCGAATTTATCGTATACATCAGTTCGAATACCATCCTAACAGACCTAAGGATCAAAATTACCTGTTATGGCAGAATACCTCTCATTTGTTTAATGCCAAGTTTTTTCTTTATAGACCAGGTTTGCCTCAAGCACTTCGCGGGGTATCATTCTCAACAACTGCCGGGGAAAAGGTAACATGAACCCCATAATATCCTTACGTTATCCCGCAAACAGGAAACGAGATTACTCAAACTTATCAGGTAGAAGTTGTTTCCTGGAACTAACAAATTCTCGTAACTAATTTAAAAGGAAATGTTTAGCAGGTAGAGGAGACAAGTAACAGGGGGTTTAAGGATTAACGACCATTGCGGGAAAGGTGCATGAAGTCATGTTCTACTTGAGAATGATAGTGAAACTGCCTTTAAATAGAAATTCATTGTGACCAGCGGAATCGATCTCTTGGTACTTAGGTGTTTATGTCAGCTTAGGAACAGGCCCTTTAGTCGAGGATGGGGCTACGGGGAAAGTATGGGAGCAAAGGAACGTGGTGAGAACTTCGTCGCTCACCTCTCCCCTCACCCTTCCCCCCCTCCCCGCTGGCCGCTTTACCGGCACCTATCTTTGCTCGGCCTTCTCACCGGAACCTTTTCAGAGGGTACGCTTGTGGAAGAAGTTCGCTTGTCACGTCTTCCTATAAAAAAAAGACCTAATGTCTGTCACTTTGTTGAAATATGTTCCTGTTATGAAATTTCATTTGTACTTTTGGGTACACAACATAGAAGTGGATGATATGCTATCAAAAATTTTGGTCTGGCTTTGTTGCATTACTGATGTGATTGGAATGATTATGCTCTGTGTGCGCCAATATTTCACTTCAAACGAAAAACTCTTTTCAACTCTCATAAAACTATTTAGTATGAAAAGATTCCCATAACTTCCAGTTTTCGCCTATTGTTTTGTTTGTTTGATTGTGCAGCTTGGCATTGTTGGTCGAACAGGCTCTGGTAAATCAAGCCTCTTTCAAGTTCTGTTTCGAATGATTATCAGCTACCCGGGGGCTGTGTTAATTGATGGCATCAATATAGCCTCTGTACCGCTGGATATTCTCAGGTTGGTTTTACTGTGTGACCAGCTCGGTGAGGAATAGGTGGTGTCCACGTGAGGGTATCATACATTAAATAATTTATCTGAAGAAATTTTAGTGTGTAACGCGGGTAAACTGGTGTGAGGAGGAAAAAAAAATAGCTTTCAATCCCTCTCCTCCCTAAGCTATTTATTCAGGCTAGCAGCAGTGCGTAAGGCCTAAATTAACGTTACCTGATTGGCCTGCGCTGGACTAGCATCCCCTTTAGAATAGGATGGGTATAGGAATATACTCACAATTCTCACAGTCGCTTTATGCTACGGAATCTGGGAAAGGAGCCGCTGGGTGAGGCCCAGAACCCCTGGGAGAGACCTAGAGTCCTCGGGCTTCAAAGCGGGCTTTGCCATTTTTTGTCCACGTTTGCAATAGTGGTACGAGACGTCTGAAGTCTCTTGTTTTTGTTTTAGATCTCGACTGGCCATCATTCCTCAGGATGCTTTCCTTTTTAGTGGAGCAGTGCGGGACAATCTTGACCCGTGGAAAAGAGTAAGTGGTGTTTGTATACATTATTATTGTTACTCAAGGGAGACAAGTTTATATTTGCGTTCGACGTTAGGAGACTAAATACCATTCGCTTCGCTTCTTTCTGGCTGCTGTGCGATGTAGGCGCCATCTTGGACTGGCCGGCTACTCGCTTCGATTTCATGCGAAGCTTTAATCCCGCTGTCCAAGTGTGGTCTCGAGGGTTGACTCGCTTCGGTCCTGGATGACATGGGAAGATATGGTTGCAAACTGCAACCATTCGATCGAACAACATAAGTTACTACAAATCAGAAATTTTCGAAGGTTTTATCATACACTGGATTTTTCAAGCCGAGACAAAAATATACATTCCTAAGCTAGATCAAACGTACTTGTCAAATCCATAATTATTACTAGCCGATTGAAGTTTCTTAGTGTTACTTCCTTTTCTTTAAGTGTTCCGAGGCTGAACTGTGGACGATTTTAGAACGTTGTCACCTGCTTCAAGCCGTACGAGAACTCGGTAAGCTTAATTGTTAAGCTCCCAATAGAGTACAGTTATCAACACCAGCATTTTTCATGTGATTAATTTAAAGTGTTTTTATTCGTAGGTGGTTTGGATGCTGACGTTGGTGAACGTGGGCGACATTTTTCAGTTGGTCAGCGGCAGCTGGTGTGTCTAGCAAGAGCCCTTTTGACGAGAGTCAAGGTGATTATTGACAGTTTGCTAATTACGGGCTATTGCTATCAAATATTCAGTCTTTCAAACATATTAAACGTACCTGTTCCAGGGAGACGTGGTGGTGTTATGGTAAGTGCGTTGGTTTAAAACCTGGCCGGTTCTTTGGCAGATCACTACTTTTACGCTGCCTCCGTTCACCCAGGAGTACAAATGGGTGCTGGCAAATTGTCAGGGAAGCTTGATTATACGCTGGGGGATAACCTTGCGATATACTAGTGTCCCGTCCAGGGGGGAGTAGTGATACTCCTGGTCGCCTCATGCTACATGGAAACTGGGATAAGCTCCGGCTGAATGGGGTAATAGGCTTATGTACAGACTTAGCTTTACGTGTTCCAGGCATGTAGTTAGTGGAAAGCATTGCCACTATAGCTCCAAGAAAGAAAAGAGGTTATGAAGGCGTTGCAAACGCATTGAACAGGATGAAAATGTTCCTTTTGAATAGAAGGGTTTATATCAACTTAAGCTTTATAACTCCATTGTGACGGAACTTTCTGTTAAGAGAGGAAGGCTGAAATGAATATGTCTTCAAAATCCTGCTGGTAGTAAAAATAACCGCCGGCCCCCCCCCCCCCACCCCTACATGTGGTGCATCCCTACCTTGGGATGCACACATTCCTTTAATTTGTAAGAGTGACTGGCTTCTAATTTCCCCTTACATTATCTTCTGCGATTTTAATGTAAAGGGCATGAAGATGAATGAAATGATTTTAAGAAAGGAAAACAGATTTTCTTTTCCGTTAAGATCGAGAATAACTTCACGGGAATCAACATATCCCTGCAAACGGCCTGACTTTGCTTTTCTTGTTTACGTGTGCCAGGTTTTGTGCATCGATGAAGCGACGGCGAGCGTGGACCTTGAAACAGACAAGCTAATCCAGAGGACGATTAGAAGTGAATTTAAAGAAAGCACTGTCTTGACAATTGCGCACAGGTTAGAAATGTCATTTTTTTTCAGCCATGGCAGAATATCAACCGCTCTTTAACTTTAATCGTTTTTAAAAAAAAAAAAAAACTTTATGGCAATTTAGAAAAAAAGTAATGACAACTTCGTTCGTAAGCTCTCGGAGGGAAGAAAGGAGAGCGAGAACCTAGGAACGAGTTGAAAATCACAACTCGTACTTTGACTCAAAGCGCTCAAAATAATCCTCACCTCTGGAAATAGGAGAAGTTATGATGAAATCCCTCGCCCTGGCAATGATCTGATCTCTCTTTCTATCTTGCAGGCTAGACACTATTATGGACAGTGACCGTGTTTTAGTGATGGATCGGGGGACTGTGGTCGAATGCGACACCCCAGGGGCGCTTCTTGAAAACAAGCATTCCTTCTTTTATGGTCTTGTTCACAGCACTAGAACCAAGGACAACTGATTCACCAACGAGAGGAAATTTCACAGTAACTTTCAGCTACAGTCATCTCAGGGATGTGCAGTTTTTAATTGTGTATATCGCGTGTTTACGGAGTCGTAAGCGTAACGCCAGCCTTCCAATGGAGAGGGACTCCTCTCCATCTCCAACTAGAATTGCATCCTGTGGGTGTGTCACTGTCATTTTACCCTGGTACCTTCTGTGCTGGCTGGTAATTTGGGATTGTTCCGCAATGGATGAACAAAGCAAATGTTTTTTTACCTTTGTCCTTTATTGTTATATTTTCTTTTGGAGTCGAACATAATGTACGAATATTTGGGGCGCTATTTTATTTATTTTTTCTGGCTTATCTGTTGTTTCATCGCTCCATAAGAGCCTAGGTTGGTCAATTCACGATTTTCCCTCTGTAGAAAATTGTCTAGTTTGGTTCGTTTTCCTCAAAACAGCGGACAAACGTCGAGCATGCGCAAGGGGATCAATTTCGGCCAGTCGCGTGCGCGCGCCCAATTCCTGCGCAAAATTTCAGAAGTAAACTTAGGAAACATTCCTATTCCCAGTAAAAAATAACGACCAAATACGAACACGTTTGACCGCTGTGTTGCAGACTGAACTAAACTCAACATTAAGTAAGGAGTGGGTTGTTTCAACAAAACTTCACGAGGATTGTAGCTAACTTCGAGCGTGACGTCTCCTCAAGTTTAACTACCCAGATCCATTAGCGGCTTGTTGTTTTTTCGCTTCCTCGTATTGCGGTGTCTTCTTGACAAAACCTCTTTCGATCAAACTGTAGGCCATGTCTATTACGCTTTTCTTGAAATCCTCAAACTGCATACCGAAATGGTCTTTTATCTGAACAAACAACACAAAAAAAGCAAGAGATTAGCGTTTTAAAAATTACTTGGACCAGGCTTAAATTCTACGTTATCTCAACCATCCCTACAACACCCGTTGAGATTAGAGCTCTTTTTGATTAAGTGTCGTGAGAGCAAAACCAAAGGAATTACAACAGATAATCAGAAAGAGAAGGAAAATAGTTTTAAGAGCCGATATGGACTTAAAGTAAAACAATCAAACTGCTTCGAGCGCGGGAAAAAAAACGCGGGCGATCAAGTCGTGTTGAGAGGTTGGTGCGAGGTTTCTTGACCAATCACAGAGGGTAGTACAGAAAAACCTATGCAATCTCAGTTTAGTTTTGATTCTCCAATAAAAATTGTTCTATACCACGGAACAAAGATCCCAAGAATGTGATTTCCTTTTTAATTATTAATCAATTATTTATTAATTATGAGTTACCTTCGAGTTATCTAACTTGATGTCTTTGTTAAGAAAAGGTAAAATAAACTTCAACGTGCCATCAAACCACGAGGCGATTTTTATCATGACCTTTGGAGCCACTGTGGTAGGAACTTTATAACCTACAAGAATGGAAGAAATTTTTCTTCTTTATGTTGACTTATCTCATAAACATCTTGCGTTACATAAATAGGCGCATTTCGATTAAGTGTCGCAAAGCCTAAGCTGAGTAATCTCGGCACCAAATCCGAACTTTGGGGAAAATGTCATAAAGAGCCAATGAGAACTCAAGGTAAAAACTATTTCAACCACATTTTAACCCTTTCTACTCTAACATCTCTATTCATTTCTCATTTCTATCTACAAAAATTACGCTATCGACGTTGCTGATCTTAGCAGTATGCAAGACGCGTGTCATATGAACTTCGTAAAAGACCTCGCTCACCGTGGAGTCTCTGTGGCTCAGTGGTTAGAGCATCGGAGCGCGGAATCTGAAAGTCTGAGGTTCGATTCCTCATGGGGACTCAGAATTTTTTCTTTGTCCCACGCTCGTGACAAGACGGAAAAACATTTCTCTATCTCTATGTATATTCTCCATACTGTTCTCCGTGCATTTGCTAAGGTTATCAGAGAGATGACTTGTTTCACAATCAAGAGCTCCATTAATTGGTGATCATCTCCATTACTCTCGTAACCTTTATGTGTGATTCATGAGTGATATTGTAAGGAGGAATCAGACGCTGGTCACTCTAGGGGATCAAGGAATTTAAGTGTACAAGAACCTTACCGAGAGGTCTGAATTCTTCGTGAAGCAGCCGTGCCATATCATCCATCCAGTAACAGTCCGTGATGGCGAGGTATCTGTTACCTGTTAAGACAAAAAAAAAGGAGTACAAATTGTTTTTACTTAATCAGTCATAACTGACTGGATTACAAAGTGAAGGGTCTAAAGTTGGTCGAGTGCATTGAGATGCGACTTTGGAAACACTCGGTTCCAGACCTTTGGCCATACTAAAGGGGAAAAAGTCTCAATCGAAATACGTGGTTGCTCTATACGAAAACCAAAAAGGTTTGCTAGGTTGTCTCCTTGTGTTCTCTCCGCATTCTACCCTTATTGAGATGAAAACAGAGCTAAGAAGCCTTTGCAATAATTTGTAATTTGTTTCTATGCTAAAGGACATATTACCAGGTGCTTTAGGTGACGTCATGGCAATTATATGAGCTCTAGCACAATCTCTGACATCAATCACTCCAAACATCATTTTAGGAACCATTGGCATTTCTCGCTGAAGAAAACGCCTGTGAAGCTAAAAAAACATTATTGGTTACTTCAGTCGTGATTACAGGCTGTAACAGCTGGTAATTATTTAGCTTCCCCCTCCCCCCGGGGAATAAATTATGTCCGAGCCATTAATTATGTTTTAACAAACACAATTTTGCCACTCATTGTCTATCACGGAATAGACAACGAGTAGCGTAGCCAATCAGATTACAGCCTTTCTCATTGGACGCTAGTAGATTTATACTGAAATATACATTTACCTCGGTGCTTGTGCAGTAAGAGCCCAACACAGGGCCAACAATAAACCCAGGATTGATGGTACAAAGCTCAAACTTCTCATCATCTGTCGGTAAGAACGAGAAAACACGACGTGTTTAAGTCCCGCAAAGCTTGGAAGGCGGATACGTTTGGGCTAGACATGTGGTCTGATAGCTTACATCGAAGAATTACGTCATCTCGTTTTAAGAAAATTATGTAGTTCTTCGACAGGTTTGTTAGAGCTGGTAATGAAATTACCATCAGGGGAAGAGTCTAAGTTCTATTCTCATCGGGCAAGATACAAATACTCGCTGCTATACTAGCAAGAACAGTTTCAAAGTGTACAAGCAAACCACCACGGAATTCCTTAAGGGTAGCCGTGACAGACTTACATCCCATGCGGGGGAAAAGCAACACTGTCAGTCGCTTCATGCAATGGGACCAGAATAACCTGCAAAACCAGTTTTCGCTTAGTTCATGTTTCAAAGAATCAAACACCGGGTTTAAAAAAAAAAATGTGTGTCATATACACTTTAAGTCTATGAGACTCAACCCGTGATAGCTTGGTCCTGATTCTCCTGAAATTGCATGACTTAGTTTCTTTGAAATATTGGAAGCTTTTTTTTAAAAAAGTCAATAAGTTGTAACCTGGCAACTTTTCCACTAGTTCCCAGGCGGCCTTTTCCGCACGCTTCTTGCTCTTCTCATACGGGCTGACCCCCTCGTCTGCTGCCCAGTCCTCCTCGGTGAAGACTTTATCTTCAACGCCTTGTCGACCACCTTTGCACAGGTAAAAGGATAGTGGCTGAAAAAATTAATGAATGAAAGCTGAATTCAATTAATGGTTTCTGCAATATTTTACTGCAAGTCTTTGTGTGGGTGAATTTCTTATTCAAACACGGTCCGCAAAAATTTTCCCTTATTCGTAACCCTCACAGTAAGCATAAGTTAATTCTCGATACTCCAAAAGCGCATACCGATGAGTTTTGCGTTACTGCTCTATTTATATTGGCTTCAAAGGGGAACGTTTTATCGATGGTGGTCACGCCCGCCGACAACTGAAATGAGTCTCAGCGTTTCCTAATAACGGGGTGAGAATTATTAACTTTCTTTTTCAAGTATCAACACAGATGATTAAAATCTAAAGCAGGCTGCTATCCCTAATTTTTACTTGCCAGCTGCGGTGATGCCTTATTTTGTGATTTGGAACACCGACTTCCGTTTGGTCGACTTTCATTTGGTCAAGTAAATCGCTGGATCATGAAGAAAGAAATTCGCTAATACTTACTCAATCCAAGATTCTCTTTGACTAAGATCTGCTTCCACCAATTCCAGCTGTTGTTTCGAATTTTCTGGGCACAGTGCCCTCAATGGTTTGAGCTTCTGTTCGTTCGCTAAACTTCTGACTGTTCCTCGAACGATGTATTGTTGACCAGACTCCAACAGCTGCTTAACAACATGCAATGCGAGGAAACCAGAGGCCCCAGTGACAAGAACACGGGTCATTTTGACGGCGTGTTAAGACTACTTTAACACCTGATTCGACTGATTGGAAACTGTTTGTGCTGATCTTACAAATGCGTACAGAATACTGTGTATATCTACAAATAGATACCTTCTCAGATTTGACTACAGATGACGTCAAAATGAGGCAAGGTATCCGTTCCATTTGGTCAATCAAATGCGTTCTGTATATCGTCGCTCTTTAATGTCCCTTGGGAAACACTGGTAAACATTACGAACTTCAAGATCGGAATGGACCAGAGGAAAAGAGGACTACGGAATATATTCATAAAGTCATAAAGAAACACCTGAAACCTAAATCTAAACGTTCCAAACGAGCAACATAGGACAACACCGATTTTCTCACATCCGCCATGCACAATTGACATGCTATAAAATTTTTCCTTTTTTTTAATTTTTTTCTCACTTGTTGAATCTGCTGGGTTTTCATTTCAATGATATACTTTTGTTATTTGTGCACTACAACCCATAATTACTATATTAGTCTGGGTTTAGGGGCACTCAAAGAAAGAGAAGCTCTAAAGGCAATTTACTTCATGGATTAGTGAGCCAAAGGGGCTTAAATCCAGCTATTTTGATGAAACAACCTTATTCAACAGAGAATTGTAAAATACAACAAAGAATTGCCCAAATAGATTCACAGAAATTTTCACAATTCAGCCTTTTTGACTCTTGAAAACACACTGAAATAGTGGAACCAGCAGTCACTCAGCTAATGCCCACAAACCTAATTATCCTCAAGCACATTTTTCCCTCAAAACTGCACAACTTGACCCAAACCTTTAATTTTTCAGTATTTTTTTACAGGACATGTGAAAATTACAGTTGTGATAGGTGTGGTGAAGAGAGCAGTCATTCTATTTATCACATAGAGGCCGTCACCTCACATTTGGTATATTGGGATTTGAATTAAGAGGTCTGATTCAAAGCCTCATCTAAGTCATTGTCTTGTGTTCTTAAGCCAAACACTTTATCGCACAGTGTCTCCTCTGTTCCCCTTCCCACCCCTGTAAGTACTGGTAAACTGTCAGGGAAAACTGATTAAAGGCTGCTGGAGGGAGGGGGAAGAGGGGGGGCTTGTAACGTTCTTTTATTTCGTTCCTCTCTTTTTCACATGCATACCAGCATTTATCCCCTGTTTAAAAGTCCTTCTTCCATATTTATTTGTTTCACAATTAAAAATTCATTGACACTGGATACCCAGATTGCCTTTAGGGAATGTTGCATGCTCTTTGTCCTTTTTTGCCATAACCTTTCCACAAACAGCTGTTTGTCTCTGGGGTCAAGAGGTGACTCTACCTACACCTTACCCTCTAAACATAAAATTCTTACAATATTATTTTTGTTGATCTTCTCCATTTAATATTCTCATTCAACTTTTTAAATATTCCAAGTTAAAAGGTAACTAGTAATTATTAAATGGAGGCAATGTTGTAACAGCTGCAGTAAAATAGGAGCTCATTTGTTTTCATAAATTATGAATTTCTTGGCAAAATATTTCACATCCTCTTGGAACATTGATATTATAATTCAAACTAAATAAAGACTGGAAAATATTACATTTTAGGAAGCTGACGGTATTTTAAATAATGAGGAGTCAAACTTTTCAAACACAGAACCATCTTAAGATAATTTTATGTACTATGTTAACCCTTTAGCCCTTTCACTCCCACAAGTGACCAAGACAGAATTTCTCCTTACAATATCAATACAATATCAAGCAGGTAGGTGATGAGAATAGAGAAGAATATCAATTATGGGATTATTAGTTGATCCAATACCAAATTCTCTGAACTAACATCATAAGAATTGTATGGCAGATAGTAAGGAGAATTACTAATTAGATCTTGGGAGTGAAAGGGTTAAAACATCAATATGCATATTTTCAATATTGTTCTCCATACATTTTCTTAGGGGCTGACATGAAGAATTTAATTAAGAATCAAGAGCTTCTTTAGTCTCTAGTTGGTGATCATTTCCTTTTTTCTTGTAACCTTAACCCTTTAACTCCCAAGATCTCATTAGCAATTCTCCCTACTGTCTGCCTTAAAATACTTATGGTTTCAATTTGGATAATTTGGTATTGGATACACTTGTAGTCCCCTAATTGAGTTTTCATCTTTATTCTCCTCACTAGTCGGCTTGATTCTGTGTTGATATTAAAAGGAGAAATTCTGTCTTGATCACTCATGGGAGTTAAAGGGTTAAGGTTTGAGTCAGAGATAAGACTGTATGGAGAAATGTTAGTAACTGTTAGAGGGTCAAAAGTTTGGACACTACTGGAGTAAAGGAAACTGAACACTAGAAGTTTTTCAGTAGTTCATGGATAGCAAAGACTTGCATCTGTATGGAAATATGTATAACAGCATGTTACAGGGTGGTCACTTATCCAAAGGTGTTACTTGACCCTTGTAAGATTGGAAGAAACTTTTAATGGGAGACTAGATCATTTTAAATTGATTGTTGTAAGACCAAAACCAACAAAATCACAATCAACCAATCTTGTGGAGCACATTAGGGAAAAAAATCCAACTGATTCAATTTCTTGCTCTCTCTTGGATCACGATCGAAGCCCAAATATGCACTAAACCAATGCACATGGGTAAGAATTTCAAAACGTTCACAGAGTTAAGACTTTGCTTCTGATCTCCTGACAAGCTCAGCTTCTGTTGCTGCTGCAAGGTCAGGTGCTTTAAAGTTACTGTTCTCTAACACTGCCACAAGCAGTTGAAGAGCTGAATCTGGCAATTTTGGAAAATCACAACGAAGAATGTGATCTACAAGCTTGTGGTGGAGTATTTCCTGAAGGAAACCTGCTTCAGTAAGGGCCCACAAAAGTTCAACAGCTTCCAAGGGATGATATACAGAAATATCACTATCCATTATATGGTCTCCTATGAAACTAAAAAGATCTGGTATGAAATTCTTGGTCTTTGCAAAGCTATTTGCAATCATTCTAAGGCCTCTTGAATCAAAGTTGAGTTCACCTCTTGAAAGAAGGTTAGAAGCAACTCCTTGAAAGAGATCAGGGGCATGCCTGTTTTTCTCAGCATAAGAAGAAACAATCTGAGCTAGCTGCCTCTCTGAAAAACACAAGAGACCACGCTTCAAAATTTCACGTTTTAACCTCCTGAATAAATCCTTAGTATTCCCTTTGGCCATGGCAAATGACCAAAGGACTGACACTATGACCTTCTCAGAGAAATGTGATAAATCACGACTCAGTAATTCCTTCTTTATAGCGGCAAACAGTGAAGCACTTGTCTGCTTCATCTGCGCATAGGACCAAAGAATTTTGCTGATATCTTCCACGGTGAAATCTGCCAAATCCCGGGCCATAATTTCATTTCTAAGCTTCTTAAACATCGAAAACGCTCGGACATTTGCTTTGCCGTATGCCAGAATGATCACAGCTATGTCCCCGTTAGTAAACTTGCTGAGATCACGGCTTCTGATTTCTTTATCAAAATGGAGTAGTGCAAAAGTCACCTCTAAGTCTTCATGACGCGACTTAGCTTTCGCTCGATGATTCGCTATCGCCCAAACAGCGCTGGTGAGTTGAGAACATTCAAAATGACAGCTATTCCATTTCATAGCTTTCAAGAGAGATTCTGTCGCTTCCTGCACGCGACTTAAGTCAACGGCCTCGCTGCCTTTTCCATGCCTTACTTGTTGGTGAGAAAAACGGGAGAATAGTGCGACCTGAGAAGAAATGGTCAATACGTCGTCCGTGGCTAAGTTTGAGTGCTTCAACACTTCATACAGCTCAAACACCTGACCTATATCACTTTCATTTTTTATCTTTTCCATGAGTGGAAAGGAACTCAAAACCTGTTCTTTCCTAGGCCTGTTGAGGTCTTTGCTCCACTTATACTGATACAATCCTAGCAAACCCCAGTACCCTTTCCATGAGTCATTCGGATGATCTTGATCTGAAAATCGTGTACGGTAAGTACTCCGAAAGGCATCCGAAGAAAAGAGCCTCGACAAATAACATTTGAAAATATTAACAAATGAATACGTCATCGGGGTGTTTCTGATCTTGAAAACTCTCACATGGTGGTATAAAATTCCTTGGAACATGATGAAGTCTTATTCTTTCCGTGACCGGGCACAGGTGATTACATATTAAGTACCGGTTGCAATGGCGGCTCGCGTTCGATATCTTCATGTAAGAACTGCTCTAATGTCCCACACCCGTCCCAGGCAACACAGCGGTCAAACGTGGGACACGCGTGAGGGGATCAATTCTGGACGGCGGATCGCCAATCTTCCGCGCAAAATTCCAAGCGATAAAAAATTTTGAATCGTTCATAGAAATCTGTGAAAGGAAACTAAAATGGGAAAAGAAAAATTCAAAAATTTCCGAACACGAAGCCTATTCAAGTACGGGCATTCCTTTAGTTGAGCTTTACAAGACACGAAACCAAGGCTGAGGTGGGGGGCGAGCTTAGGTGAAAAAATAAATGGGAGACGGCCAAACGATTGAGGATGAACAAGCTATTGAGACTCAGTGGTCTTCGCCAATGAGAAGTGTGCATGTTTAATAGCACCTTCTCGTCAGATCAGGAACTGATTTGAACTCGTAGTCGAAGGTGAAGAATTGAAGACCAGGTGTCGACACAGGAAGCAGAAGAGTTTAATATTAGTACTTTATATCCAAAAAAAGTCAAAAATTCTGGTGCGCTCCTCTCCTGGTAATGTTCGCGTTGATTACACAATTACACTCGTTACACACTAAAAGGGCGTATTTAAATGTTTCTGAATCCTCTCCGGATTAGTCCCAGTCCTCGTATAAATAAATTATTAATTGGACAAATCAGGAATAGCAAGTCAGGAATAGAACCCCTTATATGTTACAACTGTATTTATTGCCTTGTAATCGACATAACGTACTTTTAACACCACTTTTTGCTATCAAGTCAAAGATAGTACTATTGACGTCTTTTGACGCGCTAAACTATCAAATAAATGTACTTGCGGGAATCTTGAAAGCGCACCATGGAAACTAGTATGAGCGTGGGCTCACTGACCGAACAGCGGTTGGTAACAAAACTTTGTCGCATTCTTGAGACTAGGGGTCAACTTGTATATTTATCCTGGATATCTCGTACTTTCAGTCGTCTTAAATAAGTTTTATTGGTTGTAGGAGGTTTGAAATTGGAGACTATAGAGCTGAAAGAAGCGAGGAATCAATACTGGCCAATTAACTCAAAGTATCTGTGCACTGAAAGGATAACTCGTCCTCACTCCAAAGTTCTGTTTCACTGACTCATAAAAACACACTGTTCGGAGATCAGAAGACAAACTCTTTGGATTGACTTGTGATTGATTCACAGGATGCTGATAAAGCGCTTTACGATTAGAGTGTCGTAAAAATAAATCAAAGCAGTAACAAAGAAAGGCAAATACGTTTAGACCAAATGTGAATTCAAAGTAAAAAAAACAACAACAAAAACAACCAAACAGCCCAAAGCGCGGGAAAACGCAGGCGACCAAGTCGTGATTGGTTTTAGTTTTGCCTGTGATTGGTTGAGAAAGTGGACCAATCCCAGAGCAAAATAAAGTAAAACCAAAACAATCCCGGATGACTTTCGGAACGCAATTTAAATCTCCTCTAGCATGAGCAAAACTATTTAACTCCATTTCGAAACAGTGATACATAAAAATCAGGAACCGAATATTGATGACGGAATTTCTTGACTATGTCTTGAATCTTCAGTTTACGGCAAACCTGAGGAGGGGAATATCTGCAAAATGAAAAATAAAATTACTTTCACACCAACGGTATTGCGCTCAAAAAATAATTCAGAGTACAAACAAACAAAAACCACAACAAAGGACGGCAAATGAAAAAGAAACAAAGAAACAAAGCAAAAACAGAGAAGAACATTACAAGACCAAAACAAAACAGAATCAATAACAAAACCAACAAACACAAAAACAGACAAACAAAACAAAGCCAAAACGAAAAAATCTCAAAGTCAACTTACGTATCAATCTCCAGCCTGCGCCGTCGACGAATGTTGAGAGCGGTCTGTCGCACCATGGTACCCAGGACTCGGCGGCTAACTACCATACCGTCTACGAGTGGTCCGCCAATAGGAGACCTAACATAATATTAAGAAAAGTTCGTAGATTAGAAACACGCCTATTCGTAAATTTGATATTCGCTGAGGCATTAAGAAGGTGTTATTTACCTGATGGTGGACCTGATATGAATGCGGTACAGACCGCTCCTGAGATGGTGAATGAAGATAACTACCGTTTCTTTATCGAACAAACTTCGAGTTGAATCACTGCAACAGATGTCAAACTCCATTAAAAGATCATCCACGGGGAACTGCGCATGATCCTCAAATCGCTCCAGCCACGCCACCACTACGTTTGTCTCCGAAGAGGTATTGTGGGTGCTTAATCTGGACAGCGGTCGACTGTCTAAGGACAAGGAATGCCCGAGAGTTGACATGGTCCGATGTTGGAACTAAAAGCGAAAAACAAACAAAATCTATTATGACAAAGTAACAAACATGTCACCGTTTGATTTGCCTTTTGTGATCACCCATAGAAAAGCACCCTAAACCACTCGTTACCAGAGGCACTACGCAAAGTAGAGACAGTACACAAATATCGAAGTCTTAGCCACTTTTGATCACAAGATCTGGTCCCGGTCGTTGGAGGGGTAGATAAAACTATACAAAAAATTAAACTCATATCCGGTGGTAAGCGTAGCACGTCTTGTGAGCGCTTCGGACATTTTTACTTTTTTTTTTTCGATTTCTCATTGGCCCCCGGGTAATGTTTTCCTTCCTATGATTGGCTGTCGTGATTGCTCAATCGAAAAGTGCTTTAGCCTAAAAAACCTTGCGGAATGATCTTACTATACCAAATTGTCTTGTCTGCAGCCTAGAAATGTTCTAGAAAGAAGTATAAACAAAAGCTAACTACACCAGGCAAAAACCAATAAGGTATTTTCAACGTTTTTCAAAATCTGTGCCAAACTTAAACGTATTCTCCCACGTTTTTCACTTTGGCAAATTCTTTAAACTGATTCAATCTCCACGTTGTTATTCATTCTTACTTAGCACTGACAGAAAAAAAATGTTGCCTTCAAAATCACACGTTCGAGGGTTGTATCAAGAGGCTTTCTCCACCTGTTTGTGAGAAAAGCACAAGGAAAATTATTTGTTTCAGCCAATTTACCTCGTATCCAGGCCCTTCCGACACTTTCCGAGAAAATTTGCTTCTGACATCGAATTGACTGCCACCACCACTGCTAATAGTTTCCAAGCTCCCCGTGCTGCCCGATCGAGTCCTTTTTCTCGGTGCATACCCCAGATCTTCCCAACTCTCAGCATGTGAAGCCATATGGCGGAAACGCTGATAACTTGGTAACAAAGAAGGTACAATGAACGCAACCTCGCAGCTCACGTCTGCAAAATAAAATATTTCGTCGGCCATCTTTTCTAGAGGCACACGAGTAGCTGTAGAATTCATCGCTGGAGAATCTTTTCCGCTACTGGAGGCTTTGCTATCAAAACTGTCGAGACAGGATGTGTATCTATCGCTACTGTTGCCAGATATGTCTCGTTCTTCGCTGCTTGTAAGAGTCGAGACGCTTTGAGAGGACTGGAGAGGACTGTCACGCTGGCGCAGCGTGACAGTGTCGTCATCATTTCTGTTTCGGTTCCAAGCCTCTTGGATGTTTCCCGACCATCCTGGGTGCGAGGCCACATCAACAGGCCATCCCAGGGAAAGCAAAAACTCTCTGAAAGCTTTTGAGTGCTTACAGGTGTTAATCTGTGATAATAAAATGAACAGAAATGACATTGCAGACGAATCACAACTCAGAAGAAGAATTTTGGAACCACTCTCAAGGAAATAAAAAGGGACAATAAGGAAAAATATTCATAAAATGGAAAGCTGATATGCGCAAGAAACTCGGGGCCGATAAAAAGCGAAGCGCGTGAGATTATGCAAAGCATGGGAAACCAATACAGACGACCAGCGAGTGCGAGACATGAGGCGATGCAAAGCGCGGGAAAACACATAGCCATTGCCAACGCGGAAGAAGCCTGAGGCGAAAGAAAGCGCGGGAAAGCACATCACCAACGGCGAAGATCTACATAAGATAACCTAAAGATCAGTACTTCATTTCTTTCAAAAGTATTGCAGCATGCGGTTCTGTTTCACTTCATTGATGTCTCACCTGGTTTTCTATTATTTCGTGGGCGTTTCCCTGCTCTGCTTTCACGTAGAACACCAGTACAGTATCTTGTGTGCGGGTGGAGACCTGATCCAGTTCCTTTAGAGCTTTAGAGAGTCCCTCTGATGTGGAGTTTAGCGCTAACAGGCTCGCCTCCTCAAATGGTCGGATAGGATTTCCCTGGAAAGGTAAACAAACAAAGTGAAGAAATTTGATTTAGCAACGGTTTATACTCCACTGATTCCAGGTCAAATTGCAGCTTGTGACATTAATTGTCGTAGATGAAGAAAACGGAAGAATCATAAAATTCTTGCAGAGTAAGGACGAGCGCCAGCATCAATGCCACTTCTCATAAGACCTCAAGCCCGCGAAAAGAATTCAGGGAGCGCTTCCATTGCAGCACACTTTTCCGGTCTGAAGGGAGCTATAAAGGAAATCTATTTTTTTTTAAGCCTCGTTTATGTTCAAAAAAGGATACTAGTGTTATCACATTTATAGTTACACTTCATTCCCTTTGGTATCAGTAATTCTCAACTCTGATATCACGTTTACTGATAGTCTAATGAAATTCTGTTTTTATGGCAACGCCTGAGGAATACAGACACTTTTACGATACAAAAGGAAAAAAATAATAATATTTCGCAACTCTAATTTCTTGAAGTCACATAGCCAGGTCAACTCAGTGTCAGAGCCTTATAATTGTCGCAGATCGATGGCAAAAAACATTTTTTGTTTAAACTGGGGGCAAGCAAATCTGTGTAACATGCATAGACCTTCGCCGTCTTCATCAATGTGTTTCTCAAAGGTTATAAAGGACTGGGGAAAAGGGACGCCATAAATTGTCATCTTGTTAAAACTCAAACATATCTCTAACCATACTTTGGGTATTCACAGCAAACAATAAGTAAAATCTTGGCTTTGTTTACCTTCAGTCCTTCAATGGTAAGCAGTCCAAAGTGGGATAACAGCAAACGAGACGGACTAAAATCCTGACACGGCCTGCAAAGTGGTACAAGTGTTCGAGGCATGATTATCGTTTAGGTGCATTGCAAGTGTCATTATAGGAGCACATCTTAGTTCAATACACTAACAATAGCATACCAGGCCTCCCCTCCCCTCCTTCACCCTACCTCACCCGCGGTCATAATTTCTATATAAGAATTCAAAATGGTGGTCACTCTTTCCGCGAACAAAGTACCATGTGGTCACTCTCTGAAAATAGGCCGGTGACACAAGCTATCTAAGCACTATAACAGAATTATATGCAATTGTTACGTATCGCTTCTGTACACAACAAGCGCTAAATTAGCTTAAATAGGGTATGGAACACATCAGTCCTTAAACAATACGAAGTTACCGAGGCCCGTTTCTCGGAGGCTGATTACCACTAACTTAAAGTTGAATTTTAGTCCGGGTGTATTGATTCCTTAGTTCAAAAGCCTTTTTGGGATAGTTTTATCAATTATTTGTAGAGCATCCAATCATCAAACTCTAAGAAGAAGAAAAAACACTAAGTATTTTTTTTTTTTAAAAGCTTCCCCTCCTTTGCCCCCTTCCCGCGTTCCCATCGTGCATGTTTACCGGGGTGGTTTGATTTCTGTCTTTTCATCGGGAAACTTCACCCTGGCTTCTTCCTCGTCTAGTTTTGACTGGGCAACAGTTTCATGTTCCAGCTGATGAAAGAAAATTCAAAAATTTATTTTAAAAGATTTTAATGGAAGCCTCCAATTCTGGACGAAAATTTCTCGTCGTAGTTGTTCAGATAATGACATTGATCCAACCTAGAGGCAAATACTGGCAAAATTGAAGTCATACACTAACAGAATTACACTCTAATCTAACCTGTTTCTGCATCAGTGTCCGCATATGATCCTGTACTTCACTTAACTTCGCATCCAGAATTTGGTCGAGTTCTGGTATACTGCGGTCCCTAAATCAACCAAAGAGAAAAAAGGAAAATTGACTAAATGATGCCGCTCATTTGACACAACCAATGCATGGTATTCCTCCACGCTACGTCCTCTTCTTTAACCAGTTAACTTGTTTACTTACGCCTTAGTAAGAGGCACTGAATCCACAGCCTCAGGAAAGGCCCTGTGTTTAAGGTTCAGTGGCGAGCGAGGCTGAGTTTTGTCTGGCGACGGACGGCCTGGGTCCTTCAAGTGGGCCTCTATGAGGTCCTAGAACAAAATATAATGACAAAAAAATTGAAAAAAAGTAAATAAGAGATTCTAGTTGGTGAGCTGCAATTTAAAAAATTGCAGAAAAAAAATCAACATCAGATCTCAGATTTATTCAATTTTACCCGTATTTCAACAAAGGAATTCTCAGTTTCAACAACAAACAGACACAAACGCATTCATGGCGACGAATAACGTGAATCAAATTCTTAAAATCGTTTTGCATTATGTCCTTAACGTCCTTGCACTGCACAGATGTGGCTTAACTTAAAAGGACTTATCCATCCGCCATCGTTAAGCAAACGTAACCAAGTGAATTCAACAAAGTCACAGACGGGCTTTTCGCAAGAAGTTGGACGTACTCACAGCGAAATGAAGGAGGTGGACAACCAGAAGGCAATCTAACTATGTGGCTATGACCTGGAGGGGCATCTCATCTTTATACAATAACTAATTAGAGGTATATATGCAAACTTTTAATCAAAGAACCGTACATTTTTCTCCCTAGAGAACTGACGTAACTGCATGGTCCAGACATATCGACCAGCAGGGCCACGTATAACTGATGACAAAGCCGGTAACGGGTCTGGAAAATAAATACATAAGAAAACGATTAAAAAAAAAACAATGTACAGAGGGGATAACATGCAGTGCAGTACATTAGATACGGAAGTCACCTTATTTTGGCGAAAAAACGCGATAGCCATTAACAATGCAGGACGGGTTTTTGCCGCGGCGATAATGACGTAGTGGCAGGAACAACGGCAGCAATTTTATAGTCTTTCAATCAGGAAACGGCGCAATTACTTAAAATAACAGTCGATGTGCAAATGATCCTATGTTTTCAGAGTATTTCAAGGAATCCAGCGGTCTCAAATAACAGTTAACAGTAAGCTCTCTAATATGCTTATTAGAGAGCTTACTTAAAACCATATTGAGTTGTGCTATTCTTACACCCGTTAATTCAGAGAGCATTAAGGGCGTGGCTACTAAGGTCCCAAGCTGCAGCACTCTCCTGTTGAAACTCCAACCTCCACTACGCTCTTGAGTAACATTATAGGGAAGGAGAGCGGTTAAATACCTTTATCTCTTAAAGATTCTTCCAGTAATCCCATGATAATGCAACTGTCCTGTATCACATAGTACTGGAATTTGCGACGAGTCTAAATTGAAAATATTGCAAAGAAGAAGCCTGAAAATTTTAAGGCTTTATTGTGGGCGCATATCTCTTAGGGAGCCAAGGACCCTCTAAAATACGCCTCGTTCCCAAAATGAGGCTTCGTAGCTCTGTTGGTTAACATCTAACAAGAATCTTAGATTTTTGACCTTCTAATTTCAGTTTTTTAGAATCCCACTTTTTTATTAATAATATTGCATGTAAATTATTATCATTAATAATTTACATGTTCATAAATTTTTTTTAATAAAGAGGACGTTCAGTAGAAATCGGTGAAGGAAGTGTGACTTAGTCAAACGAAATCATTAAACGTTGCGTGAGCCTGAGCTGTCATGAAATATACTGCAGGAAGCGTGACACTTCGCAAGCATCACTTAAAATTCTACTCAAAATATTTCCATAAAAGACCGCGGTATTTCTGAATTTACCTCTCTTGATGAATCATTCGACTGAACGTGCTTCAAATTTTTTTAGAATCACACTTTTTTATTAATAATATTGCAGGTAAATTATTATTAATAATTTACATGTTCATAAATTTTTCTAATAAAGAGGACGTTCAGTAGAAATCGGTGAAGGAAGTGTGACTGAGTCAAACGAAATCATTAAACGTTGCGTGAGCCTGAGCTGTCATGAAATATACTGCAGGAAGCGTGACACTTCGCAAGCATCACTTAAAATTCTACTCAAAATATTTCCATAAAAGACCGCGGTATTTCTGAATTTACCTCTCTTGATGAATCATTCGACTGAACGTGCTTCAAAACCCATTCCTCATCTAGCAGAGACGATAACGCTGCCGGACCGCACGGGGATGGAAAAGCTCCCTATTAAAGACAGATTTATCAAGAGGTCGGAGGTGAATCATCAGCGTGATGGTAAGATGCGATCAATTTGGCCACAATCGCGGACTCGCTGCAACCTGCTCAGACCATTTCGTCAGACATGTGATAGCTTAATCGGAAAAATATTACTACTTAACACGATAAAGATAACGTTTTCGCCTTTCCTTTCTCAATGTCTTTTAAACTAATAAACCTACATTTGTTTTTCGAGGAAATATAATACATTAAACCACAAGGTAAGAGGGAAAGAGGGCAGGAAAAGTCGGATCAAAAAATTGGGTTCGCGATTCTTGATGTCTGAACAAAAAACGCGCGTATTCTAGGACGACATCCATAACGACTTTGAACAAGGGCACATACAAAATACTCAGGGCACTTCATCCTTACAAGCTGGTCATACAGGAAGCCATGACCGGACAGTGATAACATACCAAGTGTTCCATAATGACTGTAAGCATTCCTTCAGCAGCTTCTCTTACACGGAATGAAACTGGTTTTAATTCTTTGTCACCTGAAAGACGCACGAACGTTACCTTGCGAGCAAATAACTGGAAAGCGTTCGGAAAGCGAGTGAATTGAAGAAGCGTGCTTCAAGGCTGATGAGGACGCTTTTTCCTCCAGCTATTTCTTCTTCAGGGAGACTACCTAAACGCATTTCTCGTCACTGAAGATAATCTCTCGCATGATAATCGTGGCAGCGTACAACTGTCTCCCAATGGGTTTAATCAATAGCCTTTTTATAATCAACAAAGTAAGACTGTGAAGTTGGCAAAAATCATCCAATCGTTTATTTTTCTCGAGGTACTACGGTGGAGATGTCCACTATCATACCTTTCAGGCGGGGAGCCGCGTCCGTTCCAAGCTGAGGGTCCTAAGAGGAAGAAAATTAAGACAATTTGTCAAGACAGAGGTTGAACATTTCACACAAGAGAAAATCTGAATTTGCGACTTTTCTCGCTCTTTACATCATTTGTCTTTCCGTTCTTAGAACCAGCCTCAAAATTTCCCGCAAATGAGTTTGGTTCGGTCGTATCTTTTATAAGCTTGAAACAAATATTTGTAACATTTTACTCACTCTTGAAATTTCGTTCGACTTGCTTCCGGAAATTCCAAGCTCTACCACTTCCATGACGACATGTAAACAGCCCTAGAATGAGATAAAAAATTAATGGGAAGGTATTATTTACAAACGTATACACCAAGAAACATTTTATTGACATACGGAAGTTCCTGACTTCAAAGTACTCCTTTGTTATTAACCTGCACTAACAACAATATTTGCTGACTTTATATTTGATTTATAGTGATACTGTCTTGTCAACCCAACAAAATACTTTTAGAACTCTGACTAGTTTTAACTCAATGGTTCCATAGGATATCAGTTTGTTGAAGGGTGCTAAACACCACATCGATCAACCGAGTAACAGACTAGCAAAATGATGACTACCGCAATGACTGACTGACCAAACGACTGACAAAGTGACACACTGACTGGCGAACTGACAGACTGACAGACTGACTGAGACATTGACCGTCTGCAAGATTGACTGGCTGACTGACAGACTGACACACCGATTGACTAAAAGATTGACTGACTGACGGACAGACTGACACCCTGATGGACTGAAAGAATGACTGACAGACTAACACACTGATTGACTGAAAGATTGACTGACTGACAGACAGACTGACACACTGATTGACTGAAAGATTAACTGACCGACAGACAGACTGACACACTGATGGACTGAAAGATTGACTGAAAAAATAACTGACTGACTAATTAACAGACTGACTAACTAACTGACTGCCTGTTCAACACTGACCGCAAACAGACATACAGACAAACTGACCCACGCAATGACGGACAGACGTATTATTGTTAAGTCAGTCAGTCATTACGTCTATCAGTCTTATTACCTGGCTGTCTAAGAGCCATGGATGCGACATAATCCAAGACTGAAGGCAGCTGAAAGCGGCTACGATCATGGAGTGAAGATCACGTGAGTGGTGTATGGCCTTCTTATTGGCTTGGTAAGTGATGTAATCACACAGCCAGTGGATTGTACTCTTGCACTCACCTTGATCTAAAAATAGAGCAAGCAAATCAAGACCAAGCTACTACTAGGAACTGGACTCACGGTAAAAAAAATTGACAAAAGGCACCAGTCAGGCTTAAGCGATGATCAAAAGTCATCTAGTACAAGCAGATATCACGCTAAACATATCAACCTGAGCGATACTGCACCCTAGATAAACCAATGAATAAATAAATAAAGTCATCTCTGAAGAAACAAGAAAGCGTAGGAAACAGGAGACAGGACCAAACAATTTAAAAGATCTATAGCTTGCGCTGCCAGGCCCTTATCATTAACGCTTTGGGATTGGAGACGAGTCAGAGATAGTTTTGCTAGGGGTCTGATACCAGACCGCTCGCACACCTCTCGGCTTGCGTCGCTACAGGCCTCATACGCTCACGCTTATAATAAAGGCCTGCTCACAAGATCTTTTTACAGCAAAATAGGACAAAAACAAACAAACAAACAAATAAAAACGGTTAGTCTAGAGATAGTGACCACTGAGGAAATTAGGACGAGTTTGATTAATTGACTTTGCTATGCAACGGTAAATGGTAAATATTGTTAAAGCTCTGCTCTTTTTCATAACGAAGTTTCAGTAAAACTCAGAAAAACACCTTAACTAATACAGAGCAGTATCAAAGACCTTAACCTTTGGAAATAACGCGAATACTTCAAAGTGCCTGCAACACAGCAAATTAATTACCCAGATGACCCATACTGAGCTTTGCTAAGCCTGACAGAAGCTCAAAGGCAGCCAAAGTGATGTGAACGTCAGATTTCCAACGACTGCTTCTGATCACAACCAACTTGTTACACAGAAGGTGTGTCAACTGTACAAACAGACCTTGAACAGTTGAGTGGTCTGGAAAAAATTTATTCATTAAAATTAAAATTAAACGTTTGACACAAGCTTTGTGGGGCAGAAATGGAGTCCTCAAGGAAGACTCGCACCTCTGCCAGCTTAACAAAACGGTTTAACGTCGAGCATGCGCAGATGGATTTACTTTTGGCCAATCGGGAGCAAATTTCTAACAAATGCTGTGACGCAAATTTATGATAAGAAATTGACACTCCCACTGGAAGCAAAGATAAGCGGAAAACTTGAGACTTCCAGAACACAAAGTTTCTTGAACTACGGGTATTCCGTTGAATTGCCATCTTGTTTTGAGCTTCAAAGAAAATATTATACGCATTTCTTATGGGGGTCGCTACTTTTTGCTGGGGGGATAAAGGAAAGGGGGTGGGGGGACGCTATTTTCAGCAGGTCATCACTTCTCTTTAACGGACGGATTGATACTTCAAGACGGATTGATACTTCAGCGAACGCATTATTATACCTACACGTACCATAAGATTTGTTGAAAGGCTGACCGTACTGAATCCTGCTGCCACTGTCCACTTCACTCGTACTTCCTGTCTCAGACACTGAGCTGCTTCCAGTGCTTGCTCGGCGCCTGTTTTCCTGGGAGGCCTGTGGCCTTTCCACTCCATGACTTACCGAGTCTATCTTGGGGGAGGAGATCCCAAGGGATTCAGCCGTCTCACTGTCTTGAATCAGCAGAGACATTCCTGTGAATAGATAAATACATAGATTAGTAAATATATAAATAAATGAATTAATTAGAGAGAGAATTTAAGAAAGAGGGCCACATGTTTACCAGTTTTTAACTGTTTAGTGTTATCCTCTGTAGATAAAGTCTTTCTATGAACTATGATATTTGTTATCAATATCATCATTATCATCATTATCGTTATCATTATTGAAGTGCCTCTCGTCCTTGAGTCCACAGCGCTTACCGTTTAGCTAACGCAACTCTAAAAGATAAGACAGTGTTGGGAAACCAATCACTGCTGCTACCATGAAGAAGAATGTTCGCAATTTCAGAAGTAGAATTTTTTTGATTGCTTGTAAAAGAGGTGAGTTTAAATTAAAGTTTTCCTCCAGCTCCCTGCTAGAAATTTAAAGAAAATAGTTTCCTTCAGAATTCAAACTTTCCACTGTATTACAAACCTCCCAAAAGAATCTGAACATTGAATGAGTCCGATTCACACTGAAGAGCTTCTAGCAGCAGTCGAATGAGCCTTGGCTTCAAGGAGATGAATGTCAGGGACTGGTGTTCATCGTGCCCCTCCTGCCTAGCAGTGTGCTTCTTCCTCCATCCTGCTGTCATGTCTACAATAAGAACACATTGCAAAACAGCTTATAACAAAACAAGTTAATTTCAAGATGTACACTGTGTCATACGTGGCCATTTTTAATGCAAGGTGAAGTATGATTTGTCCAATTTTGTGTAAGAACTCATGATAACAATTTGATTGGAACAATTTCAATTGAGTGTCTAAACTAATTAAAGATTGATTTGGTTTTGCATCACTTTGCTATTCATATGATTGGTCCAGAAAACTCTGATAACTTTGCAGGTACCAATTTAACCTCCTGGGAGGAGAGAAGCACTGTGAAAGTAACAAAAGAGTTATTTTTTCAAGAACAAAACACAATGACCTTTCCAGGTCTCAACACCAGACCTCTCAACACAGGTCCACTGCATTAAGCCATTATGTCACCCTCTTTCTGAGAAAATTCCCTAACTTTCTCAACTAGTCAGATTCAAAACTAAAACCAAGCGTGACTTGGTAACTCGCATTTTCATTTTAGGCAATTTAATCATTTAACTCTCATATGTGACCAAGACATAATTTCTCCTTACCAAATCAAAACAATATTAAACAGAAAAGTGATGAGAATAAAGAAAAATATCAGCTAGGAGATAATTAGTTTATTCAATACCAAATTCTCAGAACTAACATCATAGGAATTGTGTGGCAGACAGTAAGGAGAATTTCTAATGAGATCTTGGGAGTGAAAAGGTTAATTGTTTTAACTTGGGATTCTAATTGTTTCCTTTCAATATTTTCCTTTGCTCTGATTGGTTACTGTGATTACTGTGGTTTCATTTTACAACACTCAATATGTAATAAGCTCAGACACGCACTCACTCTATCAATCATTAATCATAATTTCTCATCTAACCTTTTATGTCAAGATCCTGAAAATGCAGCGGTAAGCAAAGCATGGATAACAGGAGATGGATGGCAGCTCTTCGAAGCTCAGTGGTGGACACTTTACACCTGAGGGAATGAGTGACAGAAAAAGGAGAATATCTGAGATCAATTTGACAATTAAAGCGGATAAGTTTCCAGAGAGACTGATGTGCTGCATTAATAATGTAAATTAGACATGAGAATTTCTAGTTTCATTCTGATGAAGGGCTAATGCTCAGAAAATCAGCTTTAGAAACTCTCAACGGTGGCCAATTTACATTTATCTCAATTGATAACATCAAATTATCTGATACCAGGATTTTTACACAGTGTGTTTATCTTTTGACACAGTATTCAGGGTTTTCACACAGAGACATAGTGGCAATGGATTAGTACAAAGTAACTAAAAGTTCTCTGCATCTGAATATAACTAGGTCAGGAAGTTAAGTAACAATATAACAGTAAGTATATTTATGTTTAGACTTAGGTTCACTCAATGAATTTTTATTACAGTTATCTTCACTATAAAGCTAACTGACTGATCAAGTAACTGAAGGACAGAATAACTAATGGTCTGAAAGACTGACAGATTACTTGACTGTCTGAAGGACAGATGTACCGACACAAAGGCTACATATAAATGACTGGCTCACTGATTGAAATTAGAGATGGAGCAAACTGTCTCTCTCAATAATGACTGACAGGTTAACTGGAAGAAGCATGGGATATAAATCATGATACTAACTGGCTCTCAAAAATTGTAACTGACTCAGGGGTTTCAATAGATGTCCAATGCTACCTGTGACCCCCCTTACCACTGTCTGTTTATCTTGTGAGCAAGCTCTTGTGTTTGGTTTTTGCTTTTGGTCCTCTTTCTGAGCACACCAGCCTCTTACACCATCAGTAGCCTTATATGGAAAAAGCTACAGAAACCATTTGCTGCAAACTGGCTTACTGATCAACAGAGATACTGGACTAGTGCACAGAAGGATGGATAAACTGACTAACTGCTGTCTATCTGATGGGTTTCAATAACTAACTGCATACCTGTACAAGAAATCACATCTTGCTTCCAAAATTAACGGTAGATTAAGTGTGGTGACCAAGCTTGCATACAACCCTTTGAGTTTCTGTTCATCTAACCAGGATTGATCACCTGATTTCACTGCCATCAATTCACTAATTATTTGTCCAAAAAAAAAAGTTTTTTTGTAATTGCTATTGCTGTTATGTGTATAAGATCTGAGGAGCAAAACAATTAGCAAAACACATGCATTTTAAAACTTAGAACCAGTTAACACATCGAACTATTGGTGAAAATCTTAGAGAAAAACAAATTTTGTTTTTTCAGCAGTGGTTTACCACTAGTCACCATAGTGACATATTAAACTCCCTAATGTTAACCCTTTGAGTCCCACTATTGACCAAGACAGAATTTCTCCTTACACTATTAGTACAATATCAAGCAGACAAGTAATGAGAATAAAGAAAAATATCAATTAGGGGATCATTGGTTGATCCAATTCCAAATTCTCCAAACTTACATCACAAGAACTGTATGGCAGAAAATGAGGGGAATTACCAATGAAACCTTGAGAGTTAAAGGGTTAAGTGTCTAGATGAAAGATCAAGATTTCAGTTCAATGAATGTACCCAGATTGTGGGACATTTGGGCTAACAAGCTTATCAATGGACTGACAGAGACATACTGAGTGACTATTGATAAACTATTCAAGGCTTCTTTTTGGAATGAAGAGAGTAAGTTTCTGAAGAAACTGTCAGTGGTGCTGCGTCTGTGAGGGGTAATACAAAATAATTTGATCTAGTGAGTCGTAGATTGGCCAAGCCAAGCTGCTAGTTTTGAGCCCTCTGGCCACATCAAATTGATTTAATCTAACAAAGGCCTGTTGCTCAAAACATCACCTTTAGAAACTCTTTATGGTGGTCAATTCACATCCTCAACTTAGTTGAAAAAGACACATTTCTCATTTTTTTAATGAATGACTGACTGACTTGCTAATCAACTAAAACAATTATTCCTTCATTTTTAATATCTGTTTGCCTGCCTGTCTGTCTGTCTTTCTAACTGTCTAAATGTTATTGCAACTGACTGCTTGACTGACCAATTCCCTGACTGATTGACTGAAATATAACTGTCTCCTGCAATGCCAGATCAATCAATGTCTGTTTTAAAGCCCTCTAAGGGCTTAAGATTCCAAAATTTTAGTTCTAGCTTGCTAATCATACATATTGGCAATAAAGGCATAGTGATATCAGCATTCATCTTTCAATTCAATCAGCTATAATTGTGTTGATCAGTGAATCTGATAACATGCCATTATGAGATGATGGTTGCTTTCTGCACTACTACTGAGAACCTGTGTTAAACTTAATTGTTCTACCTGATTTGGATGTCATTTCTTGGCAGTACAGTTTCAAGTGCTGTAATAAGGTGTGGTAACAACACCTGGACTCCCTGCAGATCCACTCTCAACAGATCAGCTGAGTTCAGTAAGATGCTACAGAGCACATGACCAGTGCAGGACTGAAAGATATCATTGAAAAACAATATATCATTATAAAGTGCTACTCATAAGTACCAAAAAAGGTTGTCAAATTTTCCTGAGGCAGTTGCTATTTTTTGTAATTAGATATCTGGTGGTGAAGATTAAAAAATTGATCTCTCACCAGAAACAACTGTGTTGACCCTGGAATCTTCTTACCTCTGAATATAACAATCCAATGGCCAAGGCTAAATAAAACCGGGAAAGGTAGACAGGGCGGACCTCTTGACCAGAACAATGGCTACAAAAGATGCGACACAGAGCACCATATGCTTCAGCTCTGCCTGGTTCAAATCTGCTGTCCATGGCTTGGCCACCCTTCTCAACACTATAAATTCAAAGTTAACCCTTCAACTTCAAGAAGTGATTACCATATATGTTCTCCCTAGAATATTCAAAGATTATCCATTACACTGGTAACGAGAATACTCAAATTTATCAGGTAGAAGTTGTTATCTTGATTTATAGGTGACTACAAATTCTTGTAACTAATTTACAAGGAAATGTGTTGTAGTTAGAGGGGAGAATTAATAATTAGATTTTGGGAGTTTAAGAGTGAATAAAGATACAATAAGTGTAATTTCATTGTAGAAATTTTATTTAGAAATGTGATTTTCTGCAGATGTTGAATTTTTCTAAATTTTCACAATTCACGAACCCTGTTTTGATCCCTCCTGCGGTGTCAGCTTGGCCAGAATTTGTTATAAACCCATCATATATCTTTCCAAGAGCCTTGAAATTTGCTGCCATGTCCAGTTTTGCAAAAACAGCCTCAAAGAGCCATGCTCCAAACAAATGGAGCACACTATCTCCTGATGGTTTGTGAGCATCAGATTTGAATGAAGTAGAGAATAACAGTGAGGAGGATGACGGAACACTCGCTAAATCTGAGTGGAAGGTCTCAAAATGTGGCAGACTACTGGATGATGTACCACTACTTGGTCTTGATGGCAGGGTTTGAGATCTTGATGCTAAACCAGTGGCATCACTCAAACCTAAAGCCACACCAATACTCAAGGCTTTCTGTTCACGTTTCTTGGTAGTTGGCGGAGTTGCAGTTTTTGTTGGAGCTGGGATTGGTATGTGTTTCACTGGCTCATCCTGAGTTGTTGTGATGGTGAGAAAGGCATTTACAAGGACTGCTACTCCTTTCATTGCTTGTAAGAAGTTCTGTGGAAGTGCCTTCAAACAAGGATGAGAGGAAGGTGTAATCACTTCCTCACTTGACAAAGCAAACTCCTTAAATCTGGGAGTATCACTGATTATCTCTTTCTTGCAAAGATCCACAGGGTTACCAATTATGTGAAGTATCCGGAACCAGCACTGAATGAGGCATTCATCGCCTAAATTGACTGGCAGTTGGACATCACTCTTCCTGTGGGGTAGAGTAGGAAGGGGAAAGCTAGGACCATACATGTACTGTATGACTCTTCTGGTGAGAGCAAGTGCTGTTCTACTCCAGTGGTTGATCATCGCGCTATGATGACGCCATGACGTGCAAAGCTCATGCAGAGTTTTCCACATTGACGGCGTTGGGAAATGGTGACAGCTGGCATACAACCACACTTCCAGCAAAACACTGATCAGCTTCTCACACAAGAGTTCTGCAAGACCTCCTGTTCTGTTTGGTGGTGACAAGAGCATGTCATTAATTATCATCAAGGACTTGAGCAAGGTTTCCCATGTTAGCGGCGACATTCTTGCCTCTGAAGCCGTGGCTTGAATTGCTTGCAACACTCTGATACATAACGAAACTTGTAAAGCCAGATTACCCTCTTCTCGCAGGACGAAAAGGTTACGAAAATGCTGAAAGATCTCTTTTGCGTACTTATCTGGCGCTTTCAGCAACGGTTCGGGAATGCCTTTCTTGGGATTTGTAAGCATCGACAACCAGTCTAAGTAAATGTTGACACAACCCTTCACAATTTCGCCATCGCTTTCCGTCATTTGAAGCGTGAGTCCATAACAAAACACTTCCATGACCCAGTCAAACTGTTTCTCAGTATTTAGAGTCGTGTAATCTTGATTCCCCGGTTGTGTCAGAGTTTTCACTACTGTGTGGACAACTTCGCTTCCAACATTAGGAGGAAAACTTTTCAGAACACTCCTGTTGTTACGATCGCGCTGTAGCGTGTTTCGAAGAGAAACCCATTCAGAATACATGGTGAACAACTGCAAGATAAGAGCAAAACGCGAATGTCAGCTTCAAGTATGAAATCTAAAGGATTTGCGATTTCTTTCCTTGGTCTGATTGTTATTGTTTTTTTAACCACAAAAGTTTTCGCCTGACATGAAAGAAATCTCAGTGAGCACATTTTATTACTGTACTCACCGATGACAGGAATTGGCTTCTACTTACGAAGTAAAAGGCTGCTCTTTACAGAAAAAGAAAGGCGCAACGTAAATATCACTCGCTAAACTGAGCATTCTTCGCCATCTTGTTTTCTTTAGGGAATGTCCGCTGAATTTCATAACGTGACATAAAAATGTCACGCAATACTTGTACTTTCTATATCGACTTGTCTAATAAGTATGCAAATGAAGACATCTCTCAAATACTTAGTATAACGTTTCATTCAGAATTCAAATATCAACTGAGCTGATAACGTAAAATTGGCCAACGTAAAGAGTTTCAAAGCTGACGTTTCAAGCGTCAGCCTTTGATTAGAGCGAAAAGGTAATTTATTCTGACTAACTTTTTCTCCTTTTAAACGGTGTAAAAGTTATTCACAAAAAGTTATTTTTTAAAAGTTGTCAAATGCAAGATCAATCTTCAGCCGTGTTTGTTTTGTTTTGTTCATTGTTTTAGTCTTACTTTTGCTTGTTTGTTTTACTTCTTTGTTTTCGCTGCTTTATATTTTTGAAAACAAAGCAATTATCCCGCTCGAATGAGTACAGGCAGCCCGGTACGTCATTGATACAAGTAGACCCAACCCTCCCTCTCCCCTCTCAATTCCATACCAAAGTCGATCTCGGATTTGGATAACTGGTCGATGGATTTCACCCTTGGTGGCCCAAGTCCAGAGGGCGTGAACTGAAGGGGAGACGAGAAACAAGTGAGAAGAAGTGACAGAGGAAGGATTTTACTGGCCAAGTTAGTAGAAAATGGCTTTCATTTCTTTTACGCAGTGACATAAAATACAAGTGCAGAATATTTTGCACAATCTTTATTGCTGTCTACGAACGAAGCATACACATTAGGGGATGAAACTTTTGCGTCGTTAACCAGAAACAACAAAATTTCACTACTTCAATTAATTAACGCTATTAATCTTTACCATTCTTTTTTTTCTTCTTCTTTCGGCCTCTTACTTCTCAAGGAAAAATTGTAACTCCAAGACTCACATAAAAATAAAATGTGGTTAGCAAGTAGGTGTATGTATGTTTTTTCTTTTTTCTTCTTCCTTTCCTTGACCTCATCAAGTCCGGATAAAATAAACATGACTTAAAGTATGCTCTTCACCACTACAACCACTAAAAACGTTCAACGAAATAGAGCCTGACAGAATCTTAACGACATTAAAATAAGAGATGGGCGTGAACCTTGAATATTCACCAAAAATTAAGAAAACTGACAAACATGCTAGTATTCTGAATTGAAATACAATTTCGATGGTTGTGTAATATAAATCCCAATGGATTAAAATGGATTTCAAATACGTCACTCTAGGAAAGCTATCAATCTTAAGATCCCACATCATCCAATTGGCCAAGTGTGACCTTTTGGCGATTACTAATACAGTCGTTTCACAATAGTCGTGATTGTCAAAAAAATTATGCAGAGCAAAATCAATACTCTACTCCTTCAACTTCTCCTTCATTATCGATTGCGTTGTATCTGACCCAATCCCTAGCGATCGGGGCATTGAGCATTTCATCAGTGAATCCAAAAGCATCGCACAACGCAAGAGCCTGTGGTGCTACTTCACGACACAGGTCAGCGGTCACCTTCCCCACTTCTGCCCCAGTTTCCGCAGACATCAGCCCCGACGTGGCAAAATAGCCGAGATCTCTCTTAATGACTGTCATCTGGTAGAGATGATGAAGTTTCTTTAGAACTGGCTGCAGACCAGGGTCAGCTTTATCAAGAGCTACACCAAAACATTCACTGATGAGCCGTTCACCATACGAACGTGCAGCAGCTTGGACAAGATCCTGTTCCTGGAACATCCAGGTGTCAAACCTTCCTTCCTTCCCAGCCTTCATCATCTTCTTCCCCAGAGATGTGAACAGTCTGTTCTCACGAGACTTCAACAGGGCCTGAAGGTACGTGCGGTCACTCAGGTCAGCGCCATCGCTTGCTGTACCTTGATCTTTCACTGGTTTAAAAACCATCAGCCTTTCAGTGGCAACCTTCTGCATCAAGACCGAGTTGTCACCTTCAGCTGTCATACAAGCATGTGACAGGGCCAAATCAATGCCAAATTTATTGCAGGACAGATAGCCTTGTCCTCCACACCTCTCGCGGCAAGTGGCACCTGTTTCAGATACATGCCAACCAGCAATGGCCTTGATAACACAGCACATGGTCACTACATCTGCATGGTCAGATCCATCTGTAGCCTATGAAGGAAATTTCCATGACATTTTTAGCGTTACTTGGCAAACAGCCCTTTCCTTCAAGACAACATTCATAAAATTTTCCAGACTTCTCTCAAAATAAAATTTCATTTCTCCAAGAACACCTGTCCTCAGTGAAATAGAAAAATGCTCCTTCTACTTTACCTGGGAGGCCCAGCAATCCTTGATGTAATGCAATGCAAAATCAATGGCATAAGTGATAGCCAGTAGAGGCATCAGAGCATTCTGTTGGAGCTGATACTTGAGAATAGGTGTGTCAGATTTGCCTTCTGGACCCACTGTCAGACGAGTTGCTGAGTAGCGAAGAGCAATGGCAAGACAAGCTTTTGAAGCACCTGTTACATCAAAATGGATAACATGAAGCAAGGGGTCGGTCTGCATATATAGCAAAGCCCATAATCTCTAAAAACTATTCACCATTTCTGTAATGTAGATATCTCTGCCCCAAATCAAACCACAATGAGACATGCAAATGGTTTTCCAAGTAGTATTTAACTATTGGGCTAATTAACATGTCAATTCAAAATATAATTGTATTTGGAACCTGTTTTGGTATACATTTTGAATATTGCACACAGTAGGTTCGCCAAGCACAAAAATTTATGTAATTATTTCTCAAGGACTCCCACTCGTTAACCCTTTTGCAACATCTCATCAGTAATTCTCCTTGCTATCTACAATACAATTCTTAAGATGTTAATTCTGGGAATTTGGTATCTGATCACCTGAAAAAATCCTTATTGGTATTTTTTTTTAATTCTAACCACTTATCTGCTTGATATTGTATTGATATTGTAAGGAGATATTCTGTCTTGGTCACTTGAGGGAGTTAAAAGGACAAGTTGAGCAAGAGTTCAGGAGAATTTAACAATGACCCAAATTTAGCCCCCAGTACAACTTTCGCAAGCCTCCCATCTCCAATTAGCCTTTATAACCCCCTTCCCACCCCCAACATTTACAGATCTGGCCCCAGTGGTATGAAGGTTGGATAATGTAATCCACTGGATAAACTCAAACCAATGGATAACACCATACATTTTGTTGTCTCTTAACTGCCAGATTGCTATTTATCTGTTAGATAGCATTATACACCCTTTCTACAACTGGGCCCTGAAGTAAGGTAATTCATTCTCCTGGGTGACAAGCACACAGGTATCCATTATATGAAGTGTACACAACTTGTACCTTGGGCCATGCTTGCTATACATAAACGCCCAGCGAGAAGTTGGTCTGCCACTGCCAGAAAACGATTTCGGATGCTGCCTTTTATTTTTGTTGTGTACGTTCCATCCTCTGCAACATCAGAAGACAAGTTGAGCAGGTTTTCTCTGGGTACACGGACATTGTCAAAGTAGAACTTAGCATTGTCCACTCCATTCAGACCCATTTTATGTCCCATGTCATGAATCTGAACTCCAGGCATCACATTCAGGTCCTTATCCCGAATGGGAACCAGTACACCATGGATACCTGAAATAAGAGAGGTAACCATCTTTAATTTCATAGCTACCATGGTATTCAATAGATATCTCCAAAATCTTTCCATGACACCCTCAGGTAAATGTGCTATGATGACCCTCATGTAACAGGGACGCTACATTATAATCTTTTTTTTTTTTTTTGCATTGGAAAATATTTGATGATGGTCATGTCCCCAGAAATTAAATATGGTGCATGTACAAACGTATCAATGTGAGAACAGACCTCCTGACTGGCCTTTCTCAAAGCTGTTTGAGTGTGATAGATATAAAATAGAGTATAGAAAAATGTTCAGTTATCCAGAGGTTGTTCTATTCAACAAATTCTAAAGAAGGAAGGATAGAAGATAGGAGATAAGGGAGGGGGGGAAGGAGGGAGGAAAGGAGGCAAGGGAGGAGGGGAGGTAAGGAGGAAGGAAGGAGGGTGAAAGGGAGGCAAGGAAGAGGGAAGGAGGCTGGAAAGGAGGTGAGGAGGGGGGAAGGAGGGTGGAAAGGAGGCAAGGAGGAGGGAAGGAGGGTGGAAGGGAGGTAAGGAGGGGGGAAGGAGGGTGAAAGGGAGGCAAGGAGGAGGGAAGGAGGGTGGAGAGGAGGCGAGGAGGAAGGAAGGAAGGTGGAAAGGAGGTGAGGAGGAGGGAAGGAGGGTGAAAGGGAGGTGAGGAGGGAGGAAGGAAGGTGGAAAGGAGGTGAGGAGGAGGGAAGGAAGGTGAAAGGGAGGTGAGGAGGGAGGAAGAAGGGTGGAAGAAAAGTAAGAGGAAGAAAGGAGGAAGGTAAGGAGGAAGGTAAGGAGGAAGGTAAGGAGGAAGGAACGAGGGTGGAAATGGAAGATGAAGAAGGAAGGAAGGAAGGAAAGAAGGGAGGAGGGTGGAAGGGAAGTAAGGAGTTTGGAAAGGAAGGTAAGGGTGGAAGAAAGGAGGGAGGAAGGGAGGTAAGGAGGAAGGACAAGAGCGAGGGTTGAGGGAAGAAGGAGGTAAAAAGAGACATAAAAAAATTGAAGAAAAGAGAGGAAGAAACAGACAGAGGAACCAACTGACAGGTGTATCACATAACTTGTTAACCCTGGAGTAAAATAGCCACCTTGATTAACACCATCAATGTACAGTTGTGAGAAGACAACAACATGATGGGCATGACAAGCACCATTGGTGATCCAATATTTCTGTGCCAAAGGAGTTGGTGTGTTGACAATGAACTCCTCGGTCTCCTTGTCATAGGTGGCTGTTGTCTCCATCTGTACTGCATTGTTTCCATAGCCAAGTTCTGTCAGACCAAAGCAGCCCACATCCTCTAGTGTGTCGATACCCTAAATTTGATTTACAAGAACATTTCTAAGCATACTTTACATAGGAGGAACAGGTGAAGCCATTATCCAAGTTAATTTCCCTTTCCTGATTCTTTAGGGTTTTTTTTTATTTATTTCCCTTTATGTGCTTACTTAATGTAAGATAGGATGCCAATGAAGGCTTAAAGAGGAGACCAGGCTTGATTTTGGGGACCCAAGTGATTAACCAAACTGTAACCCTTCACACCCTGACATCAAAATGCATATTCTCCATTCTGCTCTCCGTACATCTCCTTAGGTACTGACATAAAGAACTTGTTTAGCAATCAAGAACTCATTGGTTGGAGACCATTTCCTTTATTCTCATGACCTTAATGTGTAATTCAGGGATGATATTGTAAGGAGAAATGAGAGGCTGGTCTCTCTGAGGGGTTAAAGAGTTAAGAAAAACTCTGAAACTGTCTTATAATTTTGGATTTGACTGAAGTGGGCAGCTGATTAGTGGTGAAGTTCTCCTCACAAATAGACACGTCTGGTCCCCTTGTTTGATTGTGGAAAACAACCTTCTTGTTTACTTACAAGAAGTACCCATGAAGCTTTGTATGTGAAATGATTTATTAAAAACATGAAACTGCATGCAGCAATTGCCTTAAGCTTAGCAAGATTTCTTCACAAACCAATACAATTATGTATACAGTTCTTCGATAATTAAAGTAAACAACAGTGAAAACAATAGATTGCCTTTGGGATTACGGCCAATTGTATTGGGGTTATATGGAAACCTTCCCATTACCTTTAACAGCTTGTCATGGTGTCTCTCTGTCCCCAACTTCAACACAGTACCACCAAACAAGTTAAACTGGACCGTCATTTTGGTAGTCATTGCAGCATCCACCACGGCGGCCAGCTCGTGGGCTGCGAAGATCCACAGAGGGTTATTCCTGAAGTCAAGCACAGATATAAATCCTTGATCACAGAGTTTCTTCAGTCTTTTCAGGGCCAATTCCCTTTCTTCGTCGATAGAAATGTTGTATTTTGGGGTCATCAGCGGATCTTCTGAGAGAATTTTACGAAACTTCGCTCTTTTCTCTTGGTTGTCGTGATCCAGAAGGAATGTCATTTGCGACACATCAAACGATGCTTTTCCCCATTCATCTCTCAGTTTATATGGATCTAGCTCCAACTCATCTTGTAGTTTCGGAGAGTCCAGCTGTGCTGAGGCTGCAGATAGCGAAAAGCTACGAGTATTGTGAAAGTTGGGTCGATATTGAGACTGTTTGTTTTGAGCCTCACTACTCGACCGAATGCTCTGCACACAGAGAGCTCTTCGAAGAGAAACTGTAGCAAGGGTACGGTTAAATCCTCTCGCAACAAGTGCACTTGCTGAAAGCATGACAAAACTTGAGAGAGCTGACGCTCTGAAAACTTTTCTTCACAGGTAACTGAAGGTCGTAGGACTTTGGTCGTTGTTATCGACGTGACACTTTTTACAGTATGGCATACACAAAGTAATCACTGACACAAAATAGAGATCAGCGGTTGCTTTCACTAACTAATTTTGTCTTCATGTATTTACAATAAAGTATATCTAGGGTTTCTTGCCTTCATAGACAACAGGTAATAATTCGATTTAGCGCTTATTTACTTTTGGTACCTCAAGAGAGGAAGCGTATTCGAGACTGGGCACGTTTTAGGAAAAGGGCACTTATTACTCTTTTCAGAAACAGCAGAATGTGAAACAAACCTTCGATGTTTACTTAAATGAGGATAAAAAATAAAAATAAAAAAAACTGGAAACCGCACTTGTTGTCCATAGATCCTTCTTGGCTAGAATGACTATCCGAGAAGTCGTCGTTCCTTCCCACTCGTCATGGAAAAGTTAAATAAATTTTAATACCGTAAAAGAATAAAAGAATCGAAACATGTTGTTTTAATGCTTTTTTTTAATTTCATTTCAGCAACAGGTCCCGACAACAAATCCACAAAAGAAAGAAAATCCCCCACGAAAGCAGCTCTGCACTGAACTACATTAAAGCTTCTGATCAGTCCTTCCCTGAGTCTGAACAGGCTTAGCGTATTCCTGAAATTGAATAAGAAAGTATTCTAACGCTGTGCGACTGAACAAAACAGACGATTGTGTTAACCTTTATTAACCCTAAGAGTGATTAGCAACTATATTCTCCTATCAGCATCACCCTTAAAACAAACATTGAGTTCATGAGAATAAAGGAAATGAATACGAAGTAAAGAAGCTCTTGTTTGTTAAACAAATTCTCTTTGTCGGCACCATAGGAAATGTCTTGAGAACAGTGTGGAGAAAATGTATACTGATGTTAGGGTGTAAAGGGTTAATTATACCCTCGAATTGTGCTTCCAAATCTCCATGAAAATTTGCATGGATGTAGTTTTAGTTTGTTTCGAACCTTCTTAATCATCCACACTGCTGTTTTCCACCAGGCAGAGCAGACGTAGTTTTTTTTGTTCTTAGACAGAGATCCAGAAAATTTAGAAAAGTAGGGCCGTGGGTGGACAGGACCAGGATGTAGCTTATTATCGTGTCCAGTGTTCCTCGTCATTTCATTTCTTCCCACTCAAAACTATTAGTAATGCGACGAAAGACAATTAACTTTTTTTTGTATCGTTCAGCTGATATAAACTTCACTCATCAAGTCAAAACCACCAAATTTATAATAACAGAGCAGAATGGAACTAAAACGCCTTTTTTTCCTTCAAGGCGACATTTTACAAAGCCACGAACTGCGTGGCACATCACTCCCGCAATGCATTTTTTTGTCTGAAGTGCACAGTCACGTAAAATCAAACTGAATACCTTAACGCAGGTAAACCACCAAAACGTCAGCAACTCCAACACTGTCTGCAGCAATAAAAACAAAAGGTTATTCGATCAGCCTGGTTATAAACATTCATTAAACTTAAGTGTTGAAGGCGGTAGATTCTATGAATATTTTACACTTCATCTAGATAAAGGCAAGACATATTAAACGATACAAATACTTATTATATAGACTGCAGTGTTTTACAAGGATTTCCAGCCCTGAGAAATACTGTAACTGCACAGTTGTAAAATTGCAATAATTTTTTACGTGCGTTTGATATCGCTAATTAGCTGGTGCCGACGCGTCACTCGCCTTTTGCGCCAGTCCGTCAGGTCGATGAATGAATGTCAAAGCGTTCACCATTCTCAATCCAAAGTCGTTTTTCGAAATTTTTCGGATATATGGCCTATAGTGTTCATACGAAAAAAAGTAATACACGGTCGTAATGCTTGTATATATGGCCGCGTTCAACTCGATATCGCAAGAGTGAGTGCGGCGAACGGGTGAAAGTAAACGCTCCAAGGGAAATTCCATATCTTCGCGTGCCAATACTAATTATTCTCTTTTCGACAGCCAGAAATTTCTTTCATTTAGTGGGTTGCTGGCGTAAAAGAGATAACTTTAAGGGAGGGGAGACTCGGGGGAGAGATTTCTTTTAATCCCACTCGGCACATTTCTACTGATTGGAATTCGCCCCCTAACCCCCCCCACTCCCCCATTGTTAATGGTAGACTTACTGTATTGGTTCCAGTTAGTGTGTCCTGACAATTTGCTGTACAGAATGACGTTTTTGCGAGGAAGGAAACGTGTCTCCCATTTACAGTAGTTGGAAGTGATCACCATCCATCCGACATCGTTAGGACATCCGCCATATCGACTGTTGATGAAGAAGTTGCGATTGTGCTGCCCGGGAATAGAAAAGATGTTCTTTGGCTCGGATTTCATGTCTTTCCAGGAGCTGTCAATCAGTTTACTGGCCGAGAACCAGTTCAAGTTGTTTGTTTTCTGTGCATTGAAGCTCACTTCCTTGACTAGCTGCCCTCCGGCATAAAGGGCAACTCTCGCCTGATAGGAAAAAAGAGAAAAGAAAAAAGAAAAGTAATTATTTTTACCAGTTTGGCAACAGCAAAGGAATGGATGGGTTCGTAAAAATGACAACACAGAATCTTCATTTGCTTCAGATATGCGACAAGTTTATTCCGCGTAATTGGCGAGCGTTTCTATGGTGACCATTTTTGACTGAATTGACACTTCCAACCCAAATTGATGATTAAAATTGTTTTTGCCCGAGACACTTCCCGCCCAGACTGATGATTAAAATTGTTTTTGCCCGAGGGCAAATTCAAATAAATAATGTAATTCTTAATTTTGAATAATCAACCGTTCGAGTAAACAGAATAAGAAAGATGGTCAATTAGGAGCTCGGTACTGAGGAATAGAGAAAGATGTCTTTTTCGTCTTGTCTCGAGAGGGGGACAAAAAAATGGCCATGTTCTCCGTAGAGTCTCTGTGGCTTAGTGGCAGAGTATTGGAGCGTGGAATCGGAAGATTTGAAGTTCGATTCTTGATAGGGACTCAGAGTGTTTTTTCTTTATCCCACGCTTGTGACACGACGACGACAGGATCTTTCTCAAATAGCCCTTTCTTTGAGAGTAATAAATTCATATTAACTTTTCCTCTTTATACTCAAATTACCTCCAACGCCCCAAAGTCACTCCATTTTAAAACTATTCTGTTCTTGTAGTGATCCTTGTGCTTACTCGTGACGTCAAGTGCAGCCATGTTTTTCTCAGAAGATGTTTGAGGCGAGACGTAGGTAGGATACACTTTCTTATCGACTCCACTTACCACTTTGAAAACCATAGTCCAACCCTTAAACCAAAAATGGATTTTTTAATAATTTTAAAGAAAAAAATTGCCTTGTAAAGATAGGTAATAGCAGCAGAAGCTCTAAGCAGCACTTTGAATTGGCGAGATCCATATGCTTTCAACGTTTCATTTTCGGTGCAATAATTCGCCAAAACTTTTACAAAATGTTCGTCCTCTTCACAGGTCTTCCATTTTTAATACCTCCCTTACTCGTTATGGAACTGCCACGAAAGAAAAGATTGATCTCCTTTAAGACTTGTAATATGCCATTAACCCAACCTACCAGCCGTGGTTAATCTTTTACAGATCATTTCAATATTAGAAAATATGGTTTGCGCAAGTTTCACCAAGCATTGTTTTGTAAAGTTCGTGTCTAGTACTTACCTCCAGCAGCCATGTCACAGTAAACTGGGAAGGCGTTTTTGAAGTCTTTTGATAAAAAGGATAACAGGAGGTTACCGTTGTAACAAAGTGAGAAAGCCATCTACATGCTAAGGACCCCACTATCTGCATCTTCTGTAGGCCTTTATGACGTAAAGATCGCGATTTACACTTGGTTCTGTTAACACCATGCTCAGCAATAGGAAGTAAACAGGCTCAAGCATTTTTGAGGCCGAGACTTCAGAATGCTCATTTTTTAAGTTCCTATTCGTTACGCCACGACCTTAGGACGAACAAAAATGCTCCAAGAGGATTCTAGCCTTAGACCAAAAGATAATGACTAATTGCAAAGTCTGAAGAGACTTCAGGATTGGTTAAAATGATTGCGAGATGAAAGATTTTTCGAGGCTTTAACCGTTCGTATTTTCGCTTTGTTCGCGCACTTGACAGAATAAATAACGTATTTCTTAAATCAAAGGCAGAGCTAAAAAATTTCCATCTTCCTTACTGTGATATACTTTTACATAGTTCTGGATAGGCTAATACAATAGCATGAAGGAAATAATCCGCGCCTTTTTTAACCTAGTTGCGTTTGCGAGGAAAATATACCAATAATTCTCAATAATGTAAACCTACCACTCAAAGTGATCCAATAAATTCCGTTGGCCGCGTCTTTCAAGCCGGTCTTAATTTCTTTGCATGAAAAACCTGGGTATCCCCTGGAGCCCAAGGAGGATTCTTCGTACTGCAAGGCTTTCCACTCTTTACCATCGCATACGAATATTTTTCCGGTAGTAAACTTCATCTGCCCGGCCTTGCTGGAGTCGCAGTCGAGGTTGATCACTTTATAATATGTTTCACCGCAACCAATAGACGACGCGATCATGCAACATATTGAAACGCTCAGTAAAATGCTCAAACCGACAAGATATCCCATTTGCAGCCAGTCTTTAGGTTAGCAATGAACCCACACGATTCAGTCAATATTTTTTAAAAATTATTTCACAGGTGAGGTGGTAAAGAGGGGTTAAAAAAACTCGCGGTTTTTTCGTGTTTTGAACATCAATAATTAGCATCTGACATCACTTCCGCTGAAGAACACCGCTTGAACTCGCCCCTGACAAGATTTGGAATGACGATAACTAGTTACGGTGACTTTCATTTTTCTTTTCGTTTTTTAACATCTTCGTGGAGTTAAGTCTGTTGTGGTTTAATGTGAGCAATAATAAATGCATGTTTGATTCACTACCGTTCATTTGCATCTGTGAGAATAGAAGTGAATTGCTTAGAACTTTGGTGTAGGAGTCGGTTTGAATGATTTACGATTGAGTACAAATGGCCAACAGTCGCTGCATCACCACAAGAGAAAGACACGTCAATGCAGAGTACAGTATTTATGGCAGGATGGTTGTTGACTTACAGCTGAGCTGTTCTTGAATACTCAGTTTATTGACCGGCTGCGTAGTGTGCCGGATTGCAAGTCGGCAAGTTTGATTGAATCTGAAAGGTTGGTCTTCATCGATGTCATCGGCAAAAGAAATTGTTTCTTAAGTGAAAGCATGCACGAAGAATTATTTTCGACTTTTTGATTAAGAAATGTTTTGAATTGGCACCAATAGAGCATTAAAAATGTCTGGTAAAATTATAATATTTAGTTGCTGTCACACTCCGATGGGTTCGCGGTTAGAGTTTTTTTTAAGCATGTTATGGAGTTACATAATGATGCTTTGTTTATACAGTTATGCATGATTTGTTTAATCATACAGTTTTCGCCGAAACACACCAGAGCTCACCTCGAGGTCTCAACATTTCGGACCTATAGCAGCGAGTTTTGCTAAGAAAACACAGACTAACTTCCCAGAAGCATCAACATAGCTGGCATAGCATAATAGTATCATGTATAGCTCAGTGCACTTGTGCATAATTTGTCGTTGCCCAACTAACTGATTTAGAGTTTCGAGATTATCCGATATCTGGGTGCAATAGCACATGCGGGCATCAAAGCAGGACAAAAATTTGAACATAGCTTCATCCAGTGCCTGATATTACAAAAAGTGAAGGGGACATACTGAAAATGTACTTTGAGAGATTATAATTTTATGATCTCTTTTGAACATACGTTCACTAAATGATTCATTTCACTGAAAGTATTGCTGCCCTCAGGAAATAAAGACTGACCAGTACCTTAACGGCAGTGGTTTTCATTTAGAACTGTTTGTCGTTAACTTCGTTACTAGGTTGAAAAGAAGAGAAAAGTCACAATAGCGTTTAAATTGATTTATTTGCTTTCCACGGTCAATATTTCTAAAGAATCACTCAGCATAAAAGAGTAGTATTCGCTCTGTGCGCAGAAGCTCAACGATAGCATCATCCCTAACCCTGCCCCCTCCCCCCTCCCTGCTATTTTCTATCCCTGCAACTAAAGCCAGCAAAATTATGTCTCCCATTGCGTCAACGCTTTGTTTTTTCTGTTGAGGCCTTCATTGATCGGACAGGTGCAGTGGCTCTCTGAAACTGAATGAAATGACTTGCTGTTAGTGTTGCCTATCTGTACCTGTTCAAGTGAGCCATTATGATCATTTGGTATTTTCCATACTGCTGTGTTGTGATGCGCTTTTAACGCAAAAAATTTTTCAAGCGCCCCCAATTTTGGAAAACAAGCCAAACCGCAACTGTGGGAACTACGGTCCCTATTGTTTTCGAGAAGCAGAAGGTTCTTTAACTTCCACGGCGAACAAGCAAACAAAAGATGCAGGAGACGGGACTTACGATTTATCGTCCTTATCCGAGAAGACTAGAATGATTTTTCGTCCTTATCCGAGAACGGCAAAAGACTAGAACGAGGGTCTCTAAAGTTTGTTGAAATTTTAGCCGTCAGTCCTAAAAAATTTAACCGTAAAAATTTTCCTTCTATCCCGAAAGGAATGAAAGTTAACCGTTAGCCGTAAAATTGCCAAAATTTTTAACCGTAACCGTAAAATTCATCACGCTATCAGGACCCCTTAGAATGTCTAAGCATTTGCAGTTTTCATGGCAAAGGCTGCACATTCTCCTCGGTTATTTAAAGACCCTCAGTGTTGGCCCGGTTCATGCCAAATAAAATGATTGTACTTGCGATTTCAAGTTGTCTTGACAACTCTTACGTAAGTAGTATATCATAATACCAAGAAGTGATATGTATTGAGCTGAGCTCCACACGACTGTTGAATTCTACCTCAGACCCCTTCACCCTGATGTTGACATCTTATTTTTTATCACCCCTGAATCACACATTAAGGCCACGAGAATCATGGAAATGATCACCAACTAAAGAAGTTCTTGATTGTTTAACAAATTCTCCTTATCAGCACCTTAAGAGATGTATGATGAGCAGTATGGAGAATATGCATACTGATATTCGGGTGTGAAGGGTTAACGAATGGATTTCACGTTTCCGTGTGCCTGTTCAGTAATACATCACAGAGGACGTCAAAATGTTGTACCGACCTAAGTTTGCCGTGGAAACATTTGTAAATCATATTTTTCTTAACGAGATCCAGTCATCATAAAAAATACCTTAACGCAGATAAACCACCAACACATCAGCTTCTGCGACATTCCCTGCAATTAAATCAATAAATGGAAATAGTAAATGAAACACAATGTGGTGGACAATAAAGGGCAAATGCTCAACCTGTGCCTTCCCCTCCCTCCACCTCCGATTGATAAGCGCATTACTAATCAGGTTCTCTGGGCTAGAGGGCTGACGCCTTACCGTAGTGGTTCCAGTTGGTGTATCCCTGCAGTTTGCTATAGATGATGACATTTTGTCGAGGATTGAAGCGCCTCTCCCAGTCGCAGTCCTGACCCGTGATTGTCATCCATCCGGCATCCCTTGGACATCCGCCGTAGTTTCTGTTGATGAAGAAGTTGCGATTGTGCAGCCCGGGAATAGAAAATACGTTCTTTGGTTGGGATTTCATGTCATTCCAGGAGCTGTCGATCAGTCTGGGAGTTGCGAACCAATTCAATTTGTCTGATCCTCTCGCGTTTAACTTTACTTCCTTCACGATTTTTCCTCCAGTGTATAGGACAACTCTTGCCTGTTTTAAAACAGAACATTTATTAGCAGGTGAAGGGGATCGGAGCGATAAGGCCTCCTCAAACACGTAGAATGTAAAGGAACTTTCCTGAATCACATTTATCAACATTACAATGTTAAAATTTCGTTTCCAATCAACAGTTCACCCTCATTAAAGCCATGACTTAGTTAAAACAGTTTTCGTTTGAGTTAAGCGCGTTAGATGACGAGAGCAGTCCAATAAATGAGGTATTATGATCAAACTGTCCTATCAATGCTCAAATATATCAACACACACTGTTTGACCAATCACACGCAAAAATTTTGCGACCATTTTGACTAGGGTAGTCACGTTATGGTCCAATTACCTCAGAAGCGTGGAAGTCAGCCCAGTTCAACACTATTCTGTTCTTGTAATGGTCTTTGTGTTTGTTTGTGACGTCGAGAGCGGCCATGACTTTCTCAGAGGATGTGTGAGGCGAGTTGAAAGTAGGATACACTTTTTTATGGATTCCACTAACAGCTTTAAACACCATGGTCCAGCCTATCAATTCAAAATCAAAACAAGCATTTAAAAACTATTTTATTGCAGGCGCAGCTGTTTCAAAATAGGTGATAATTTTACCAAAAAGAAGATTACACCTATAAATTCCAAGGTCAGGCAGGAAAGATTCCTTACCCATAACAAATATGATACACATGCGAAATATGCCATAACAAAATGATCACATGTAGCAGTTACAGGACGGGTTCTAAGACGACAATGCCAAAATTCTCCATACCCGTCCCATCTGCCTTTATTTAAAAAAATTCATGGAGCAGGAAAGCTTATCCAAGCTAACCAATATAAAGAGACCAACTTTCACACAAATGAATGATTCCGTGTAAAGATTCCTAAACGTGAAGATGCGAGGATTTCTGTTCTTCTCGAAGCCCTTAATTGGACGACTCTCTCATATTGAAAAATTCTTCGCAGAGATTGTACGAACTATGGGTGAATAAGTAAATCCCGAGGCATTTACCTCCGGCGTCCATGTCACAGTAAACTGGGAAAGAGTCTTTGCTGTCTAGTAATGACAATAAAAACAAAAATTACATCAATTAAAATCTATAGACATTTACAAGCTAAAGGATTTATCGCTAGAAAACTGAAACCTAAATTTTAAGGGTTATTAACAGCCTACCACGAGTACTGTAGATTATTATTTCCCTGTTGAACAAATTGTCTGATGGTTTATTTCTACACCTTTGTACTTCTACAAAAAGAACGTAGAGTACATTATTTGGTAATCGGAAGTGTCTCAACCAAATTAACCGAACAACCGCGCAAGTTCTTTCACATTTCCTTCGACCTGGCGTGGAAGGCGTAAGGAGAAAAAAAAGATAGGCCAATGGGAACACATGAGGTGATCATCAAAACCCAGCCTGAATAGACGTCATATTGGGGTGATCTTGCCCATAGTTTGACATGGCCTTCCCCCAACACACCGTTAATCATTAATTGTACATACCCGAACAAGGTATCAAATACTCTCAGAATACTTCATACGAGTTAGGAGCATGAGTAGATTAAAAATTACCCGTCAAGGTGATCCAATAAATGCCATTAGTCGCGTCCTTCAAGTGAGCCTTGATGTCTTTGCACGAAAATCCAGGGTCACTTCTAGAACCTAATGATGCTTCGTACTGCAGGGCTTTCCATTCAGTACCATCACACACGTATACTTTCCCTTCAACAAACGTCATCTGACCAGCTCTAAATGGCTCGCAGTCGCAGTCATACTGGCCAATCCTGAACACGTACTGGTGCGTTTCAAAGGAGCCACACGATGACTGATGGCACCCGATCGCAAAACACACCATGGTGGCAAGAGCGACAATCAAACTGATGATGTAAATCATTTTCAGGCAGTTTCTATGAAGAAAATATTTCGATTGTCATAATTAACTCATAGTTTGGTAGTTAAACGGTTGTGAATATATGGAAGTCATATATTTGAACTGCAGTTAAAGACGTGAATATGAAAGCGATCTTCGCAGTAATGAACGCTACTTAAGTAGTAGTGAAAAGAAGGCCTGAAACATTTCAGGCCTGTACGGGATTTGAACCCATGACCTCTGCGATACAGCTGCAGTGCTCCACCAACTGAGCTAACAAGCCAACTGGGAGCTGGTCACTGTGTTGGTTCCAAATAAACCCGTGAAGTGGTGAATCAACGGTTGTGAATATTCAAAGTTTGGTAGTTGTCTTCAAAGTTTCATTATACGGTAAAACAGACACATAATAAGTAATAAATGATGTAAAATCCTTTGTTGCACGAGTTAAAGTCACAGTAAATTGTAGAGTTCAGATATTGAGTTAAGATCGCAACGTTTTTATTGCTTCCCAGCTACCCTTTCTTCAAGCGAAGACGATTTAAGATGATTATTTATTCAGCACATTAATGCAATTTTAATATTCATGATCACTCCAAAAAGTTTGCGTTTTTCCCTCAGAGTTCCATTTTTGTTACTGACAGGCCATAGTGCTTTATGATTGTAGGCACGTAAACTTCAGGAGTGTCACCATGAGGTCATTTTTGATATTAATAGTTCACATTCTAATGTGGATGTTTAGGATAGAACCGAAAATAGAAAAACCCATTAATAATATCGTAAATAACGCAACTCCTTTAACGTGGTCTGATAATTTTTAACTGAATTTGTGGAGACGCGGTGAATTAAGGTAACGGTTCACGCGCTGGATTCTGGTTGGAGATGTTCGGATTCGAGACAAGCAGGGGGTCATTGTGTTGCGTTCTTAGGCAAAACACTTTACAACTACAGTGCCCCCCTCCACCCAGGAATATAAATGAGTACCGGTGAAATTCTAACCCTGGTATCCCATCCAATTGGGAGTTGTAATACTCCTGGTCGCTTCATGCTACCGGGAAAAGCTCCAGCTAGATGGGTCATAAGGCTCGAGTTCGGACCTTGCCTACTTAACCTTGTGAAAGAATTCTGGCGCGGAAAGGAAATAGTGCAATTCTCTCTTGAATTCACGAAAGACCTTGAAATTGTTTAAAGCTGAAATAGCCTCTTTTGAGATGATCTAACGGGTAAAGAAGATGGACTTCAAACTTACATTCCCCTCGGCCTTGAACTGCTCCAGGGAAATGAAATAAAATACCAGGTGAAACAAGTATGTTGTGAATACAAGTTTTTAATGAAACAGTTTGTTTGCTTACAAAAAAAAAACTGACCACTTGATCATTTGGCAGATATCAATCATAACTCTAGATCTATTCTTATCATGTTTATGAAACTTTTCAAAGCCATCTGCTTTAAATTCAATTCGTCCTCGAGAAAATTGCGACAAATTTTAATTTCACTTAAGGCTTTTTAAATGGAAATTTGTTTAACGTTCTATCTAATTAAGAAACATAAAAAAAGAAAAACATGTCTGAGTTATTAAAATACTACAAATCAAGGTGGAAGGAATTTTTCATCGCTTAGCGTTGTGATGGCAAAATCTCCAATTAATTTAAAGTTAACTTGAATTTGTCGCCTCTGTTGTTCTTGATCAATCTTGTCTTTATCTAAGATTTGATTATATGTTGGCTCAGAAAATATGGTTTATATTGAAGATAAATCATCCAAATAAATGATGCTTTACCTTTAAAAATGCAAACAGAATAATAATAATAATGACAATCTTTAATGAGGAAACTTTTTCACTAAAAAGTGGTTTACAAAAAGGACCTCGAAAATTAAAAATTAAAAATTTACAATGAATAAAAATGCTAAAAGATGCTACTAAAAACTAATGTATCTTATGTGTAATACAAAACTTAAATCAATGAATTAAAAATCTGACGCTTCAAAATATTTACATTATCAGAGGCTCGTATAGTTTTGTCCAGCGAGTTAAAATCACTTACAGCATGATAGCCAGTTCTTTGTTTACCCCAGTTTCTTTTAACGGATGGAATTTTGAGGTTTGCTTTATTTCTTGTGTTGTAACTATGCTGTTCTTGCTGAGTGACTAATGTTAATTCGTGATGCGTGAGACCATTAAGACATTTATATACATGTACGCATCGGCGCTGGAAGCGCCTTTTTTCTAGTGTTAACCACTTCAGTGTAGTTAACGCATCAGACGCAGAGGAATACAGTGGTCGATCTAATATTATTTTAGCCGCCTTATTTTGAAGCACTTGCAAACTAGACATTAAAGTTACATTGTGTTTGTCTCCCCAAACTAAATCAGCATACTCGAATAAGGGCATAACAAGGCTTTTATAAAAAGGATGCGCGCCTTAAACGGTAACAAATGCTTAATGCGTCTAAGTAGGCCAAGCCTTTGATTAACTTTCCCTGCCATGTATTCGACATGATTTGTCCACGAAAAAATCAGACGATATTAAGATTCCAAGATATTTAAAACAAGTAACATTGTTTATACAATGATCAAAGATTGAAACAGATAGAGCTATTTTCCTCTGTAACTTCTTGTTACTGCCTATAAGCATGCATTTGGTTTTCTCCAGATTCAGTGTTAACTTATGTTCATTCAGCCATTTCGCCACAGCCAGGAGGTCTTGGTTGAGCTTTTCAGTCAGCTCCTGAGAGGAAGACCCATAGCAGTAGATCACCGTATCATCTGCATAAAGTGATGCTTGACAGGCATCTAGAACGCTTGGCAAATCGTTAATGTAGATGACAAATAGCAGAGGACCCAGAATACTTCCCTGAGGGACCCCATGGGTAACTGGCAATTCATCAGACAACTCATTCCCACAACATGTACGCTGTTTCCTGTCAGTAATGTAAGAGCGGAACCACTGAAGCGAGTTCTCACATAAACCAATTTTGGAAAGCTTGCGTAACAAAATCCGATGGTCCACGGTGTCGAAAGCCTTGGTTAAATCCAAAAACACGGCCCCACACAGTTTACCTTGTTCCATGTTCAATAAGACTTCATCAGCAAATGATGTCAAAGCAGATTCAGTAGAGAGCCCCTTCCTGAATCCAAACTGTTTCCTTGTGAGAAGGTTGTTAATAACCAAGTATTGGTACAACTGGGAATGCACGGCTTTCTCGAGAATTTTACTGAGTGTCGGTAAAATAGAGATAGGTCGATAGTTCGATGCATTTGACCGGTCGCCAGATTTAAACAAGGCTGTAATTTTTGAGCATTTCCACAATTTAGGAAATTTACCAGTAAGAATCGATCGATTCAACAGCTTAGTGATGGAGGGAGTGATTGTATTAGCAGAGCTCTTGAGTAGTCTAGCACTAATTTTGTCCAAACCAATTGCTTTATTTGTCTTCAAAGAGGTAAGCTGCTGAAGCACAAACGATTCCTCTAGTTCAGTTAACTGGAACTGAGACAACGGTTGTTCTAAAACCAAGTTGCAATTCGACCAGGTAGTCGTTATTTTGTCAGCTAGGCGCTTGCCTATGGATGCAAAGAAGCTATTCAAAGCAACAGCAATGGATTTGGAAGTGGTGTGCTGAATGCCATCGGAAATGATGCACTGAACCTTTTCTGAGGATGAATTACGATTGCATGCTTCGTTTACAGCTTTCCACATTTTGCCGTGATCTCCTCTGGCTTCCTCGATCATGTCACAGTAATATTTCGACTTAGCAGATTTTACTAAGCGGTTTACTTTGTTCCTCAGTTTCCTGTAAGTGTTCCAGTGCTTTTCTGAGTTCGATTTACGTGCTTTACGATGATACCAGTCTCGATCTCTCATTGATTCGCTAATTTTGCTATTCATCCAAGGAAGAGGTGTTCCCTTCACACGTCGTCGTTTGACAGGTGCATGATCGTCTGCAACTTCTGAAAACAGTTTGTTCCAAGTTAATAAAGCGTCATCGATATTGTTTTCATTGTCAACGACGTGCCAAGGAACATTCCTAAGATCTTCGTTAAATGAATTCGCATCGAAATTCTTGTAAGAGCGATACTCAAACATTCTTGGATGTGCTTTTGTGTGCACACCAGTCTTTAGAATGCAAAACACCAGGTAATGGTCGCTCAATGGAAACGGAACAACACCAGATTTAACAATGCGATGTTCATTATTGACAAAAATCAGGTCAATCAAGGTTCGTGAGGTGTCAGATATTCGAGTAGGCTCTTTTATCAGCTGTGTGAAGTCAAAAGCGCGCGAGAAGTTGAGAAGTAGTTGTTTGTCTTTCTTGGGCAATTTTGAATTAGGCATCATGTTTGCGTTTAGATCTCCTAAAATGACCACATCCGATTTTTCAAGATCAACAGCAGGCATACTATCTCGCAGAGACGAAATAAAAGTGCGGAGATCGGCATCTGGTGCTCTATAAGCGCAACATAATAACGTTGGCTTACATTTATCTCGAATTAACTCAATCCATAAACATTCCTGTCCACCAGTATTGATATCATTCCGCAAACGAAACGCCAAATCTTCTCTAACATACATAGCAACTCCGCCATATCCCTCTTTATTGCCAGTGCGATCTAACCTTATGCACACAAATCCAGGGAGTTTTATTTCAGCATCACTTGTTGAGGAATCCAGCCAAGTCTCGGACAAAGTTAGCACGTCAAAAGTTTTGTTGTTAATTCCCTCAAGACGCAGAGAGTCGGTTTTGTTTACGAGACTTCGTATATTCAAGTGAGCAATCTTGAGACCTCTAGTGGACTTGATATCAGCAAATGTCTGGTAGCCGGGATTAATCTCAATGTCACCAGCAAGAGCAATAAGAGTCAAAGCAAAACAGGCACGATGAAAAAGCTTACAAAGCATAACACTCTTCAGTCGTCCATTAGACTCTTGCCTCCGGGTCGGTTCGTTTCGATGAAATGAAGCACCAGCAACTTCAGCCCTGCAATTCATCTGGGAAACAAAATACGTCTCTCTATCGTTAAGCAAAGTGTTCTCATATACATCTGAGAACCTGAGGAACTCCAAAGTGATGTAAATACAGAGAAACACACATAAATTTGCGGAGAGCTTGAAGCCGCGTCCGAACGCCATATTGTCACGACGCTAAGCGAGAAAAAATTAATTTTGTCTAGTGACAATTCTCTAGCTATATGCTAGTTGGGAAAGGAAACCTTCTCAGCCTTTGACTTTCTGTCGTAAATTTGAAAGGGAAACATTCACTGAAGAAAATATGAATATTTTTGTGCGGTCGCACAATCTCCTGCAACCCTCGATCATTTATTTGGTAGCTATGGTAACGGTATAGCCTTCTACAGATACCTTAAATCAGTGCCATTTTAATTTCAGCTCTTTTCTTTATTTGAAGTGAGCCTGCTTTTAACCTCTTACTTGTCGTTAGGCGTAACGGCCCATGGAAATGAGAAAAACACTGTCTTGTTAACTGGTTCAATCTACGAGTTCGATTTATGGTTTTTCTTGGTGTTGCGTGAACTATTGCTGGAGAGAAATTTCTTTTTCGAATAATCATTATTCACTGATCTTCAATCTGTTGCACGTATTAAGCCATTTCATTATCGCTTTATCCAGAAAACCAAGAGGCAGTTAATCTATTTCTGTGATAATCTGTTTTTCATTTAGCTCAATTAGCAACATTTGCGTAGTCTCGTGTTTGTTTTGCATTCGCATTGAAAAAAAAATTGATTTTCGGAATGTTTATTTTATTTGAACAGTTTGCCGGTCTTCCGGAGTAGATAAGTAATTTTTTTTTGTAAAGTCATCAACTTATTGATATAATATCATTAGTTTGGTAAATTCGTAAAGAAAATATGAAAATAAAATTGTGAAACAGCGTCGAATTTAACTCAAAAATATATTTAACAGATGCAGATGAGTAAAAAATGTCTGTTTTCGAGTTACATGGCCCACCCAGCTATATATAGTTTAACTCGGTTCCCTTGGCATGATGGGATGCTAGTACTCGCGAGAAATTCAGTACGATGTAACGTCAAGTGTTGCAGAAATTCTGCACGATGTAACGTCAAATGCTGCAGAAATTCTGCACGATGTACCGTCAAGTGCTGCAGAAATTCTGCACGGTGTAACGTCAAGTGATGCAGAAATTCTGCACGCTGTAACGTCAAGTGCTGCAGTGCTGCTTAAAAGAGCAAAGAGCAATTCAGGTAGATACATTCCTGATGATGATCGTGATGATCATGATGATAAGAAAATTGAACAATTGAATTAATACATCATCTCATACAAAAGTTG